ACCGCTATGTGCACCCGTTACGTGGGTTCTTCTTAACGAGGGACATTGTAAAGTCGCGCCGGTAGAGGTGGTGAAAAACCTGGGGAAGGTAAAAAAAGGAAGTTACCTTCCCGTTTCTGCCCGCCTCGAGTGCGGAATCGGCGGAATCGCGAGCCGGTGACGAATCGACTCGCGGCAGAGGTTTCGAGAAATGGCTCGACCTTCGACCAGAATGCCGGTGAGATACCGAGGAAGGAGACAATCCTTGGAGCGAACAACCCCTGGTGATAATTGGAGGTTAAACGTCGGTACCGTTCAGCCGCCTATCTCGACGCGCCCAGTCGGACGGGGAGGAGGCGACGCTTCGGTTCTCGTTTCTGGATTTCTCCGGCACTTCTTCTCTCATCTCGGTCCCCTTCACGGACGCGTATGTTTTTCGCGGCTGGGAGGAGCGATCGACTCTCTCCAGGTCGCAAACCGGATCGGAATCGGCAATTCGATCGGCGATCGCGAGCGACTTCCTCGACAAGTGGGTCACTTCGAGCCTTCCTCCAATTCGGGCGCGGAGAAACGCGCGTCGATTGCTTTTTTTTTCCCTCTTTCTCTTTTATCCTTCCTGTCGCGGGGAACAATCGCTTCTAGGAGCGTCCTCGAGGTTGGACCATTTTCCGAAGACGACTTTACTCCGATCTTTCGCCCTGGGTCGTGTCCGAGGGGTCAGTAGGTCACTCTCGCTCGACGAGGAACCGTCCGGGTGACAACCGGTTGCATCCTACAGGTGTGACACCGGATCGCCGCTCCTTGTCGGAATTGGATGACTCCTAACCCCCTGCATGGAGATTCCCCGGTCGGGATACTTTCGACGGGAAAAACCCCTGGGAAGTGGCAGCTACTCCCAGGATACGCCGCGGGGACTCTTCGATATTTATATAAATATTAAAAATGCAATCCGCGGGGAAGGATCGCGAACGGCGAATTACCCTGATAAATGTGACTATGTCAATTGACATACTCAATCGTTGGTTATTTTCATGCCATTATAAGTTACAGTCAAATTACGTTCCCTCTGTACCATCACATTCAACGTCTGAATTGAATTATTGAAAATTATAACGTAACGTTACATTAGACTCTAGTAAAAACGCCCCAATACGGTAAATATACAATGTTGGCTGTATTCATACACTTCATAATTTGTAATTCTTCCATTTAACGTATTTACACGTGAAACTAAAGTTCCGAAGCGTGCAACGATGTACGTAAATTTCCATCGATTTTAATCAGGGTAGGTCAGGAATTTTGGAACGGAATTGGAGAAGAAAAAAGTGTGACGATGTAGGGCCTTGAATATCTCGAAAAGAACAATACGGTGCGCCGGAGTGGACTCTTGAACTTGATAAGAAGGAGAGGAGAGGAGATATGGGGGAAGAGGTTGAATCTTGAGCTCCCCGGGGAAGAGGTCTCGAAAACGGTGGGATTTTCCCAATCTTTCCAGAGGCCCGTTCGATTTTTTTGTGAAGCTTGGACGGTCGCCAGGACTCGTGAGGATTTCGAAATGGCCGCCTCGGTCCGTTGGGCCCTTTTTCTCTTGTTTCCGAATCACGACTTGGTCCGAGAGGAGACTAGTCCGGTCGTTCTCTTTTCCGGCGAGCGGCACGAGGCTTCGTAATCGCTTCGACGAAGTGCTTTTGAAGTAGGTCATCGTTTATGTGTCGCCACGTGCGCGCGTGCACCTACCAATTGACACGCGGCGGACAAATTTCACCGGGTCCCCCTTCTAACCTCGAATCCAGTCATAGAATCCAGCCCCATGCCTCAGAGTACCCGGAGATCGTGCTGGATCTTGGTCCACCTCCATCGGGCGTCGAAAATAGACATTTCTCTCCCCCAGAAATACCTCATCCCACCCCGATAACCAACGACGACGGGTCCGCTCCTCTCCCGGGGTATTAAATCCGAGTCTCCTGGGCGATTTCGCTCTTTGCTATCGTCGCACGCTCCAGATGAGAATCAGGTCCGCGGTGGCGTAAGCGTGACGAGCGGGAATCTCTGCGTAGAAAACGAATAGACACCTTGGGAAGCTTCCAGGAGGTGAGCGCGTCCTCGGGGGCGATTTTTTCCGGTGACCAAAACCAGGATTGATAAGACGCGCTGGAGGTTTCCAGGCCCGTTTTCCGCTGGCGGAAACGGGGCGTCATGCAGATGGGCGATCGTATCGTAGATTTATGCCCGGGGAAAGAGAGAGGAAAACATAGGCCGTGGCGGAGGCCGTGGAGCAGTCAAAGTAGAGCGAAGCGAGGCGAAGTGGATCTCGCTCCTCGGCGTCCACGTCTACATGCGTGCCCGGTGTATATGGCCTGTACATGGCTGGTACATAGTATGGTACACCGCGTGTACAGGCCGACGCGATGGCGTCGCGCGCTGGCGGGCAAGGCCAGGGCTGACTGGTCATTTTCTTGCGCAACAGCTCCACCAACCATGGCTGCCCACGGCATGACCGTGGTTCCAGGAGAGATGACCACTGACTCCGCTCCTGCGGCGCAAATCGGTTTCACGGCGAGCAAGAGGGATTATTTCACCGCTCGAGTTTACACGAGGTCCTGTTTGTCCTTCGATGTCGAGATTCGGACTTTTCCGGGGACTCCTGTGTACGTTTACTCCAGAGTATTTGTGCAGAAGGGAGGACGTTGGAGGAACTATCGAGCGGACGAGAAACCCTGCACCGTGCACGCGTTTACCGTATTCTCCTGGCGGTAAAGACGCCATCTTGGGGCGAGGAGAGGTCCGGGAGAAGAGCGGCCTCCGAGGAGGCTGCCTGCCCTTCTGGTCCTCTTCCTTTCCTCTCGTTCTCCTGCGAAATTCCGACTCGCTCCGATTGTAAACACGCGTACGACGTCATCTAAGGCGAGAGACCTCGATGCCCGGCCCCCAAGAAAGCGACGCGTCCCTTCGACCGGAGATTGGACGCTCCCTTCTCGCCGTTCCAGTTTCCAATCGTTGCTGGACCACTTCTGTAATATCGATGGAAAAGTCGACTGTCTAATTTCCGCCCTTATAGTCCGATCCGTCCTTTGATAACCTATTTTTTTTTTTTTTTTCGACGAGGCAAGCGCGGAACGTCTCGCCGAGCCGGAGACTTCGATGCCAGCCGTCCGCACAGGCGATGCGCTCTTCACCCTCTTACCCGAATTCTCGCCATATCGATGGAAGGAATTTTAATCTGCTTTGCGTGCATTACTCAATAGGTCCTCCCGTCGGCGTTCGGCCTCCGAAATCTCCGGTTTGAAGTCACATCCCGACCCAGAAGCCCGGCGACCAACTTTTTCGAGGCGCGCGCGGCAGTTTACGGAGAAAGTGTACCGCCTAGGCTGGGAAAAAATGGCGGCGGATTACCGCAAGCCTCCGTGGAGGCCCTCGACCTCGAGGACGGGGACGTCATTTCCGGTCCCCCATTTTGGACGGCCATATTTGTCGACTCCTATCGCGTACCGCTTGTCGCGCGTTGTTTGAGCTCTCCTCCGGTGAGGCGCCTCCGCGAGGCTTCGCTCGCTGCTCTTAGGCAAGGTAGAATAAGAAAGATGGAGGAAAATACACGGCAGAGTCAAGGCCGCTCAGTGCTCCGGCGCGTTTGCTACTAACCACCGAGGAAACCTGCTCCTTCACTTCTCTCCTCTGGCGAGGCGAGCTCTCCCCAACGGTGCGCACCACGTTGGCCGGCCATCGCGGCCGGGAGAGGAGAGAATTCGTCGCTCCTCGCCGACGAGTCCGGCTATTCGCCGTGGCGAAAACATTCGTCTGGAACACTGAGACACTGACCAGGCTACGTGGTCACTCGGTTATTACTCTGCGTCTCGCTCGGATGATGCCCAGTCGCAGTCCATTTGCTCCGGCCTGAGACGCGGCCGGATCTCTCGCCGAGATCTCGACAAGGTCCACCCCTGAGGTTCCTCCCAGATATAGACTCCTTGAAGAGTACCTCTTCTAGGTACCTCGACTAGATCCCTCGAAATCGCCATGCTTTCGACACCTGACTTAAACTCCTCCAAGAGGTCCAGGTGTTGGTACCTAAACGAAATTTTAAAAAAATATATATTCCTCCTCTTGAGTGCCGCATCTGGTTCCTCCTCTTTGGCATCTAATCTAGACTCCTAGAAATCGGAAGGGCCCGATAAATTAGGGCCGACTTTCACCTGAGTTTCTCCGACCGGTCGAAGGGAAAGGGAACCTCGGGTCCAAGTTTAAGGTCAAGGCTCCCCACATTTTTTTTATCCTCGTCATGGAGGAAGGTATAGGACGTTGATGACTTAGGCGCTTCAGGGGTCCCTTCTGATTTTGAAGACGTCTGGCCGCTTCGGATGAGAACCGGCGCGCGTTCCCTCCAGGAACGCTCGCCGTGGTGGACGTGGAACGAAACGCCTTGTACTTTCACCGACCGTGACTTCGGCTTGTTTTAGTCGAGGAGTTTCACGTTATAAAAGGGGTAATGGAGTCACGTGGCCGCGTCGCTGGTTAGGCTAGCCGGCCCAAAGATCCGGGGACTGCTCCCAGGGCGGTCTCTTGTAACAACCGGAAACCTCTTGCGCGATCCTACCCACGGGAGGAAATTTGAATAATTTGTAAACCGAAGCCAAAGCAACGGAAGTCTCCGAACCTGGGTCCCCCTAATGCGTTAGGTTCTCTCAAAAAGGAGAGAAATCGGTGAAGCGACCTAGTCGCGTCGACCATTAAAATCGATATATTTTTCAGGCACAACCAAGCTACGCCTGAAAATGTCAATAAATTTTCTTTGCCATTCCCCTTGTCCAAACCAGTCGCTATTCAAATTCGACACCTGTCGCTATTAATATCGGACGTCGCGATTAAAATCGAACATCTTAATCATGATCTGAAATTCATTACCGGCGTCTATTAGCGAACGTTTCTGCGCCCTGAAGGAGACGCCATTTATCGTCAATCTTTCCAACCCTGTTACAACCGATGACGACGAGCTCGTGATAATCCTCGATTTTTGGCTTTTTCAGGAAGGGACGACCTCTCGCCACCGAGCTCGCTGAACGGATACAGCGCCGACAGTTGCGATGCGAAAAAGAAGAAGGGCCCGACGCCGAGGCAGCAGGAGGAGCTCTGTCTGGTCTGCGGCGACAGGGCGTCGGGGTACCACTACAACGCCCTGACCTGCGAGGGGTGCAAGGGCTTCTTCAGGAGGAGCATCACCAAGAACGCCGTCTACCAGTGCAAGTACGGGAACAATTGCGAGATCGACATGTACATGCGCCGGAAGTGCCAGGAGTGCCGGCTGAAGAAGTGCCTGACGGTAGGCATGCGACCGGAGTGCGTCGTACCGGAATACCAGTGCGCGGTGAAACGCAAGGAGAAGAAGGCCCAGAAGGTAGGGGTAAGGATGTCGTTTTTTCCCTCGTTTCGACCAGGACATGCCTAAGGGGGTCGTCGGTCGGTCGTAGAATTAGGCAAAGGGAAATACGTGGTAAGAATGTCGGAAGAAACCGGCCACCGACGACTCTTTCGTATGTCCACGGATTAGTGCATGGCCAGCATGGCGATGGTTTCTGACGGGGACTCTTTGTTTCGATAGGAGAAGGATAAGCCAAATAGTACAACGATGAACGGCTCGCCTGGGAGTTTGACCGGGATGGGAGCTGATCCTGTCGGAGTGAAGATGGAGCCCGCGGATTCCGACTCGTTGTCGATGAGCGGAAGCACCAGCGGAATCGGACTCCGGCCTGCGTCTTCCCATAATGGAGTCAAGCCGCTCACCATCGATCAGCAGGACCTCATCCAGAAGCTGGTCCACTACCAGGACAAGTACGAGCAGCCCAGCAAGGAGGACCTGAAACAAATCATGGTAAGCATACAACCCAAGCTTCGTTGGACACGTATCTAGGGCTCTTGTCGACAGGATTTTGACTCGAACTGCTTGCCTCAGCAGAACTGGCCTATCGAGGGGGAGGATCCTAGCGAGATCAAGTACAGGCACATTACCGAGATCACGATCCTTACGGTCCAGCTGATCGTGGAGTTCGCGAAGTGTCTGCCTGGGTTCGGCACTCTGTTAAGGGAGGACCAGATCACCTTGCTGAAGGCTTGCTCGAGCGAAGTCATGATGCTCAGGATGGCCAGGAGGTACGACGTAGAGAGCGACAGCATCGTCTTCGCGAACAACCAGGCGTACTCCCGTGACAGCTACAGCCTGGCTGGCATGGGCGACACCATAGAGGACCTCCTCAGATTCTGCAGGCAGATGTACGCCATGAAGGTCAACAACGCCGAGTACGCGTTCCTCACGGCCATCGTCATTTTCTCCGGTGAGACCATTAAAGGAAACCCGAACCAGCTTTATGGAGAGATTGCTTGGCTTTAGGCGTCGCCATTATCAAGGCGTGTACCCTGGGTGAAGAAATTACTTTCTAGAAGAAAAAGAATCACCCGGGTCGGATAGATCTTTATTAACTCCTACCACTAAAAAGAAATCCAATGAAATATTAAAGCAAATTGCGGACAGCCCTCAATTTTGTTAACGATTGACGTACAGTGTCTGGACTCGGTCTTGCATCTGCTGCAAACAATACTTACTCCCCGTTAATATGATATATGACCGGAGCCAAGACATCTCTTTTTAGAGGAAGGGTAGAGTTGATTTTTCGTCCGGTGGATAATCCGGGGTACATGTTTCTCATTTTCTGCCCCCATAGAGAGGCCGAACGTGATCCATGGCGCGCAGGTGGAGAAGATCCAAGATGGCTACCTGGAGGCTCTGAAAGCCTACGTGGACAACCGGTGGAGGCCGAAATCCGGGGTGATCTTCGCGAAGCTCCTCTCGGTGCTGACAGAGCTGAGGACCCTTGGGAACGAGAACAGCAAGACATGCTTAAACCTCAGGCTGAAGAACAAGAAGCTGCCTGAGTTCCTCTCGGAGATCTGGGACGTAGCGCCGTAAGCGCCATCTTGGTCCCTTTGCCGACCCTGACCAGGACCCTGAAGACGTCCCGAAGGAACGTCCACCCTGTCGTCGCGTGCCGTGGGCTCGACAAAAGGGAGGGGACGTCTAGGGAGAGGAAACAGAAACAAAGAAATTCGTGTTTTGTGTCACAGGCTCGACACTGTGACTTTTGTACTAGTGCACCACAGTGCCACTGCCTCTGGCGACGAGCCTGTCGTTGGGGTCGTTCGCCTCGTACTCTCCTTCACCGCGATCCCGACCAGAGGTGACTCGTCCTTCCTTCGGTGAGAGGAGGTGGACGGGGAGCTTCTGCCCGACCTCGGCCCCCGGGAGGTCCAAGGTCCGGGAGAAGGTTGCAAGTTTGAGGGGCAGTGGCCAAAGGCACCCAGGCTGTGATACGTAGAGACAGTACAGAGACTATATAAGGAGGTACCTACACTTATATATTACTATATTTCCTCCTCGGCTACCCCCAACCCCCCAAGAAACCCCCCCAACCCCCAATATCGATATGTAAATGTAATGTATATGTTTAAGGCGTACGTAGAGTGGAGGAAGTGCGAGCTGGCGATGAGATACGGAACCGAGGATCAGGAGAGCGCATGCGTGGACGGGTGAACGCATGGATTTTGTCTGTTGGCACGAGTGGAGAGACATATGCGCGGACGTGTGTTTGGGTGTGCGTGCAAACGTGGTCTACAAGGAACCGGGCAAGAGTATCGTGTTTGAGGGCACTGTTGAGCAGTGCGGTGGTGACGAACCGAGAGCGCGATTATGAGAAACACATAATAATACGATAGAGTCTATATCACACACATAGCATAATAATATATTGCTAGCATGTACGCTGTTTATACGAGTGATAGGAAGGGGTAGAGGGAGGTACAACGGCGTAGAGGTTGGCTGCGTGGGAGACGAAAAGTCTTGGAGTCGCTCGATGAGAGGTGGATCCCTGAGATCACAATCCATGGTGGACGTTAATGACGAAGAAGGTCGAAAGAACTGGATATTCAATTTTTCCGGACCGACGAGCGATTCCAATGGCGTCTTCGTCCCCCATGCCGGTGCAAGCAGAGATGGGCAAATCCTGGATCACCGATTCGCTTGATCTTCGCTTTGGCCGAATCGTAGCTGGAAAAAGTAGCGCGATCGTAGCGCGAATTCTCGAGACGGAGGGAGAAAGAGAGCTTTAATATTTCGGTGTAATTCGGGAGGCAATAAGTGGGGGGATGGAAGTTTGGCGCGGTGACCCTGTGCCCATCTCTGGTCGGGAAAATCGAGGGGGCTTGCGGCTGGAGAGGAAGGCAGATTAACTATATTCGGGCTGAAGAGAGGAGAGAGGGATACAGTAGAAAACCGTAGGAAGTAAGTAAGTAAGCGAGGCTAGATACGGTAGTAGGTCGTAGTCAGTCAGCTAGGATAGGTGACCGAGTCAAGTGCAAAGCCCTGTGCCTTCAGCAGCGGACATCGGCTCACCGACAAACGAAAAACATGAAATTTAACCGTCCGTTTTAATTTTTTAATAAAAACCAACAAAATCTTAAAATATTGAATCCGAGAGCGTTCATAAGATAAACGTTATTATTAGAGGCGCGTGAGAGGGAGAGATAGAGGGATGCGGAAGCGTGTGAGACAGAGTGAGATAGAGGGACTCGGTTAGACTCGATAACGAAGAGTTTGCGACGCGTAACCTTGGGGAGTGGATTATTCGATCGCGGTGACCACGTCGGCCGTCACCTGGCCGTCGCCATGTTGAGTTTCGATATTTATTAAGTTTACAGAGACATTACACGGAGTTACTGCAGAAGCGTATGGGAGAGATATTAATTTAAAGGGCGCAACCGGCCGGGAAGCATTTCGTATATTCCTATAGTCGATCGAGATGGTCAGGATTGGTCGGAGAGTGGTCGCCGCCATCTTGGGCTGACAAGAAACGGCGTATACGCGGCGTACAGGGGAGAATGAGAGAGCAAGTGCGAGTGGGTAGTTAAGGGTGAGGGAGGCATGACAAAGAGGGAGAGGACGATACCCAGTAGGCTAGGGTGAGAATAAACATCCGACTCGACAACTCGGGTGAGCTTTTCGACCACGGAAGCTCCCTCGCATATGCTAGCATAATGGAGTTAAAAGTCACGTATACATCCTAAGATCGCAGATCGACCGACAGGAATAATAATAATAATAATGAAAAAAAAAAACAAAAAACAAAGACGCAAGAGCGATCTCACAGACGAGGATTACCAGGGCGAACGGCACACATACACACACACGTACCGGTTTAGACACCGAATTACCGAGGAGCGTCGCTGCCGTTGTCTAAATCAACCACTTAAGGGGTTAAAGCAGGAGAAAAATGCAGTCACTAAGATTCTCGATGTTGTAACATTGTAATTCTATGCTATTAACCGATTGTACACAGTTGTATTCCGTAGTAAGTACCAGCGACAAGTGAAATGCGTTATATAACTTCGTGTATAACGTCTGTAAACGTAAGGGGTCGCGTCCAGAGGGTGGAGGCCTGGACGTTGGCGGATTCGAGGGAGATCTTGCACAGGTGGTCGGATCGAACACCGATTTGAATATCGCTTGCAAGTTTATCGCGTTTTGTTCGATTGGATGGGGTATATGGGAAGTTTTGCCAAAAGCAACGAGGTTGCTCGACCTGGTTGCTTCGGTACCGCTGAGATGGACCCTTTAAGGGGTGACGGACCCCTCGAAACCGGCAATGCGGCCTCCAGGAGGCGCGACTCCTGTCGACGAGCGCCACGACCGAGACGAAGAACCTGGAAGGGGTAGAGAGGGGTGACGAGCGAGTCCTCTCGCGGCGACCCGCAGTCGACCGCCGGACGTCGAGGGAGGCGGACGAAGAGGAGGCGCTCGGCCGTTCCGTACTCGTAAAAAACTAACCTCTAATAGGGATTTAAGCTTGGCGTGTCGTCAATAAGTCGCGTAGGAGAGTCTTTTGAGCCACCTTCGACCTGGGGCCACGCAGCTCGCGTCTCTCTCTTGATGTTCGATAAACAAGCCTCCGATTCCGAGAGCGGGCTGCGCGGACCCCCTAGACGGTTCCCACCAGGTGGAACTTAACATTTAAACAACGTACCCCATGCCCCCGGGACGAACTAACTACGTAACGCCAGATGACAAAAAATATATATATATGTAATATATACATGGCGGACACTGCCACGGAGCGTAGACGCGAGAACACCACGAGACGCGCCGCTCTCTGAGAAGCGCGAACGAGATACGGATGCCGATTCGGTTTCGGCCAGGAACTCGAAGGGGAACTCGTGGTCCTTCATGGGAAAGGAGGTCCTCGCCTCGCCTGTTAACGTAGCCATCAGATTTTTCTATACTTCGGCGAGTGGAGGATACGAAACTCGACGGTGGACCCTGGTTGACGGTGGTACCTGATATCATGGCAACACCTGGAGATTTTTCGTCCTCTCGTTGAAGTTTCCGAAATGGGGCCGGGGATGGGGTGGAACCCTTTCCTGGGATCACTTGCATACACACATCCACTTTGTATTCGCTTAAATTCGCGCACATACTCCACACCTCGTTGCGTGCTTGCGAGGGGCCCTGGAACGAGTCGAACACGCGACACCGTGCAACATTATGTCAAAACGGAAGAACGGGAATGGAACATTCCGAAAGTGGCATGGATAATTGCGGAGTACCTTGGAAACACGCGTACATGTGTGCCAGGATATCTAAAGCCAACCTCATAGCTTGCATCCCGAAACTGAAACACATCATGTTCATGACACCCGCAACCCTAGATGCAAGCCATATACTCACGTGTACAGAGCGAACGACTACAGAATAGACTCGCCCACCTCACACACACACACATACACACACGCATTTCGATGACACGAAAGAGGGACATCGAGGAAAATAATTACACACGTTTACACCCGCGTTTACAACTGTACATTTGTTGTGTCGAGTGAGACTCGCGTAGCTCGCCTTGATGTAACGCGCCGTCGAGCGTTTGTACTCCGGGGTACAGATTGTCATGTATGTTCTGTTGCGAGGGGTTACATGCTCGGGAGATGTACACCCGCGTTTACATTTCGCCGGGATGAGTAATGCCGACATGAGACCTCGCGAGTACGACATTGCCTAGCTCCGGAGCGCGAGGGGGCGCGGGACGAATTATCGCGTTTAGGAACTAAAGTTAACTTTACTTAAGCACGTCACGGATACGAGAGCCGAGAATGAACCTTCTTAACCCTTAACCCTTCATCCTGTGCGTTGGACGGGGCGGGGAGCACCCGCTCCCCGGTGACTCGCGCCCCCTGAGTAACATCGGAGGTTTCCGCCACTCCGAGCGAGATTCCTCCTAAACGGACGGCGCCGTAGCAAACTGTCCCGAACAAAAGTTGTCCCTAGGACCTTGGTGCGCAACTTTTGTAGGAGACACTTTCCTCCAGCGCTCGCCGTTCTCCCGGAAATCCGGCCTTTTTCCGACGCCGTCCGGGGGCGCGATTCCCCTGTACCTCGCTCGAAGGGATCTATCGGAAATAATTCCCGCTAACTAGGCGCTATTTCGGGCACTTTGTCGCGAATCCCGGAGGGCAGGTCGTCTCTCTAGCTTCGCTTCTTCGATGCATATTTGCACCTCGAGCACACGTCGACTCATCTCGACGTCTTCAGCCCCGGTTCGTCGGGATCGAATCTTTTTCGGAGAACGCGCTCGAGAGGCTTTGGCCGTGCTACCAATCCGGATAGAAGAAGCCAAGGCGAATTCACCATCACTTATTCCAAGAGAAGCCCCCTTGGTTCTATTTCCCCTGCCTCGAGGAGTTCTCCCATTGGTCGCGCGTTCATTCGTGTACAAAACTATGCAATTCTACGATCACTGCCAAGGGCGTTGCTGTTGACGTCGGTCACGTTGTTCTAGATGTCGTCGTCTCTATACATTAAAATCTCGCGACTCGCATTAATCGCGGATAAGATTGTTCACGATACTGCCAGTGTAGAGTTCGAGTCTCTGTGTTTTTTACCGAGGAAATACTCTCCGGTGCCCCCCCTCCCAAAAAAAAAAATAAGATGTTATCCTCGACTGCTCGATAGCTGCATCACCGAAATTCCCAGCATCCCAGCATCTTCATTCCTTATCCCGTTTTTCGGGAACCTTCGAGTTCTTCCGACCTGCCGTCTGCGATTCGCCAGCGATCGTCGAAATTCCCCTCCAGGTCGCCTCAGGTGCATCCTGCACCTGCTTGCACCTGTCTTTACAAGAGCGTTCTCGGGTGCAGGGCGTAATGCACTTACTCTCTTCGATTCGTTGTTACGATGCGGCACGTGCGCGTGCTTATCACCTTTAGCGGTTGTTAAATTTTATTCGAAAGGAGGAAATTTCGGGCGGGATCGTTTTAACGTTAGATATTAATTCGAGTGGAATTAGAGCGAATCGGCGATTTGCGTAGATCCCCTCGCCCGCGAGATCGTTTAGGGATCCCTAGGGAATTTCGGGAAGACTGCCCAGAGGCGCGTTTAAGGGGTCGGATACGAATCTCTATTTCGGGGGAAGCTCAAACTGGACATCCCAGAGGAACTCGCCTACGCAAATCGAACGTTAATTGAATTTTAATCGGGGGGAGTTATGGGGAGAGAGCGGGAATTAGGCAAAAAATTGTGCCGGCAACGCGGGCGATTCATACGATTGGTGCTTTGGAATATTAGACTGAATTGTTGTACATTAGAAGAAGAAGAAAAAAAATAGAGCGAGACGAAGGAGGGAGAAAAACGGAGGAGAGAAGTAGGAAAGAGTACGAAGTTACGCGCGTAACGCGTCGAGTTTTTTCTCTCGGTAATTGGTAAACGTAAATTAATTCTATTTCGAACGTTTTATATATGTATATTCGCGCTAGGCAAGGCGACACACACTTACACACACACACACACGCGCGTAACGCGAGGACACGCATATTAGCAACCACGTACGTCGATCATTAGGTTCCTTTTCGGGGGTGGAAGGAATTAACGCGCGTCGGGAGGAGCTGGCTAACGAAATGCATTTTTAGGGGTAAATCGCTATATAATAACTATATATATAATGTACATTATATATATAGCTGCGCCGTGCACCCGCCCCGGCAAGTTCAGCCCAGCCATGGAGGCGCGTGCACTTACATCACTATACTCTAACGATTATTAACGCGGTAATATACAATAATTTAAAGCGTAGGGCTTTAAGTTAACTCTAAGGGATAGTGGAGGATTATCCGGGACGTTACGCATTGGCCAGAATCCCGATTCGAGAGCAAACCAGGAGAATCCACCCACAAAGACACCGACACCCACACACCCCACACTGGATCGACACGCGAATTAACGATCGATTTACGCGGAATTGTCGTTCGGCGGAAATGGTCTCGATAAGAGACATAGACTGATTGTGAGTATAGTTGAGGCACTCGTGGTGCACCCTGTACTGTTGTTTCTAACGTGTATCGTAGTCACCGTGCGGCACGTGCCACTGCTACCACTGCGCAGCCCCGAGGCGCAAGGGGCAATTTCGAGAGTGCAAAGCTAAGCGTTATGATTATCGTTAAAAAAGAAAGAACGAAGAAGGGGGGAAAAATTTGATATCCGCCACCGGGACGTTAGTTTCGACTTTGAGGTCGCCTTAAGGCGGGGTCCCTAGGGCTCAGCCCGTGGCGTCCTCCTCCGTGCTCCCTACGACTCAGCGCGCTTTTGTCCCGCTCCTGCGGACGTGTATATACGTGTATATGTGTATTTATGCGACGAAGGGGGGAATTGTCATTAATTTTATTGAAATTATAATAAGTCTCGCCGCGTCTCGTATTTCGATCGCGACTTAAGGGCGAGGAAGGACCCTCGGAAATTCGGAAGGATCCGACGTTTAACGGCGAGCGACCTCTTCGTCCTGGGTCGCGACCTACGTTTTATTCGGGTCGAGTCGACTCGATTATTCGCCCGATGATTTATGTGCGTTCTAGGTTAGGTTCGATGTACAGGATGGGTTTTTATTTTTTTATTTTTTTTTTATTTTTTTCTCCCGACGAGGAAGGTCCGGTTCCGTGCAATCCCTCGTCGCACCTCGACGTCGCGATGGCCTGGGGCTTCCGCAATAGAGATAGAAGGGAACTGTTACGAGGAATACGCGAAAATGAGGATCCTCGGGGCTGATAGTAGCAGTGGTAGGGCAAGGCTAAGGATTAAGGACTATCGATTAAAAGTTATACCGAGGAATCGCGCTAGGAGATAAGAGGACTAAATATCTCTTGAGTGTACATACGATTAAGTACCGCGACATGTCACGGACGGAAACGCACCGATATGTATACGTATATGCGTATTGATATGTATACATATGTATGAAGGTATACGTATATATATCACGAGCGAGAGAGACCCAGAGGAAGCTGGTCCGAGAGGGAGAGTGAGCGTGAGAGAGAAAGAGAGACACATGGGTACGCAGATGCGTGAGAGAGAAAGAGGGACGCGTGAAAGTGACCGAGTGAGAGAGAGGGAGAGACAGAGGGGGAGAGAGAGAGAGAGAACGCTTATGTAGGGACGATACTGTACATAGGACAGATATATGTTATATATGATATATGAGGAGCCGAAGGAGCGGAGTGAGATAAATACAAAGGGTAACGAAAGCTAGCTTTGTAAATTAGCTTTACTGTCCCTCGTTTCGCCTGGACGAGAGAAAGAAAGGGAGAGAATGGAGACACGCGAGGGAGAGAAAGAGAGGGAGAGAATCCGGACCGAGCTGTACAATAATATGATAGTCAATGGCCCGCAAACCCACCGAAGCAGGAGGTCGCCCTTCGGGTCGCGAGGTCGACCCTGACCTAGGCCACGATCCTTGACCCAGACCTTGACCGTGATTTGTTACTTCCCGGCCTTCGCCGAGGAGTCCTTTGATCGCCACCCCAGTGGGCAGACCTCGAGGAGCAGGGTTGTGCCGAGTTCCCTTTAACTCCTAATTCCTGTTAACCTCTTTTAACTTCTTTTATCTCCTTTACCTCCTTTTACTTTATTTTTTCCCCCACTCCCAAGTCAATCACCCGAACCATCCCTTCAGAAATCGACGATATGGGGTGGAGGAGCGGATCGGAAGTTCACCCTAAGGAGTGGATACCTTCTTATCAGGTGGCACAACCCCTTCCGAGGCCATGGTACCTTCCCACGGGGATGAAGGTCGAAAACCGATAACTAATATATCTCAACCTACCGAAAAATCCCCTTTGAGAGATGTACACCTTTACGTGCGTTCACCTGTGACCCGTACTTCAGCCCTCCTTCCCGCCCCCTGAGAGTCTGGGAGTCCGAGAGAGAATCAGGATGTGCATGCGTGTGTTCTGTTGTTATGATCATGTGTGTGTGTACGTGTGTGTATGTGTGAGCGATGCAGAACACGGCGGGTGTTTCTAAAGAGAAATGTTCCTATACGTCGTAATGGTTATACTCTAGAGTTAGATTAGGGGCGCGTCCGTCCCGACTTTAGCCAGTAGGCGTTCGCGCGTGGATCCTTTTATTTTTGTTTCTGCTCTTATTTCGTCCCCCCCTTCCGCGGCTCGGTGTCCTAGTTTCTCTCCCCCATTTCCCCAAGGACGTTGGACCGTCGCCCCCTAGGACCGAGCTGAGCTTCCCGTGATAAAAGGGGGATGCACATTTATTTTCTGAAGGAGAAGCGTGCCGGAGGGGGAGCTCAACGAGGCCGAGGGGTCGCGGAAAAGCGCCAACTGCAGAAATAGTGCCGCCGCGAGAAATATCCCGATCGATCCCATGGGAACCCCTCGATTTCGGCACGTGGGGTCAACTCTGAAACCATCAAAAACGAAGAATTCCTTCGTTCAAACCGATCGTCGGGAGTATTTCTCGCCGTGACATCCATTAAAGAGAAATGTCCCGGTGTATCCCAAAAGAGGTTCCCATGGGAACCCCCTCGATTTCAATACGTGGAATCACCATGAAACCATTAAAAAAAAAAAAGCATTCGTTCTTTCGAATGGAGCATCGGGAGCGTTTCTCGTCGCGGTATCCTTTATCTAGGGACGTGCAAATTCGGTCTTGGTCCTGGTCTAGATCCTGATCTTGATCTTAGAAATGTGGTTCGGCACATTCTGGAAGACTTCCAGGACAAGAGCGATTTTTCTCGTCGCTGTCTTCATCCCTCGGGATGGTCCATGGGGGGTCAGGAAAGGTCCGCGGGGGGTCGCGAGTCAGCCCGAAGCGTAGTCGTCCTCGCGATAGTATCTCTTTGGAAGCACCTCGACTCGGCGAGGACGAGCTCGTCCATGGGAGTCCTCCTTTCTCGTCCTTAGGTCGAGGGTGTCGCCCCGCGACGGTCTGGTCTTCGTCGACGACGACGACCGTCTCCGCGAGCAGGATCGGAAAGGAAGAAAGAGGAGCTTTAATTAACAGAGGAGGAAAAAGGAACGAGTCGATGGAAAAAAAAAAATGTATAGGAGCAGGGAGTTGCTCTAGCTGTATTATTACGATTAATAATATAACAATTATGCATGATGGAAAAAAAAAGAAAAAAAAAACGTAACGTTATTTTACCGACTACGTCCGTTCCGTTTCTTTTGCCGCTGTTGGCTCGCGCTCGCCAGAATTCGGAATTTCCCCGAGTCCTCACGAGCGGCGCCATCAACCCCCTCCCCAATTTCGCGGTATGACATTAATTTTAATTGTTATTGATTAATCCTTATTGGACCGTGCAATATGTACAAACTTCGACTAAATTACATTTTTATATGGAATATTAAGTAGGCTTACGGGGCCTCGCTCGCCTCCACCCCCCGAGGCGCCTCCGTCGCCCCGGAAGCTAAGAGCGAGAGAAAGAGCGAAAGGGAGAAACTGAGAGAACGCGAGAGAGAGAGAGAGTGTGCCCTCTGTCTGTTGTATATTATTTTTATTTCCACCTTTTTTACATAAAAACGCAAGATCGACATGGACCATGCTATGTATGGATGATATGTTCCAATTACTAGAGTAAATCTTTCAACAAACACACAACCTTTCTCGTCAATTATCCGCTTCGCCGTAGAGTGTCGCCACGGCATAACCCCTCGACCCAGACGTTAAGTTTAAGGGCCTCTGAGACCACCCCTTGAACAATTCCGCCCTAAGGATTGACGTTCCTCTCGGTAAGTTTGTAATATCATATTATGCGAGGTCGCCCCTTTAGTTTCGATGGCACGCTCGATACGTGATCTCGTCGCGAAGATTAAAAATCCAAGATGGCGCCGCGGCTGAATTTCACTATTGGGGGTTTTGCGTTCGAAGTTGCCTCCGAAAAGTGCTCTTTGGAACTGTTGGCTTCATTTTGCGCGTCTTTTCTGTGGTGACTCGCTTTAGGAGAGATTCTGGACTATCATAGATCCCTTCAGGACGCTATTTCTGTTCCTCTTTCGGTCGAATACGGTATACAATATGTGCGCTCGTAGCGAGAATGACAAATCCAAGATGGCGGCGCGGCTGAATTTCACTGGTGGGAGTTTTGCGTCGAAAGTTACCTCCGGAAAGTGCCCTTTGGAACTGTTGGCTCCATTTTGCGCGTCTTTTATGTGGTGACTCGCTTTGGGAGAGATTTTGGACTATCGTAGATCCCTTCAGGGCGCCATTTTGGTGCTCTTCCGGCGTAGTCGGATCCGATACAGGCGAGTGCAATCGCGCTACGACGACCACCCTCGGCTGTGCATTACGGCGGGGCTTGGGGGCAGTCCAATATTTACACGTGGACGAACTTTAGCGGCGAGATACAAAGCTCAGTTTCCAGCGGAGATCGATCGGCGTCGATCCGATCGGCCGTCCTGAGGAAACGAGGTCAACCCGTTCGTTCTTCGGCCTGGTACCCCTGGAGGTCTTACCGGGCCGATGAAACTCTGCGCCAGCGAGTTCCTACCCTGTGTTCGAGCCTAAGTCTACGTCAGTATCCGAAGTCCCGGGACGAGGTCGCCGTCTGCCTTGGGAAGCCCTTACCTGCGAGCCAGAAAGCGGGAACAAAAGGTAACGCCCTATACTCCCATCTTAAGGCGGGACGAAACCGACTTCCGAAGACTCGATCGTTTGTGAAACTTTTCTCCGAACCTAGTGCACCGAATCAGTCTAAATTTTACCACGCGAACGTGGAGGCGCTAAGAAAAGTCCCGGCACTCGTGAAATTTCTAATTTTTCTCCTAATTTTATAAATATCTGGTACTTTTTATCTGACGTTAACTTCCTTTAGGGTCTCCATATTGGCGGGGGAAATTTAGAAATGGCAAACCTGGCTTGGTGAAGATGTTTAGGAATCAGGGTTAAATGGGAGTTTTGAAGGGTTCATTTTAGTGGTCGATGGGGCGGGTTTAAGGTCTTACCAGACACTGCACTTGTGTGTGGGGTTCATGGGCGAGCCCGATGGGCAGTTATATGCACGAGCGAAGTCCTCGCTGTTGGAAAGAGGCCCTATGACCCTTATGGGACCCGGAGAGTGGACGCTACTGCGGATCTTTGTCAAGGCGTCCTCGGGCCTCATGGAGCCGCACCAGATTTGCGCGTAATTCAGGAAGAAGAGTTGGTCGTGGGTTAGGTTCACCCCCGGAAGCAGCGGCTCCTCCCCGTGGACGGAAACCCACTTCTTGTAGGCCTGAAAGAAGGTACCAAACAAATCGGACAAATGTCTTCCACTAACTAACGTTTTTGTATGTAAGACCCCAGAGTCCTTTGAAATCTACCCTGAAGGACTGCTTCAGGCCGCCGTTGTCGGCAATGTTCTCGCCCTGGGTCATCCTTCCGTCCACGTAGAGGTCCACTTCCGGTAGCTTGTACCGAGAGTACTGGTCAACGATGCACTGAGCTCGCTCCCTGAAGGCGCGGATCGTGGCGTTGTTCCACCACTGCATCATGTTCCCATCATTGTCGAACTGGCGGCCCTTATCGTCAAACCCATGGGTTATCTCGTGCCCGATAACCACGCCGATTCCCCCGTAGTTCAAGGACTTTGGGAAGTGCTGAGAGTAGAAGAGAGGCTGCAAGATCCCGGCAGGGAAGACTGCAAAAAGGAGATCCGTGTAGACTCCGATGGGTTGCACTTGTTGGGTCAGAGGATGCCATCTTCAATTCTATCATTAACTTAACAATATTTATTACCGATGTCGTTATTATTAGGGTTGTAGAAGGCGTTCACCACGGCAGGTTCCGTGGACCACCTGTTCTTGTCCACGGGTTGTCGCAATTTCTCCAGGTTGTGGTAAGCGTCGTACCTGAGCACTGCGAAGACGTTCTCCAGGAAGTGGTCCTTCGTGATGTTTAGCTGAAATTTCGCCCTCCTGTTTAATCTCATTTTACGCATCGTTGGACGCCATTCCCCGAGACTTACCTTGACGTACTCCATCGACAACTCGTCCGGGTCCTTCAGGAACTCAGGGTACCCGATTCTCTCGTTCATGGCGTCTGCTTTACTTTTTGCAACCGCTCTGGTTTCGTCGTCCATCCAATGGTTCTCTGCCAGGAGCTCGTTGAATGCCTCTCGGATGGTGTGGATCATCTCCAGGGCGGTTTCCTGAGACACGTGAATTTGCCATGAATTTTTGCACTAGACTCTAATTATCCTAATTATCCTTCCAAGGGTAGGAAGTACCTTGCTCTCGTGGTTAAAGTTATCCCGGATGAAAAGAGCACCCACGGCCATGCCCAGCTTCTTGTTGGTCCACTCCACACACTGGGACCAGCGATTCCTCTCGCTCAGAATCCCCAGCAGGATCTTCCGGAACTCGATCCTCTTCTGTTGGTAGTCCTCTATCATGTGGGGCATGATGGACATTACCAGACGCCATAGGATGTAATTGTGCAAGGTCCTGCACAAATAAAAATCAAAATACCTCTGCCCAAAAGTACTACCGAGCGCATCAGCATTTCTTCTTGTGTTGATATTAATATTTGTTCATATTAATTGGACGTAGCTTTGGGGTATTCATGTTGGAAGTGGGAACTTCGGTACCTTCTGTCTGTCTTTTCGATGATTTGACCCATCTGCACGAAATAGGTCATCGCGTACGCTACGACAGGTTCCTCTTCGGTAATTGGAGCACTTAGGAACTCCTGCAGGTAAAGCTTCCAGTTCAGCTGGGGAACTTTCGCCTGAAGTTCCCGCAGGCTGAGCTTCCTGTAAATCGCCGAAGTGTCGTGCCTGTCCGCCTCGGGTAGAGACGCCTGGAAAAGTCGACAAATTGTCAGTCTTAATGTTCGAAGCTGGAAGTTGGTAAATCTGGGGAAAGATCCGCACGTTTGCCAGCTGTTTCTCCAAGACGATGACTCTGTCGAACTCCTTCGACGCGGTCTGAGGATTCGCTCCCAGAAGGACTGCGACGTTCGTCATGTACTTGTGGTAGGCCTTAAGGTCGGTCTCGCTGTTCTTCTTCAGATAGTAATCCCTGCTGGGAAGAGCCAATTGCATCTGGTCCAACTGCAGAGAGACTCCATGAGCATGTTCTCGGTCATGCCGATTAAATGCACCGTCGCGTTAAGGCGACATCAAAGTGGCCTCCGAAAGTTATCCACAGTTTATGAAGCTTTCCTCCGAACTGGGTGCACCAAATCGTTTGCAATTTTACTACATGAACATTAAGACACTAAGGAAGGTCCCGACGCTCCTGAATTTCCCTTTCTACGAAGAATTTTTTAATCCTTATAAATGTATTTTGAAAAATCAAGTTTCTTGGGCGTCGGGATCTTCCTTAAGGCCTTCGTATTGACGTGATTAAATCTCGAAGAATTCGGCGCAGTCAGTTTGGGGAAAAGTTTCAAATCATTTACTCGGATGCCATTTTCATACCACCTTAAGCAGGAAGACCAGCCACAGGAGCGAACTTATCATTCGTTATCACTCGTTTCGGCAATTTTTGGACAAAAACGCGAATGGCCTTCCGCTTAACCCTCCATAACGTCACACGACTTCAAAGGCATACTCGTATATAAATATCTGTTAAGCCTTAATTTTTCGGGCAGAACGTAACGTAGCACCCGATCATTGCACCACTTCTTTGTGACCAAGGAATTTGTTTATCAGCTATACATTTATATAGGCGCGATAAGGACGTCAGTTTTTGCTAATTTCCCGGTATATCTATTTTTTTTTCGCTTGAAAGAAAAAAAAAATCTGTTACAGAGAGTTAACGCGCAGAGCGATCGGTCTGAAGTCTTACTTTGGCGGCGCACCTGGAGGATGTTTGTTGAGGAGTTTTTGTCATCGGGACCGACCCACTGCTCCAATAAGACACCCTCGTTGTATTCTCCTCGGAGACGTCCAAGAAGGACCTCCATGGGGTACGAGGGTGGTTTCCAAGAGGAGCCTTCAACCGCCGGCCACCCTCCTAGGTTCTTCAGGGTTCTCCTCAAGGGCTCGTCCCCGATCTCTCGTATCTGAGCTGCAAAAGATCAGGGACTTAGTCCTTGGACCTCTCCCAGCAGGTGGGAAGGATCCCTCTGAAAGACTCGGGGGAAAATTAAAGAATACGAGGCTCACCTAAAATCCCCCTTAAAGTCACTTCCCCGAAGTTTGCAAATACACTAAAATTATTATTTCCACTCTCTAAATAAATATAAAAAGAAATCAAGGTCTACGAGATAGTGTCTTTGTTCCTGATGCTAAGATTATATTTTTAGGCAGCAATTTAATTTAATTTTATTTTCAAGTGCCTGCCGAAGTTGCAGGTTCACTTTTTCGGTAGAGACGAAAGATGCGTAATTTTGGTTTGTTTTTGCGGTTTTTTTTTTTTTAACTTGACTGAAGACCTGGGAATGTTCTTTTGGGTGGGTTCTTGGTGAGCTTTGCGGCTTTGAATTGTTCGGAAATGATTTGGCACCCTCGACTTTGGTTTTAATGGTATGCACCCCCAGCTCTCAGAGGGACCCCGAAGGGGTGTTCGTTGTACCCACGGATGTCCGTGCAGGACTTGTAGAACATCTTGGCCTTAAGGGTCGCGTTGTTGTCGTCCTGGTTCGGAGGTTCCTCCAGGAGGCGTTTCAGGATGACCTGAAGCTGGTCGGCCAGGACCTCGAAGGTGCTGATGGAGCTTCGATCCTCCGGGATCACGTGGATCCTATTCCAGGCTCCACATGCATATTGGAAGAAATCCACACAGGGTGCAGCAGTCCTGTCCATCGCTGTCAGTAGACTCGCCGCTGTCAAGAGTTTCAGTTGACACGTTGGATAAATAAATCTAATATTTACGTATAATCCATCAACGCCCGTCGCGTGTCAAATTGTCCCACTTGCATCAACAATTTCTAACGACAACTGCGGTTAAATAAAATTGAAATAATATCAACAGTCATTAGTGAAGTTGCAACTATACGGTGTATTATTCCCTGGGATATTTTTGGGGAAGGTGAGCAGAAAAAAGAAATATACTGTCAAATGAGAACTGTCAAAATTGTCCCCGATTTTTTTCCACGCTTTTCTATCGGCAAAGGCCTTCGCTCTTTCGCTTACTTGGCTCCAATTAACAATCCAGAGACTGGGAAATAATTTTCGTCGGTTTACCGAAGACCTTAACGAACCTCTCCAATTAGTTGGGCTCAAAGAGTCCGCGCAAACTTTGGCTAATGGCCGCGCGTACTCTGTACGAGATTAACCGAGTGCTCGGCGGAATTGTGAGATGCGCCATAATTGACCCGGATGAGCTCTTCCCACCCTCGACTTAATATCCGGCCCTTAATTCGCCGAAGGAGAACTCGATCTTAAACCGCCCCGAGCTTAGTCACCTTTCCGGAATTGAATTTTCGATCACCTTCCTCGGCGGTATAACGTGCTTAGCGAGGACTCATCTTCATTTACGTCGCTTCTCTCCCGAGATAATTATTCCCGATCTGCAATCCCTTCCAGGTGGGCTTTAAAATTAATTAACAGGCAGAACGTGCCCTCGGCTGATTGGAAACTATCGACTTCTTCTATTACTCCTTCCAAAATATCGAGACATGCATTCGGCGGGTTAAGGCGGTAGGAAAGTGGCCACTAAGGAGAAAATTGTAACACTTTTCTCGGGACCATTTGCCCCGAATCGTTTGACATTATACCACGTGAATGTGGAGACCCTAAGGAAGGTCCCGATAGACCGGAATATGTATTTTTTGTAGAAAAAAAAATTATCAATTGATTATATATTTATGAGAAATGAAATTTTATAGGTGCCAGGACCTGCAGCCTTCATATTTATGAGGTGGCGTTTTTAACGATTCGGTACACCCAGTCTGGAGAAATCTTTCATGTTCGATTTACCCTTTCGGATGTGACTTTCATGACGCCTTGACGTCGGGAATTTAATGCACCGGCGGAAGCCGCCCCTAAAACACTCCGACTTTCCCGAGGCGCTTTTCCGAGATTCAATTTCCCACCGTCTTCTCCCTCATAATCTCATGGCGGCAACTTAATCTCCCTCCATCTAGGTCGAGGCTGCGCCTCCTTCGTTACTCCTCGGGAATTGAAACGCTCCGGGATAATCGTGACCATTATTCCCGGTTGATGCGAAATTACTCTCAAATTATTCTTTCTCTTAATTTTCACTTTTTAAACCCTGACTCCGGGTCTTTTTAAGTGCCGAGAATATTGCGATTGCTTATCGAGGGCTCGTTATTTATTTTCATTCTTAAAGTCAGGGTTACCTTAATTTTTAAGTGAACATGCAGGGAGTATTACGATCGCTTAAGGACACATTTTTTAAATCTTAATTTTTTAAGTGAACATGTAGAGAGTATTGCGATCGCTTGAGGAGGACACATTTTTTAAATCTTAATTTTTTAAGTGAACATGTAAGGAGTATTGCGATCGCTTAAGGACACATTTTTAATATCTTAATTTCTTAAGTGAACATGCAGGGAGTATTGAGATCGCTTAAGGACACATTTTTAAAATCTTAATTTCTTAAGTGAACATGCCGAAAATATTGCGATCGCTTACCAGTCCTGACGCACTCCTCGGTCATGCAGACGTTCGGCCCTGCAATTGAGAAGAATAGAAATGAGATCGACGTAATGATGCCGGAGTAAGTTTAACAGAGGATGCACTTTCCCGTCTCAATTTCAACGATCCTTTAATTGACATCCCAATGATCGGTCGACCGGTTAGCCGTAAATCGCTATGGAGGAACACGCGTTTCTCCATGTACTCGTACATGGGCACACAGGTACCCGGGACCAAAACTCGATATCCTCGGCGTAAGCCTCGATATCACGGTCCGCCGATAAATCTAGGTTTCGACATTCCTGGACGACCTCGGTGGAGGTTTTGCAATTTCGCGAGGCGATTTCGAGTTCGAGGCGTTCGAGGACGCTCGCGATTGGCGCAGTCCTAGAATCGCAACCGTCAAGGACACGAACGGTTTTCCGATTTTTCATTTCACGCCCCAGGTGATCCCGCACGAAACTTCCGCACTTCGCCCGAAGTGCCTGGAGATAAATGTTAATTAAACGGGAGATACTTTCGGGAAACGTCGGGACGGGATATCCAGGAATCGAGAGCCCTCGTAAACGGCGGATCCCTCGTGCATTAACCATCAGCGAAGAAAAGACGAGCCCTTTGTAGAGTGTTACGAGGCTCTACGAGCGACCTGTTGATCACTCGAGGAGCTTCCAAGCTCATCCGAGGAGAGAAGTCTTTTTTAGAACTGGGAATTTCGCGCCAAGGAAGGAACCACCTCGGATGTCGGGCAAGGGGTAAGTTCTAAGGGGATTTGATAGACTTTGGTAGGTTTTTCCGAGGACAGAAGTCTTTTTTAGAACCGGGAATTTCGCGCCAAGGAAGTATCACCTCGGATTTCGGGCAAGGGGTAGGTTCTAAGGAGATTTAATAGACTTTGATAGGTTTTTCCGAGGACAGAAGTCTTTTTCAGAACCGGGAATTTCGCGCCAAGGAAGTATTCACCTCGGATTTTGGGCAAGGGGTAGGTTCTAAGGGGATTTGATAGACTTTGGTAGGTTTTTCCGAGGACAGAAGTCTGTTTTAGAACCGGGAATTTCGCGCCAAGGAAGGAACCACCTCGGATGTCGGGCAAGGGGTAGGTTCTAAGGGGATTTAATAGGCTTTGGTAGGTTTTTCCGAGGACAGAAGTCTTTTTTAGAACCTGGAATTTCGCGCCATGGAAGTAACCACCTCGGATTTAGGGCAAGGGGTAGGTTCTAAGGGGATTTGATAGACTTTGATAGGTTTTTCCGAGGACAGAAGTCTTTTTCAGAACCGGGAATTTCGCGCCAAGGAAGTAACCACCTCGGATGTCGGGCAAGGGGTAGGTTCTAAGGGGATTTGATAGACTGGTAGGTTTTTCTAGGTTTCGGTAGGCTTCTCTAGGTTCTCCTAATTTTTTGTCGGCTCCCTAGGTCCTTCTAGGTTTTCCTACATTTTTCTACATTTTTTTAGGCTCCGGAAGACTTTGCTAGATTTTTGGTAGGTCCTCCGTAGCCGGTGAAGACTCACGACCTTTCTCGACACACTCCCTCGAGGTGTTCAGGGCGAGAAGAAGCAGAGTGAAGACGCAAGTAGCCAGCAGAGTCAACGCGATCACCCCCAGGACCCTCTGCCTGTTGGAGGATCCCCTCCTCTGCCTGGTGATGGAGGCACCCCTGTTCAACCTGCACAGAGCTCCGCCCGCTGCACCAGGGCGATGAAGGATAGTCGTTGTGGTGCTCCCTCGAGGACCCCTAGTCACCTGTTACAGGAGAACCGACGAGTTTCCGTCGTCCTCAGTAATCCCCAGAAAGCCATTGCGACCGAATAAGAGACCCACCTGAAGGGCGGCAGGTTCCTGGCCCCCAGGAGGCAGGTGCTCGTTCTCCTGGGTAATGACGACCCTCCTGAGGTACCTGTTATTAGCTTCGGCCTTCATCTTCCCCAGATCCCAGACAGACGACAGGGTCCTCAGGCTCCCATCGTGGGATCAGTCACACGAGCGCTCCAGCTCCCGAAGGAAAGCCCACGTGGGTCCGTATCTCTGTCATCTATCCCGCCCGCACGGCACCAGGTACCCAGGTGACTCTCCTCCAATCTAAATCCCAACAAGGTACCTCAAGGTACCATCCTGGAGCCCGAATCTCACAAGTGGAGGTCCTCGATTCCTCCCCAGTACCCCACCTGGAAACTTTCCCCGGGGAAAGACCCTGGCTTCTCCTCCAGGACTCCTCGCAAGACCCCACTCCTGGGGACTCCCGGACACCCCACTAATCCAGGTGACCCCCCTTCGACCCAGAGCCCAACACGAAATCCGGAGATCCCATCCCTGGTGGCCGAATCCCACAGGTGGCTGGATATCCAGGCGCCTCCACCCCCTCTTCCCTGGGACCCTAGGAGTATCCTCGCCACCAGGAGACCCGAGGGAAGGGACCAGTGGACTCTGCAGGATCCACCAACACTTTTTAGGACCTCACTCCTGGGGACTCCCGAGGTTATCCTGCCGTTTTTTGGGGCATCGAGTGCACTCGGTGCGGACGTCGATGCAGACTGCGCAGCCCAGGAGGCCCTAGGGCCGCGGTCTCACCTGGTGTCGGGCGCTGCGTCCTCCTCAGGTGCCGGGCACAGGTGCAACGCGGGTCACCGTGTCTTCGGAGGTCGCGCGGACGAGCACACCTTCCGGCCGCTTTGATGTGACTTCTCTGTCATGCCGACCGTTCCTCTCGCACGGCGCCTCCACCTCCTCTCCTCTTCCTCCTCCAACGAAGGCGGCGCCAGCGTCCACCCCGCAGAAGAGAGGGGCTGAGAGATGGGGAGGACGGAACCTGCCGCAGGTCGATAACGCGCCTGCGACCTACGACCCGCGAACAGCGCGCCTTTTCCTACTCGTTAGGCCCTTTTGGACTCCTAAAGACACCAGGGTGGGGCGAAAAAGCATATACAATTCGTATCTCATTGTTTTATTTCAAGTCCCAGGTAAATGGAAGAAACATTATGGGGAAGTCCACGGTGATCCCCTCTCCATCCATCCAGCTGTAGAGGGTCTTGCGACGCAGGAATTAATAAGCGATGCGCTCGGAGCAGCTCCAGGACAAAGGAAACCGCGATAATGAAGCCGAATTCCCCGATACAATGGGACATTGTTGGCTCCGCTATTTAACGGGGCTTCAGGTGTTCGCTGTTAACGTTTTATCGCTCGTGCAGTCGCTAATATGCGACACGTGTCGGAAGTTTCGCCTTTATTGTCGCCCCCTCTCTAACTGCCCCGACGCCGCAACTGCATTCCGCATTGTTGGCGCTAAAGGACGCGATGCTGCACCGCGGCGCGGACGATGCGGATAATAATTGCTTGGAATCGGGTGCGGATAGAGTTTGACTGCGCCATCTTAACCCCGAAGGGTGAACTCAAAGACTGGTGTACCGATAAGTATCCAGTAACTTAGCCTAGCTTTTCTTTAAACCGGATGCGCCGGTAACCGAGTCGGATTGTTTCGAATGACGCCGGACAGATGGCGCGGCCGTTCGTTCCAATCTGCAGGAATCACCTTTGGGAGATCATCGATTCCGCTTATAAGCGGCAATGCCGAGACTTATTCCAGAGATGAGTTGGAAGATTGATCACGGGCAGGGTCGCGCGATCGCATCCTGTGCTGTCCTCTGGTTTTGTATGTTAGTTTTCACCGTTTCTTGCCCCCAAGGGCAGCGTAATGAATTTCTGGTAGGGGCTGCGCACTCGCGATGGCGGTGCCATCTACCAGTCGCCGTTGACGGCTCACGTACTCGTAATGGTAATACCATGCGGCTGTTGACGGTGGTGGCTTACCTACGCTTACCGACACTGCTTGCTTTTGATGGTAAGGGAAGAACACTCGTGGGGCCCTCTTTGACTTTACCCTTCACTTACCTTATTTATTTTATTCTCAAATGGGAGGCAAGAAGCGGTGACAGCTAACGTACGAAATCAGAGGGTAACACAGGATGCGATCGCGCGACCCTGCCCGTGAGCAATCTCCTAACTCATCTCTGGATACTATTTGTCTGCAGAGATGATCTGTAATATGCGAGTGTTAATATTCATGACTGTACTGTTCCTTATCATTGCGTTTTCCTTTGGAACCATATCACCTCCCTCTGGAAAAGCTGACAAGAAGCAATCTCAGGAAAAGAAGAATAAGGTTGATAAAGCTTAATTATTCAGATTTAATGCACCGATTGTGAGACTAACTTACTTTTTTATAGAAGGGTCCAACGGATCGAAATGTCTTCGACAGAGGTTTAGTGGTGAAAGACATTAAGATTAGTCAAATCCTCCGAGAGTCAGGATTGTATTATGAGAACACCACTAATAGACAGTTTACAGGGAACGTATTGGGGTACGTTACTCCTGTGAGTATGTGGAGTAATTAATTTGTTATTATTTCCATTGTCGCTGTATTGCAAACGTTAACAATATTTCAAGAATATACTTTACTGAAACTACTAGATCGTCTTTATATTACATGTATTTAATGGCTTTTGCAGTGGAATGGCGAAGGCTATGAAGTCACCAAAACGTTCCATGGGAAATTTACAACGGTGTCGCCTGTATGGCTGACGTTTCCTAAAGGGGATGTCATAACTTTTCAATTAACTACTTACGATGTGAATAAGAAATGGCTGCAAGAAATGAGAAAGACCAATACAGAGAAACATGCAGTTAAGGGTAATATTTAATTAATATGTCTTACTTTTAAATGATATTCCTAGACAAAAATTATCAATATGCATTTCCTGCTTCAGTCTATCCTCGAATTATATACGAGAATTGGTCAGGTAATGACATTGCCAATTTACATGCAAACAGTGAGAGAATGAATCAATTGGTCTCAACGCTTAGGAAAACGGCTAAGGTAATATCTTCATTTTTATGTTAACCTATTTACTAATAAACCTTATCCATTTCCTTATTGACCATTGGTACTGCCATTGTTGCAACTAGGATGCAAATTCTGTTAAACAGTTTCTATGTTTTAAACTATTACAAACTACTGACATTCTTCTGTTTACTTTCAGGAATTCCAGTTTGATGGTTATGTCTTTGAGTTGTGGAACGCACTCTCATATTCGAGAGCTAACATGAACTTTGTCAAAGATGTTATCACAACCATTGCGAGGAAACTTAAAAGTAATGATTTAGGATTAATATTAGCGGTTCCACCATCTCGTGGGTAAAATCTTTGTCATCAAAATTCCTTTTACTTTTCCTAAATTTCTAAGCTATGTTCATAAGGAAGAAATATCTGTTTAGGAAGGACTTTCAGTTATTCACCAAACGAGACTTCGATGCTCTTGCATCTGACGTTGAAGCTTTTTCACTGATGACCTATGACTACTCAAGTGTCCAGCGTCCGGGACCTAATAGTCCATTGGACTGGGTTAGACAATGTGTCGAAGAATTAGTTCCAAATCAAGATGACCCCAATCGTTCAAAAATCCTATTGGGCATCAACTTTTATGGAAATAATTACACTCCGGAAGGTGGAGGACCAATAATTGGTTCTCAATATCTAAAACTCCTTAAATCACTGAAAGGGAAAGTGCAGTGGGACGAGAAGAGCAAGGAGCACTTTTTTGAGTTGAGGTACGATCTCCCAATATCATTATGTTACTCTAGACAGTGACTCTAGATCATACTCCAATTCTCTAAATTTAATATCGATTTCAAGTTTGGGATTTTAAAGTGAAATGAAACCCCCTTGAAATCAGTCAACTCGAATAAGACACAACTATATTATAATTCAACATAGCTCTCAATATAAAAACGAACTCGGCAACGTAGTTATTTGAAAGAATCTTTTTTACCGACGTTGATCAAATTTCTCAATGTGTTTCATTTCACCTTGAGAAGCCAAAAATGACTGATATTAGCCATTTGGTTGTTGGTAATTGGCGGTGAAATTACTAATTTCAGTCATGCAATCGGATATGTGTTAATAGATAACATAAATATTTCTGTTTTAGGAGTACGGGTGACAGTTCCTACGTCTTCTACCCTACACTATATTCAATGAAGCTCAGGATAGATCTTGCAGCTGATTTAGGAACCGGCATTTCCATTTGGGAACTTGGCCAAGGATTGAATTATTTCTACGATTTGTTGTAACATTGTTAAGAAAAAAAAAGGGAGGCTCAAAACCGAAACGAGTTTCAGTTTCCAAGACTGTCAATGTTTGTGGTGAATCATGCACGTTAATTCCCACAAAAATACTGCAATAAAAATATTTTGTTTAACTAATACACTCGCAATTAATCCACTAGTTCAGTGATTATTTAAATTAAAACGCAAATCTAATCATAACAAATCCTTTTAATTCATTACTAGTATTTTCATTCCATTGCAGCAACTGGTGCATGAGTAATAGTAATTACATAATCGCAAAAGACAGTAATCTCATAATTCACTATATTCTTGCGATGTAGTATAAAAAAGTCTTATTTACAAATTGAGCTCATAATGGAAAAGGTTTCCCCACAAGTTGGAAAGTGCGAGTAACAATGGATATTAAGCTATCGATTAGTATCATTATGTAACGCAGCTTCGCTATGTTTTAATATAACAGAAATTTCAAATGTTTCAACTATCTCAGTAGCTCTTTCCGTTTACATAGTTAGTTACGGTGTTATTGTTCTCACTGAAAGCCTTTTGGTTCCCTTTGAACATCATCATTGCTTGTGGTCCATGTAGAATGCGATACATCAAAGCCCAGCAGAGTTTCGCAGGTAGAAGGCTTAAAGATAGAAAAAACTCAGAGGGGTGACGGAGTTTAATCAAATGGTAAGTGCAACCAGATTCCATTAATTTATGTTACATTACGTTAATTCACTTACCATTTCAGTGGTAAGAGGTACCTCACACTAGCAGGCAGAGTTACGTTAACAGCATTGGTTAATATACCACTTATTACTTCTTCAGCAACGTACTCAGGATCCAGCATTGGCATTAATCTATAAATTGGTTATAAGAAACGTTAAAAGTATATACATAAATCATGTAATCAATTCTTAATTCTTACCTAGGTTTGACTCCGTGAAACATTCCAGTGTTTATAAAGTACGGACACACCAAAGTTGTGTGAATTCCATCGTAACCATGGGACTGATTAAGAAATTAAAAAATGTATCTTTAATGAACAAAGTGAGTAAGAAGTGATAATGAACAAAGTTGGAAAGAAGAACTATAGATGAAAAGTTTTAATTTAATTATAAATACATACTGGAAAGTCAAGAAAATGCAATTAATCTGTAATCTAGAGGTGTGCGAAGGTTTATATTTAAAAATTGTGATAAACCGAACATGTTATATTTACATGCATGTAGATTGCATATTTGCATGTTAATTTAATATTAGTTTAACATACCTTCAACTCGGTAAAGAGACTTTCGTGATAACCAATGGCCGCGAATTTCGTGGCAGAATAATCGGTACAATTGTAAGTACCGAGAAGACCAGCAACACTCGCAATTGTCACAATGTGTCCATGATTTTCCTTCATCATGTCCTTCAAGAACGACTTGGTGATCTAAGGAAATTATAAAATTAATATCTTGATATTTATCAATATAGCATGTTAATATTAATATAATATATGGGGCATTATTATTTTTTAAATATCTCTACTTTAATATATAAGTCTTTGACAAAATTTATTTTACAATCGATCTGTATTCGATTAATGAAATTCAATTTTACAAGATTAATGACTGCTACTTGCCCAATAGTGTGACAATATGTTAACTTTAAAAGTTCGCTCGATTTCCTTATCAGGTAATTCCAAAAGAGTCCTCCCGTAAACATATCCTGCGTTGTTTATCAGCAACGTTATCTGAAAAACATGTACATTAATTCAATTAAAAAGTAGAATATCGTGTAAATTAATTCAATGAAAAAGTAGAATAAGAACACTTGGATAAAATAACGTATTTACGTTTCCGACTTCGATCTTAACATTTTTCGCAGCTTGATAGACTTCTTCTTTATCGGTGATATCGCAATGGTAGCCAAAGCATTTACCACCGGCTTGCTTTATTTCCTTTACGGTATCCTTGATGCCTGTTAACAGAAAGTTAACGTTAATTCAGACACTTCTCTCACCGCATCTTTCATGCATGTTAACAAAAATTTAACATTTATTCAGATTCCTTATATTAAGTGGGCTTCAGTTGACACTCAATATACATACGAGACTAGTAATTCTAGTAACAATGTACATATTATATATATGTATGTGTGTATATATATTTATATTATTTATATTATTATATATATTTTGTATATATATATATGACCCTTTTATATCACCTTAAGATACCGGATTCTGAATTTCATAATTTTTTTTCAGGTTCCTGAGATCACGTGGTTGGCTCTTTTTTATGAATTTTTGTATGCATTACCTTGTTCGTTTATATCCCAAATGACGACGGTTGCACCTCGGGATGCCAATTTAGCTGCAATTAATCGGCCTATCCCACCTGCTCCACCTGTTACAAGAGCAACTTCCCCATCGATGATTTTCTCCCGATATCGACGAGGTACCAAAGTCAGTATTATGCTCTCGGTTATATAAACCACAGCCATTCCAAGGAAAAGCAGGAAGTCATAAATTATCGCCAACATTTCCCCGAAATCCATGGTGTTATCTAGAACTGAAAAATATCATATATAGATTGCTATTGATGGTGTCATTTAAAATGATAAAATTACACCGTATAGAGTACTATCCATGGTGTTATCTAGAGCTATGTAATTTTACTGTACAGATTACCGTCCACCATGACAATATATAGATCACTTTAAACATAAGTTAAGACAATTGATTTGTCTATTTTTCATTATCCATGTTATTAATTGTTAGGGATCTCAATTTCATTGTCGGTACCGGGGATACTTATAATAAATTTAATCGTTCTAAGTTAAAAGGAATGACACCTTTGTTTGGTTCGAAATTTAAATAAATCCTAATTATTTACAACACGACTACGCTACGTTGAATGGTGAATAATGCCAGGATTGCATACGACTCGCTTTAAGGGAAAAAAAAAACGAAGATAACATTAAAACAAGGATGATTAACAGTTTGCGTAAAAATTTCTCGAGGAAGTTTACATAAAAATTCTCTCATAGGTGATAATTTTCATTATCCGAGGTGTGTAGAAATCCCATAGGAGAATTTAGGGGAGCCGAGGTCGTGAAATTTAACGGGTCTCCTCGAGATAAAACGGATGCTATCATCTGATTTGATCCAGACGAACTTCGAATAAACGGAGGAACGGATGTAACGTTCATTCCGTGGAATATTGCATCGAGGCTCGGTGAAAGTACATCTACAAAAACTCCATGAAATGATTCTTCCTGCTTAGTTTCGTCGTTTTCTATCCTCGGCTAACGGTTCAGTTAATACCAAACTTGTGCTCGTTATGCAGCATAACTCCTGTATTTGCAGAAAGGAAAGTGGAGCGAGATGTAACGTTAATCATTATCAATTCAGGATATACCGGTGCACTTATGTGAAAAAAAGAATAAGGCTGTTCTTTTCTCCTTTTTCGTCCTTCTAAGAACATAACATGGATGTAAGATCCTTTATATGAACTGGCTTAAAAAGGATGATTTTCAACCTGTATCTATATTCGTAATTTTGGACCCTGGAAATGTAACATTTTTCGATAAAATATGCTGTTTGGATATATTGTGAAAAATATAAAAAATTCCTGAATACTAAAAAACGATTAGAGAACAAAAGTTATTGACCGAAATAAATATGTATATAGATGCCTGAATCATATATGATCGTAAGAAACAATTATTTGCCGAGAAGAAAAATTGATGTCGTTGAGTTAAACTGATTGTTGTTGATTTAAACAAATTCATATTTATGTAATTTTAGTTCGCCGTTGTGTCCTGCAAATACGAGTTCCAAATGACGACTCATAAGCGACACCCTCATGTCTCGTTTTATGATTTTTTAATCAGACAAATTTGATGGAGATTTGCATCGCTTTGTCTATCTGGATTCTTTAAATAGATTTATGATTGAATCAAAGTAAAAGAAAAACATGAAAAAATACTGTTTCAATCGCCATTAAAGGTGAGAGTGGATGGGATTGAAGGATGCAATAAAAAAGCGATTGGGAATATGCTTTCTAAATGTGTGTCGAATATCGATGCATCGTTTCGAGTCCGTCTGGGCGATAAGTGCACCTGTATCATTACGAAGACAATGAAGTTCTTGACCCCTTTCTCTTCTCTCGACAATTTAATGATTTTTACCGTGGAATAATGTGTAGAGAGATAAGGAAAAGTTTCTCTAAGAAGAAATGCTTCAAAATGGGGCGTTTCCGCGGAGAGTTCGACGACCGCAATGAACAAAGGCCTCTGAAATTGCAACACTTATTTGAAAAAAAAAAAAAGAAAAGATCTCATCCAACTCAATGATCTGGTGAAAGTCAAGGGCAACGGAGCGAAAGTTATGATTTATGATACGAGACGTGATAAAACTCCGTAATGTAAATATTGTCGAGAAAAGAAGATTCAGAGACTCGGGAGGGAAGTGTGTGTAATAAATCAGAATAATGCGAGATGTTTGTCTATGTATACGTATAAATTATGTAAATCTTCTGTAAACACTGAATATACAGTACCACTCATGTACTTCAAGACAGTGGAAGTTCCAATATTTCGAAAGAACGAACCGGCGATGGAAATTATTTATCTAATTTCGAAAGCCTAATAAACGTCTGTAAGCCAATGGTATAAATGAATAAATGAACCGATGAATAAAGAAGAATCGTCATTTGATGCAGTCAAGAGGCCCTGTCGCAAAATATATAGGCCGAAGTTTGAATATATTTTAAAACATTGTTATTAGTAAAAAATACTAGATTGTTAACAAGTGTTATTTCATAGAGCTTGTTATGCAGTACATATATATATAACTTCTAATCATTACTTATGTATGAACAATAGTGGTAGTATTTTACGTTGTTTGTTTAACAATATTTGATAGGACATTGATTACTGTAAATCTATGTTTAGGGAATGTACAAATATTTAGACTATCATCCATTGAAAATTATTTAAAATGACATCTGTTGCGAACCTATCAGAATTTAAATGCACGAAAGAAAACTGTATTATTTAAATTTACTAAAGTGCAAATATATTGAAAATAAAATGAGAATGGTAGAAAGGGTATAAAGTAAGTGTGTAATTATTGTTACCGGTATATTAAAAGTATTGGGGTCACTGTACATGTACTTCGTATTTTATGAGATAAAAAGACGATTCAGAATGCGAGATTAGTAGCTGGAAACAAATGTCTGGCCGTACAACCGATACGAATAAATTAGATGTTAAATTTATCAGTTTCATGGCGCAAAAATTAATTCCATGCGTTATGAAGAGTTACACCTGTTTGAATACAAGCAAAGTATGTTTATTCTTAAGGCAAACATGACTGTCGACAATCGAGGAAAGTAGAAGAATAAACGCGAAACGAGGTGTACACTTTCCTTTATAAAAAATCCAGGATTTACCGACAATAATCGAGTTCAAGAAAGAAACATTGACGAAATGGAAGCCACGAAATTATTGCGAAATAAAAAATGAAGCAATAACAAGCTAAATGAAAATCAAGTAATTATTGCCAAATAAAGAATGAAATAGCAAATAAACTACAAGCAAAATCAAGAAATTACCGATACAGGCAGGGGAAGTAAAACCTAAAATGAAAGAGACGTCACGTACCTGTCCCAAACAAGCTTAATTAATATCGAAGAGTAGCATTTAATTCGAACTTCATTCGATCGCTAGATATTATAAATATATATTCTTATCGGTAGAGGAAGCTCCAGAGTTTCACAAGTAGATCACGCATCGGAAATACTGCTTTTTCGGAAACACTTCCGCGTACCTCGAGAAGTGGATCTCGACTGTACCGTTGCTTCCACTGCACCCGTACCAAATGGCGAGTAGTACCCCTACTATCCTCCACACTATCTCGTACTATACTCTACCACGTCGTTCCTACTCGATCCTGTACAATGGCGGACATGAATGCCTCCCCTGCAGGTACGGCATCGCCTGTGCAGGTTGGGAGGGCATTGATGTCTCCCAGGGTACATCTTGTGCGCCCGTACCTCGTAATTTCTACGGCATCGCCTATGCAGGTTGGGAGGGCATTCATGTCTCCCAGGGTACATCTTGTGCACCCGTACCTCGTAATTTCTAATCATACAGTGGTTGCACCACGGTTGAAACCGCTGCTAAATCTTAGGTCTTTGACGAAACAGTCATTGCGATGACTTTTCCGTTCGCACGCCCTTTCTGCTGATGGGATCATAAGTGGTGATTGCGACCTAGTTGCGACACTTCAAATCAGTAGCAAATCATTAGTTCTTTGACAGGACTATCATCATGATGACTTTTATATTCGTCACTATTTCCATTTGTGGATCTGCGGTGTTGCATTCTGTGATTGCAACCTGGTTGCGACACTTCAAATCGGTGGCAAATCATTAGATCTTTGACAGGACAGTCATCCTGATGACTTTTGTATTCGTCGCTATTTTGATTCATGGATTTCTGATGTTACACTCGGTGATTGCAACCTAGTTGCGACGAGGTTAAAAGCGGCAGTAAATCATTAGACCTTTGACAGAGCAGTCATTTTGATGACTTTTGTATGCGTCGCTCTTTTTATTTTCCCGAAATACATCCAATAGAGCAGTCATTGACTTTGCACTCGTACATCCTTATTATTCCTGTTCCTTTGACTAAACAGTCATCCTAATGATAATTCCGTGTCATTAAGATTCCCCTCGTTGATTGCAACCCGGTTGCAACGCGATTGAAATTGATAATAAATTCAAGACTTCCAACAGAGCCGTAAGTCTTCATAATCTTCTAAAGCCACGTTAATCATCGTTCAAACGTCAATAGACATCTGAGATTTCCGGACCAGTAAAGCCGTTTACACACGACCAGCAAGACCGGTACTAGCGCCGATTTTTTTCGATGGTAACAATGTAAATAAATGAAAGTTACATTGTTTTTGACAGAAAGGTTTTGCCGGTACGTATGCAACGGCTTTATTACGATTATAGTAAAATCACGATACAACAGGAAAATTCTGGAAAGTCAGGAACATTTAATAAATCACAAGGAAAAAAAAACGCTAGAAAAAAAGTAGAGGAAGCAAAGTAGCTAATCCATATAGTATCTATAGTCAAGTTTCCACCAGTTAGACCTCTTACGTGCTGCTAACGCGAATCTTGTATCCAAATTTAGTTGCCAAGGAAAAATCCGGTTTCGTTAGACTTACCCTCTGTGAATAAATTTATAAATATATTTAATATTACGCCACTCAAGAAGAAGAAACTGAACCGGTCTTTGGCACTGTTAGAAACGAACTGCTCGGTCAATATCGAAGGAAGGAATGTTCAGGGTTTCTTATGTTGTGGCCTCTGTCAAGGTTACGTAGATTTGGAAGGTTTGGGAACTCACTTCCCCCAGATTCGATGACGTAACTGATTTCAAATGAAAACATCACCTTGAAGATGTTAACTTGGAGCCAGATAACGATTTATTTCATTGATAATCAATTTTAGAAACGCACCTTGGCGTTGTTAACTTAAACCAGTAAATCATTCATTTAATTAATATTCAATTTTAGTAACGCATGCTCCCAGTAATTTCCTCCTATTTTTCATCCCGACATTCGGATTTGCACAACAAAATTACCTTTCTATAAACAATAGACCCAATGACGTATTAACGTTGACAACTAAAAATTATCAAATTGACCTTAACAAAAATAATTATAGTTCCTCCACCATTGTCTCCTGTTAAGCAACAAAAGTATTACGACCTTAATGATTTTAACGCAAATCAAGGTCACCATGCGATATTGACATTCAGGAATTACATTCTAATCGTTCCATCCATGTCAATCAATGATTTCATTTTAATTAAAGCGCTTCATCTGGAGCTTAATTCTTTGACTTAAGCTCGCAATTATTAGCGACAATGGATGCGAGTATTAGAGAGAATCATTGCAATGACTCTTGCGGTTCATCGTCGAGCAAGTAACGAGGATGGGTCGGTGAGAGATTTCAAATGAAGTTCTCTCCTGGATTACGGTCGGGTAGAGGCGATAGAGAAATCCACCTCTCGGCTCTCGAAAGTACAGTTCTCTTAGCCGGAAGAGGCGGATGGATATCTGACTCCTGCAGTTATGTCGGTGCATCGTGCAAAGGCGATTACGACAGTGGTCAGCGCGTTTAATTCCTCCAAGAAACTCGCACCTGTTCCCGCCATAATGTTATTTAAGGGGGGATCGTGGTGTAGGTCAAACAAAATATCTTTTTTCTTTTATTCGCTTAAAATGTTGGAAATCTTACGTAGAATATACTTTAAAAATGTCAAACCGTAATTCAAAATAATTCTCGAATTATATCGTATAGCTAATGTTGGATCTTATGTAGAATATGCTGTAAAAATTTCAAATCGTAATTCAAAATAATTCTCGAGTTAAAGCGCATAGCTTAAAATGCTGGAAATCTTATGTAGAATAAGTTGTAAAAATTTCAAATCGAAATTTAAAATAATTCCCCAGTTATAGCGTATGGCTTAAAATGTTGGATCTTACGTAGATATGCTATAAAAAAAAATGACGAACCAAAAATACTTAAATATAAATACATAAATATAGGAACACCGAAATGGGAGAACCTTACCATGCAAATGAATGAATTGAAATTAATATAATCGATAAATGAGTATTCCTTTTCTTTTTATTAATGACGAATTTAACTTATCAAAAACAGCAAAACAATGTGTCTATTCACTGAGCCGGTCAGTTATAAAAAAAATGCTTTCCAACGCAGCTTAAGTTCGTACTAAGTCTGCATTCGAAGGACCTCGGGGTTTATTTCAATTGAAATCACATTAATTATCGTTACTCTGCACTGTTCGAAAAAAAAAAAAAAAATATCATCAAGTAAATCATTCCAACAAAACAGTGAACTCATTCTAACCAGCCTACTGATACATTATAGCTAAACAAAATTCATCCAAGCAATTGGAAATTTCCAGCTACATATAAACTTAAATTGACAGCAACTCGTCACATTTTTCTTTTGTTAATTTCTTAAAAACATTCTGATCATTTTTATCATTTCAATTAATGTTCTCTTCAAGGGAGGCCTATTTGCCTTGTTGAAAATTTTCTACGCAACACTAATTCGAATAGATAGCAATCCTTTTCTAAACTGTTAAGAAGATAAATTGTAATCATCCTTTCATTGTAGTCGCCTTAAGAATGAACTCATGTTGAAGACTTATTTGGCCCCTTGGAAATTTCCTACTCAACCCAAATTTAAATCGACATCAACCCATACTTTAAGACACCCTTAAGAGTAATCTCTACCCTGAAACTTATCCCCGTAATAAATTTCATACTCGGCAGAAATTCGACCAGACAGGAACTAATTGTAGTACATTTCCCTTTATAATCCTTGAAAAGCAAGAGATTTATAATCTCCATCGTTTTTTTTTAAGAGCAGAGATAAGTTGACGTTGAACATCAACTTATTAAGTTCACTGGAAATTTCCTCCGCGACTTAAATTTAAATCGACGGCAAATCATACTTTAAGAGACACTTAATTTTAATCTCATCCCTGAAACTTATCCTCGTTACAAATTCCCTCCTCGACACAAATTAAACCCGCCAGGAACAAATCGTAATACAAATCTCCTCCTAATTCGTTAAAGCCAAAATATAGATCCCTACAATTTTGCCATAAACGTCCTCTTACTACTAATCCGATCGCAAATTCTTAATTAGCCCGTTGAACCTTCCTCCCTCGATTAAACATGTTCTTCGACCGCGGCCCCAAAACGCGTGAGCTGATCGTCTCCTATAAAATCCGCTCTAAGCCGAGGAGAGGAGGCACGCGTCCCCACGTCCAACTATATGCGTAATAAAAAGGCGTTATATTTCATTAAATAATACCGGCGTACATTAATATATATCTATATACGTATTTATATATCTATAAGATAATATATATATCTATATTAATATTAACGTTTACTTTACAAGTCCCGGTTAAAGTTGACGAGCACTTTCAGGGACATGGGAAGCGGCAGTTGTTGGATCTTCTCCTGCATGTAATAGGCGAAGTTGCCGCTATCGGTGTAATGAGCGAAGTAGAACTTATCGGACCTATCGCATTCATCGTCGGTCTTGACGATGTTGCTGCTGGAGTCGTCGGAGCTGGACCCATGGTTCTCCTCTTCGGAGGTCTTGGCGCCGTTCCCGGCGGACGAGCTGGACCTCCTGGAGGTGTCGGAGTACCCCGACCGGCTCTCCTCGGAGGAGCTGGTGACGCGGTTCCCGGGCGACCTCCTGGACTCGTCGGAGCCGACAGACCGATTGTCCTCGACGGATTTCTTCGCCTTCCCGGCCGACCCGTTCAGCCTCCTGGAGACACCGCCGGAGCTGCTGCCAGCGTTCGAGCTGAGGTCGCTCATCCCAGTGGCATCCTCGGCAATGCCGCTGTCGACCTTCTCCCTCTTCGCCACCTTCTTCCTCTGGGCCAGGGGCGACTCGCCCTCGGAGTTGCTGTCGCTGTCGCTCGCGTTAGAATACTCCTCGCCAGGGCGCTTGTCCGGCGACCTCTCGCCGAGTTTCTCCGACTGGCCGTTTGCTCTCATCCTCTCGTCCCGGACCTCGGTTTGGACCTGCGGATTAAGTGGCGCCAGTGAATCCAGAATATCCTGACAGAGTTTCGTGCCAAATACGTCTTAAGGTGAAGTGGAACACCCCTCAAATAAGTCGATTTGAATAAGACACTTTTTTTTTTCAAGGATATTGGATAGAACTATACTATAGGAACTAGGACTAGGACTATAGGAACATAAAGTGCAACATTTGCAAATAAATGAAAGTAACGACCCTGGTCGATCCCTACCTGGACCTCGTTGCCCTCTCGAGCAGACGACGGCCGCGCTTCGTCGCTCTCCTCCTCGTCCCTTTCATCCAGGTCGACGGAGCTTGAGTTGTATTTCTCCGTACTCCTTTCATCGCTGTCCCAAAGATCCACGTCGTTATCCTGGGCGCCCTGCATCGCCGCTTGAATCAGCTGGAGGGTAGTTGAGATCGCGGATTCCGACCGGGACTCGAAGTTGAGCAAGATGCGACGTCTAATGACGTAGCTGCCATCGTCGGACGACTGGTCCTCGCTGGAGTCCAGGATCGGGAAGGCGAAGTCGTTGAGGGCGTGAGTAGGCGGAACGGTGCTCTTCTGCGGGCACTGCTTCTTCGATTCTATCTCCGGGTGCTCCGACCACACGTTTTGCCTCAGACGGCATCTTATTCTACCGCAGCAGATTTCCTGAAGGGACGGAGGCTCGCTGTCCGCTGTAAAACGATTCACTTTTTAGCCCTTGGATTCGTTATCGTCGTTAAGAAGGAATTTAGTCCACGTCGATAAATTAAAATTCATCGAATTTCGGCAATTCGTTTTGGTATTGTAGGTTAGAATTAAAATGCTCACTGATCTCAACACTAGATTGTAATATTCGAAACATCTGTTAGGTGTCTTTATAAAAAAATAAAACAAAAACAAGACAAGATCACCTGTCAGTGAGTTAGGAAAGATCAAAATGACCACTTACGCAGCTGTAGTAAATTCGTTTCGGTGGCGTCAGGAACTATCAGGGTAGCGAATGACACAGGAAGGATGGGCTTCTGCACCCAGGAGTCTTCGCCGGTTCTCATGATACGAACAAGACGGTCCTTAAAAGGCATTACGAGGATTCCGTTGATACTTAAGAACTGTTTGATAAAGGTCTCATGACTCTCCGGACAGGCTGCTCCGCAGTATACCCTGTCGTACCTTCTCCCAGGTGTGGCACTGAGACAATTACCTGCGGATGAAATGTGAACTAGTTATTTCTTAACTTATTTACTTAATTAAGGAGTCATTTTACTTTGACGACCGAAAAATTAAGCTGTTTTCAAAGATTTCTGTTTCTATAAACACGCCATATAATGAAGTAAATCCTTTTGGTGATTATTAAACAACTCTTAGACAATATACAACAAATTTAATAATCATCTTAAAGAGATCTTAAATGACAGAGATAAGTACCTTGAATGAAAATAGGCTCACAAAAATCATACTCATACAAAGCCAATGAACTATTTTTGAAATGCTCCAGACGTTCATAGGAATATCTGAGACAATCCTCGTGTAATTCTATTCCGTGATTAGTCCCGTGTTGCTCTGTAAGAAATAAAGAATGCATTAACATTTTCACATGGAACTGAGCTCGCTGTTGCGATAACTTTCAAAGTGGTCAAAGAAGATAGAAAAATACTAAATCGCACTTCATGTAATAATATAAAATAGTACAGAGAAAGTAGTCTTACGTAATATTAGGCCAGCCATTGTACTGAAATAGCCCGTGCCAGATCCGAGGTTTAAAAAGCTCATTCCAGATTCCAAAGAAAGAATTTCCATGACCACGCTGTATATGCATGGTGCCGACAAGTGAATATTGCCCTGTTTCCAAGCAAGATCTTTGTATGCATTATTCCGATGAGCCACTAAGACATAGTCGGCTCTATCGATGGCACGAAACACTTGTTCAACTTTTTTGGACTTTATGTATCCTGACTTCAACAGTGTGTCCACCAGATCGTCATTGTCCTGCCCATTGCTAACTGCCCCACCCATTCTCGAGCGAGTTTATATCAACCTTATCAAAAAGAATATCCAGAAAATAGTTAAACAAAGGTCACTCTCCAAACACGATAATAAGAGCACAGTATTATCAGAGTGGCATATCAACAGTAAGGTCAAGAGTAATACACATATCGGAAATGATTTCAAATTTAACAACAGCTTACACTCAATCGAATGAACATGAAACTTCACTACTGATACAAAATATCAGGGAATAATCCATCCAGCAATAACGATCATAAGTAAATACTTCTTTACATTGACACTCTTTCAAAATTAATAACGCAAAGCAGAAATGGACAATACAAGGTAAGTTATACCGAGCTGTATACGATGCGCAGTGAGTGAGTGAAAAAACATTGCGAGCAGCGCCACCGAGTCAAAGGTTCGAATGTTTTCTTCCGTGTTTACAAATGATACGCTAATGACTATCAGCCCTGTAAGATTTGAGCTCACGAGCAGCCATCGACGAGCGCTCTTGAAAACGTCGGGAATCGTGCAATGAACTAGTTGGATTAAAAGAATGTTTCGACAAAAGCCGTAAATTAGATTTACCGACTATCGACTACTGGTTAAGTCCATTGTTTAACAAGAGCGCAGCGACGTCGAATGACGTGTCAATAGCGCGTTCGAGTGCGAGTTTTACGGGTGCAGGTTAATATGAGAAAAGTCTTACCTAGTAGTAAAGGTGCTTCGCGATATGCCAGAAACGGCTAAAGGGAATCTCAAGGAATCAGAAACGTTCAGAGGACGACACCTCGGTCTCGATGAAGTTGACCATAATTAACCGTAGAAATGACCGTTCTTCTTTAAGAAGCTCTCCATCTCGCTTCTAGAACCAACCTCTTCCTCTCGTCACCGTACCGATTTGTCGTTCAACCCTGCCAGATCTCTTCGCTTCGAATAAAATAAACGCAAACGAAGCAACAAGCGCAGAGACGCATCAAATTATATCAGCTGATAAGACGCGACGCACGGGAATCTCGGGAATTGTCGGAGCCGACTGCGAATGAGGTCGCGTGGCTGAAAAGTTTCATGAATTACGGCAGAGTTGTCGGGCCTCGCCTCCTTTGATACCCCCATTGGAAGCAGCAGGAGACCGGTCTTTCGAGTTGATCCACCAATGGTTTAAGGTCCGGTTCCACAATTCGTTAACTGAAGTTTAAGGGTTGCTTCCACAATTTGAGTTAATCCGAGTTTAATTGGTTTACAACAGGTTAAACCAGGTGTAAATCAGTTAAAATTCAGTTACCTGGAGTTGTGGAACCTGGCCTTAAACTTCGGTTAACTATTTACTCTATTTTGCAAAATCAAAGGGAAATTGAGAGAAAGAGAGTGTCCCGTGATTTTTGCCTCAATCTTTATCAATCTTTATGTCGTCACAGTAGAATCAGCATTCGGCTCCAGTGGGCTCCATATGTCCTATGTTTATGGAGGTCCGTACATTTTATGTCCATAGCATTTTTGTAATAATGCAGTAAGGTGCTCGAATTGATTGGAAGTAAGCAGATAATTCTCATAGATGATACAGAAAAAATTGCAAGACAATCAGGGTTTTGCTGCATATAATTTTGCAGAAATGCAGCAAGTGAAAAGGTACCTTGAGAGTTTGATAAAATCTCGCCTTTAGTATGCATACCAAGTAACCGGTGTAAACTAAGCCTAAATTAATCCTTACAGGACCTCCCTTCTATCTCATTTTCTGGGTGATATTGAATAACAAATGTCACAAGATGCTTTTGTAACAAAGCAATTTTAAATAGCACTCAAAAACTAAAAAACTGCAATAGGAAATCATCAGTAAAAATTCTTCAACATTTCCTGCCAAAATCCATCAAATTAAGCATGCTGAGTACAATATTCGCTATAAGCACCTATAGTTATTTAGAATCTATCAATCTTGATAACAAATCCACTTTCTGTTTGCATACATCATTAAATGTATATATGCATCGCTTAACTAATTATGTCCAATCCCTTGACATTCCATTCCGACCATTTCTCAATATTTCCCGTAAGCATTCTTTGGACTAAATGAACCACGCAGCTGATAATACAATGTAAAGTAATTTTAAGCCTGGGTATAATGTTACGATGACCTACAAAAATTCAAGCCCATTGCCTGAGCCAGCATAAATAAAGCAAACGTTACGTACAAAATACCACTCTTCGACAAACAGTCGAACAGAGCTCAGAGGTGACGCAGCATACAAAGTTCTATCAGTGTATCGAGTCAAGAAAATTTCCACTTCTCGAGGAACGCCGAATTCCGCGGGGCGTTTTACCTGATTCTATTTTCGGAATAACTGGCCTTATCGGCAGGTCTCGTATCGATTAAGTAAGCCCGCTGCGAGTAACGGCACGCTTGGTACCGACCGCTCGCCTTTCCCACGTTCAGTCCTCGAAACTTCTACTTCTCCGACGAATTTTCGTCACATTCTTCCTTTCACTTGCACTGTACTCAAATAAGACCGTGGAATTCCTTCTGAGAGCGCCAGACGCTCGTAAAGAAACAGTTTCCCATTACCTGCTGCCGTCGCTTTGAGGTTAGGTCGCCTTCGAACTCGTCCGCAGAGGTTAAGAGACGACGCGAGAAGCTGGAAAGGCAAAATCATCGTCAAAACGCGAGAAAAGATTATGTCGGATTTGTTACTTGGAGCCAGGGTGAGCGTCGGGGATATCGTCGATTTCTCCGCCCTCGGTAATTATAACGTATACTCCACAAATAACTGGGCGACGTGCCATTACATAATACTCGTCTTACGGGCATCTGATTACACGATGACGATATCAAAATAATGCGTTCAGCCGGGAGTTGAGATTTTTTATTTCACTCTGAATATCCGTAAGAGGCGCTGACATGTAGATGCAATTTCTCTGTGATAAAGTTTTGTATCATAAGCAGAATTTTGCATCGTACCGTAAGTACGTTTCTGCAAGCTGTGAGAATAGGAGGATTTTATACAAACTTGTGAATAAATAATTTACAGTGGATTTATGGCTTGGAGCGTTGTGCTCTTGGCTTCCATTAATTACTGATTGGAGCTTGTTCATAAATAGTAAATATTAAATGACAGCCAAGTAGGAGAAGAGAAAATTTTGAATAAAAATATTTTAACTCATGAAACTTAATGGTGAATTATATGGATCATGAATATTACTTCAATCAATACAGAAGGAATGTTCCAATTTTAAATAAATTAAATGGATGTCAAGTCTGTTTATAGTTAACATAATCAAAACAAATGATGAGTATGATAACGAAAAGTGGTTTTTGGTCACCGATGACACTCGTGGAAGTGAATGTGTTGATAATATTTAAATAAATTACGATAACGTTATTAGAGGAGTTTAATCGATAACAACTATTCTATCGGATTGCAGACCACGAAATTCAGGAGTTGGTGATAAATGGTCAGGCAGTCAGGGAGAAGTCTTACTCTCCGTACAGTAAATTCAAGGTTGGAGCTGCGTTGCTTTGCGTGGATGGCACGATTTCAGCTGGCTGCAACATGGAGAACGCCTCCTACCCTGCAGGAATCTGTGCAGAACGGTCTGCCATTTGCAAAGCAGTCTCCGAGGGAAAGAGGAAGTTCAAAGCACTGACTGTGGTGGCAGATCTTGATGATGCTTCCTTTACACTACCCTGTGGAATCTGCAGACAGACTATTGCTGAGTTTGGTGATATTCCAGTGTTCTCGGCAAGATCTGACATGAAGAAAGTCCTTCGAACTTCCCTACAGGATTTATTGCCACTAGCCTTTAATCCAGTGAATTCTTGGAAATAAGTTACTCCTTAAATCCTGTAAGGATCTTCAGTTTCTGCTTCGAGCTTGGTTTAAGATGTACTGGGTATATCAGCGAAAAGGTCAGGCCTTTTATCTCTTCATGGCTTAAAAATCGAGGAAGCATCAATTCTATACAAATGCAAACCATGCATTTATTCTTTAATTAGCCTCAGTATGAATACGACATATTGCCGTATAATATAGTAATTTATTCTTTTTCCTTAGTGTCCAGCCGTGCGTTGTTATCGTAACAGGCATCAATTGATGCTTGAACTGACAAAATGCTTCCGTTATACGTTTTAGCTTGTTTCTCTCTCTCTCTTTGATACCCTTAAGCGAATCACTGGTGCTGTTTTATTACTATTTATTGTTTACTCTTTAGTCACTTCAAGTATTATTTCAATTTCCTCAATTTTCACAGATAGAGGAAACCCAGTAAAACAAGAAAATGGCTTAAGAGGTTAAAAAAATTAGATGTTATGCAAATCACTGTACTGGGAAACTATCTTATGACGAGCTGTGTTCAAAGTTATGCATTTAAATCGATTTACGTAATAGTGGACATGATTTTTATCCTTAGAATTTAGGTTATGTTTTCTAGAGGCTGAAGAATACCTGAAGCTGAAGAAATATACTTATATACTGAATGAGGAAACTCGGTAGAGAATTTCGCCCCAAGTATTATTCTTCCATGCAAAGAAAATTTAACTAAAAAAGCGAGAAATTATTCTCAACCGCAAGTATTTTCAAAGGTGAAAGCGTCTAAGGCTTTATTTGTCCATTCCTCTGAATACTGTCTCTCATCGTACCTTCAAAGCGAACATATAGGAAGGCTTGTTCCTTCTCTTCGCAATCTGCTGACCTCACAGTGCAGCTTCGTAGTATATACACCAAGACATTTGGACACAGTAGTCCCCTAGTCTCACCAAATGATTTGCTATGTATAGTTTACAGTGGCGGTATTTATAAAAAAGATTACGCGGTGACGAATGTTATGTACAACTTAATAATAAAAATGCAAAAGCAGGAACGAAAATCTGCTTCGGTGGCGACGAGTTCTGCAACCGTACCAAGTTACACGATTAAAAGTACTTGCCTCTCACCAGAATGGGCACCTGTAAAACAAAGAATTTTAATGTAATATGGATTTGATTTGTAAATACACTCAAGGCGATATAAAAGTGGCACCTGAGGGGCCTATTGTTTATGAGATTTCATTCCGAATTGGATGTATCGAATTTGAAATTTTACCACGTGTATATTGAGCCCTTAAGGAAGGTGCGGAGATCCATGGAACTTTTTGTAAAAAAAAAAACACTTAACAGGTTTATAAACAAATTTAAGGAAATTCGAAATTTCATGGGTTTCATAAACGAGACTCCTCAGACGCAACTTTCCTATCACCTCAGAACAATAGTATTATGGACTGATGTAATACTCTATGCACTTGAAAGTAAATTACGTTAGTTGACGAGTGCCGATTAACTTAATCTGTAATTATTACAATTTATTCCTGACCATAGATTATGGCAGGAAGAACCATTACATAAAGTATAGATAGTCGTTGACCTTGCCTAGTAAAGAGGCACTACTTTAAGCCTACGAAGTGTGATATTGCAGTTAGATAAATTTAGGGTCGCCTATAATTGGATTCGTAGGATAGCTTAGATTTCATGTGTCACTACGAAGGTCTGGAATAAGAGTGGATCGACTAGGAATGAATAAAAGTTTTTAAAAAATTATGCAAGAAAATGTAACTCTCTTCGAAGGCTACCCACGCCTGATAAACGTCAAACCCTTGCGAAGAAATAATATATTCCTCTTATAATAAAATATAGTTCATAAATATTAATTACTTACCATCCGATGTAGCACTGACACAGATTCTCGTTATTCGTGGCTTGCTGGATCAAGAGATCGACTTGTCTTTGGACTGTCAATGTTTCTTCGTGAGAGAAGTCACGCCCCGTTAGCTTGTCACGTACCCTTGTTATGATCGCAAGGGCCTTCTTGTTTAATGCTTCCGGTTGGTTGTTATCACCGACTTGTGAAATGCGAAAATTATTATTAAAAGGGACGAAGATTAATAGGCAATACTACATTTCCAGAAAGAAAAAATCGGTAGTGGCCACTACGTGCAAAAACAAATTCTTACCTCCATTCTCAATGCTACATGGCACGCCTTTCTTGGGCAGTGTTGCAGTGAGAGACTCAAGAGTATCTCCATGTTCCTGGCTGCTGCTTCCACTTATCCCCTGAGCATCGGACCTCTTTCCTCTGGGTATAGCGCTATCCATAAGCCTCCAATTGAGTAACGGATCGTAAACAAAAGCCTCCAACACTGCCATCAAACTGTCCTTATTGCGACGTAAGACAGACATGACGGATTCGCAGGTCCTCCTGTAAGTGCCTTCGATGCCTGTCACTTCCATTGCGTTGATGAGCATCCTGGTCAGCCTGAAGGGTATCTTCTCAGGAAACTTTTCCCTCGTCATGGCCACTTCGAAGCAGTCGCCAAAATCTATATGCAAGATCTTCCCACTGAGCCGATCCAACATGAGGTTCGATGGGTGTCGATCCCCCAGTCCAAGGATGTAACCCACCATGGACATCACAGCCAACGATCGAGTGTAATTAGTCCTTCGGTCGAACCAAACTTCGCTCGAGGGAGATTTAAGCCAGAGGAGACGTGACAGGTCATCTCCGTGGGTGTGCTCCAAGGCATGCTCGAACACTTCCACCTTTTGCATCAGCATCAGATGATCATAGTCAGGTGCCATCTACATAATTCCAAAATTGTACACCTCATTTGCCACTGTTGATACTTTACGAGTGCTTAAAAATGCACCAAATAAAACTAAACGACTTTCAAATGTATTATCATTTTATAAGCTGTCGTTATTTGCTTATTTACACTCGTCATAGGATGACAGGTGTAGGACAACACTCACTCTAAGCATGATGCGATGTTCGATGTTCAGCAAAATCTTCTTTTTCTCTCTGTAATCTCGGATGAGTGTATGTAGAGTATCACAATGAGGAACCCAGCCGATAAGGCCACTGTTCGTTGACAGGGGAATTACTGCGTACCTCTGGATTAATAAACACTCACGATTAGTAGAACATTCTTCACTATCTCATCGCATAACACTGATCACTGAGAACAGCTTAGCGAACCTGGATTGTGAGGTTTCTCCTGAAGGTGTCAGGGTCGTGCAGCAAAAGAGTATTGACTAGACCAAAAAGTTGCATGACCCTCTCGTCCTGTCTGAGATCCTCGTGGCCCTTCAACAGGAACATGTAGTCCTTGCCGTTACTCCCTAAAAAAAAATAACCCAACTGCGTTTACATTTGTACCACACACAGTACCACGTTTGACTCGTTCTAAGCACCGCCATATTGGATAATTGAGTTACAACTTTTCCCGCAAGGATCGCTAATATCATTGTTGGCTAATTTGGCAAAGAAACATGGAGTCAGAATTTTCCACAAAAACCCATAAAGTGAGAGCTCCTTATCCTCCTTTATGTACATGAGACATCAAAGAGGGCAAATGAACCTTTTATGCAGAGTTTTCTAGGTCTCTGTTTGCTCGTGATGACCTGCATGGAGCTGTGGATGCTCGCTATCCTGACAACGGGGTGTCCAGGACTATAGCTGCCAGGCACCGCTAGTTCCAAATCCCTACAAAGAAGCAGTTTCGGACTGACATATTGGAGCTCCAGGCTGGTAAGCTGTGGAAGCTGTCTGGAAATCCTCCGGAACACATGGTAATACAGATCCCAGGCCTGGTTGAGGTCTCTGACATTGCCCGACACCTTGTATCTTTTGCACCACTCCTGTGCTTCGGTCAAATCCCTGCCGTAAGCCTGGTTAAAGGAGGTCTCCTTCAGGGTCTGCGGCCCCCTCTCCAGCATTGCGTGGAGGGGCTCCAGGGTGTCGAACATTCCCTTAACGTTCCTCTCCCCGAAGTAGAGCCTACTGGCCTCTTCGAGGCCTTCGTGCCAAAGCTCATGCCAGAGGATGGCCACCCTGATGAGTTCATCGCTGGCCATCATTGCCTGCTGCACCAGGTTGGTGCTGTGTTCGCACATGTTCTTCAGGATCTTGTTGGCCGCGTTCTTCCTGGCATGGCTGGCACTCTTCGAAGCCACTGTCAGGGGATAGACTAGGGCCTGGGGATGAGCCTTGCCGATGTCTATCAGTAAATGATGAATGCATCTGCCGACAAGCGCACGGGGAGTGTCGATTCTTGCGATCAGCTGGGGGATTACCTGCGTCAGAAAGCGATACAATTACCTAACCTGAAAATTTATTTACAAACCTCTTTAATTTTTTTATTAACGTTCGACCTCTTACTCTCATATCACCTAAAATCGCCTTTACAAGGGGGATCGTAACTTCTTTTAGAAAAAAAAAAAACGATTGTATTTATAGTAAACCTCAAATTTCGTGCACCTACATTTAATCATCAACTAAATCATAAAAAGGACGTAATTAAATTAGTATTCGAACTGACATTTGCCTAACCTGTAGCCATGTGTTGATCTCGATGAGGCCAATACCTTCTACGATAGCATCGTACACTTCAGGCCATTGTCCATAGTCAAACCAAAGAGTCAGGAGACGCAAAGTATCCTGTAGGGAACTTCCATGGGAAAGATTGATGGATCTGAAAAAGCCTTCGACAGCTGGCACAGTGAATCGAGAGATATATTGTGTGCCAGAAAGACTGCTGTTTCCGGTGACTGTTCCGATGGCCCCACTTGCTCCTGCAGTTCCATTACCACCTTCTGTCTGGCTAGATTCACCTGGTGCAAAAGAGTCATCATATACATACATTTAAAGAAAAGCTTTGATATAATGCATCATATACACGCATTAAAAAAAGCTTCGATATAACATAAAATCTTAAGAATTCTAAGATCCACCGATGAAAGTTAATAAGGTTATTACACTCGAATTTAAAGCCTGATTGGAACGAATATCCTTTAAAGATCATACTCATACGTAATAATGCTGCGATGCAACATACAATTATAGTAATCCTAAGAATCACTGGTAAAATGCACCTGATATTATTTTCCTACTCAAAAGTTAAGGCTGTTTGGAAAGAGTATCCTTTTAAGGCGAAGTGAAGCCCTCTCAAATTAGTCGACTTGAATGTCACTTTTTTTACTCCTTTACTCCTTAAAATAGTAATACAATGCTATCGAAGAGAATTTCCAAACCTTGCTGGTGCTTGTAGAACAAGACCGTCTCGAAGTTGGTGTACGCAAAGGCATGCCAGGCCTTGTACCAGGTAGGGTCATGTTCGGTTGCTGCCGCATAATAGGAGAGCACAGCAGGAATGGAGTGCTCGTTGATGCCCCGAAGAGACTCCAGCCATTCTCCAAGTTTCAGATAACACCTAGCCAGCAGTCTCTTCCTGGCGTCTTGCTGTTTTCCATCGTCCTGACCAACCGGAAGAGTTCCAGGTCCTGGCTGAGCAACCGCGGCTGCAGTTGCAGCAGCTGCAGGTTGCAGAAACGCGTGGACGAACCTCTGTAGCTGGCCGTAGGCTTCTTCACGTTTGTTCGCCACCCACATGTGCTTGCAATAGGCAAAAGTCACCTGAGGATAGCAAAAGGAAGTAACTGTTCAAGGTGTTCCTCGAGGTGTAGAGAACAGGGTGCCCGGTGGTTCCTTAAACCCAGCACTAACCAACGGGGCTTTCTTCCATGATTTTAGGTATCTCCGTTTTCTCGTCAGCAAGAGAATTTACCGACACCACGATTAAAACGCCTCTTCAAGTTCTTCCAGGAAATCTGCTGAAACCTTGACGATAATTATCAGAACTGGCAGAACCATCCTCCAGGTATCTGGTCCAGAAACTCCCTCGTCAATGATTCAACGCATTCCCTCGGTAAAAACCTCACCTTCAATTACGATGTCGGTAATTTCACTCAACGAAGACCCAGGTCTCGCAGTCCCTCTAAACTGGAAGAGAAAATTCAAGGAACCCACGTTAAGGGGATGGGAAAGTGGCACCCGAGGGGTCGATTGTCTATTAAACTTTTCTCCGGACTGAGTGTACCGAATCGTTTCAAACTTTACAAAGTGAATATGGAGGCTATAAGGAAGGTCCCGACACCCATGAAATTTCAGTATTTATAAAAAATTTTGAAAATGTCTATAAACAAACTTTTAAATAATTCAAATTGCATTGGTGTCAGGACCTTCCTTATATCCTCCATATTCACGTTGTAAACTGTGAAACAATTCTGTATATCCAGTTTGGAGAAAAGTTTCATAAACGATTGACCCTTCAGATGCCACTTTCACATCCCCTTAAGCTACTAGGAACAACTCTGAAATCCAGGGACATCCTCTGGAGTGACATTAAGCTTCCAGGGATTTTATAGCTCTCCGAACACCCTGAAGAAGGGGGGTAAGCACCTGGGGATGAGTCGTGGGCAGAGGCTGGTCAGGGTTCTCCGAAGGGTCCACTCCCAGCAGCATGACCAACGTCTTATGGCAAAGTCGCAGACTTCCGCTCTTCCTGCAGAGGCTCGCGTACTTCAGCCAAGTGTACATGTCGTCCTGCGGCGAGACCACCAGGGTGTGGACCTGGATGATCTTCTGCCAGTCCTCGACGACCCTCTGGCCTCCCTGTAGTCTCTCCCACCACATGGACCGGATCGTCGGCCTCCTCTCGGGCACTAATTTGTACTGGATAACTTCCTCTAGCTCGGCTAGCTTCTGCACCTCCACCATCGCGTTATAAGCCCTCTGATAGCTCTCGCCCGCCATCGCCGTCAGCTCGGTGTCCAGGAGGTCGCGCGAGCTGTCGATCAGCTGATGAGCCACGTCGAACCGCTCGTCGTGAATCGCCAACACCGCCCTGGAATAGTACATCACGTGAGGGAGGAAAGTAGGCGATTAAGGACCAGGGTGAGTTTACCGTACAAGCGGAGCGAGAAATTTGCTCATCGAATTATCTAAACTGATAAATCTTCAACATCCAACTAGCTCACCTATAAAACGCCCCATCCTGGGAGTCCTTAGGAATGAGATCGACGTATTTCTCCATGCTCTCCCACTGGGAGAGTCCCCAGGCGGCAGCCGCGGCCATCCTGGCCATCCTGCCCTTGGTCTCGTCGCTCTGCTCCGGCCATTTCGCAGTGGCGAGTTCGTGCAGCTGTCCCCACTCCCCGAGGGCCTCCAAACACCTCATCTGCCCCAGGGTGGACTCCACGTCTTCAGGGTCGTTCTCCAACCTCTCTGCATACAAGTTCAGCGCCTTGTCCCAGTTATGCAACTTCTCGTACCACCTGACCTGGACCTTAAGATCCTGCTGGTTCCTCTGGTTCCTGACGTACTCCAGGAGTCCTTCCGCCGCCTCCTTCTGCTGTAGCTTGTTGTTGATAGAGATCAAGGACTCGAAGACGACGTTGGAATTCCCCAGGCTAGCCGGCCGGTGGAACTCCTCTTCCTTGTAATGCAGAGCCTTGGCATACGCCCTGCAGTGCATGGCCCTCTCCCCCAAAAGTCGGTTCTCCAGAGGAAGAGGTCCCCGGTCGCAATGCTCCATGAACTCAGCGAGGTTCAGGATGGTCTGAGTGACTTCGGGCAGATCCGGGACCATCAGCGCCTGTTGCAGGGTCTGCACGAGCTCGGCCTTGTGAGTGTCGTCGAGCTCGGTCCAGCAGGAGACGAAGGCCGCGTTGAAGAGGTCCCTGGGGAGCTGGGAGTAGGTCTGGGCGAGGGCCCAGCAGGACCTCAAAGCCGGCGAGGGCGACTCCTTGAGGAGGCCTATCGAGAGGCTCCTTAGCCACTCCAGCCAGTCGTCCTTGGACACCCTACGGGTCGCCGTCCAGGCCTTCTGGAGGTTCGACGCCGACACGTGGAGGTGCTTGATCGTGGTAGTGTCCGAGGAGGTCAACGAGGAGCTATCACGGTTCTTGTTCCTGGTGTGTCGATGTCTGGTCAGCAGGTAGTCGGACTCACCGTCGGCGACGGTTGACTCAGTCAGGATCTTGTCCACGAGGACGTCGTACCTGGGACAAGCGATCTTATGCTTGGTCGTCACCTTCTGCACCAGGGGTATGAAGACCTGGTACTTCTTTCCCAACTGGAGGACCAGGGAGCAGAGGGTGTCCATGGCGGTAGCCCGGAGTTCCGGGCACCGATCCAGGGTGCGCACTAGCGGGTGGACGATCCTCGAGGCGAAGTCCGTGAAGTCGAGGGTGTCCGCGAGCTGGTCAACCGTCTCCAGAGCGACACGATTGACGAAGACGGGGCAGTCGGTCGCGTGGAAGAGCCGCACCACCGGTGGCAGCACCAGGTGGAGATAGTTGTCCAGATTGTTGCCGAACTTCTGCAGGGCGTAGAGGAGCTTGACGGTGACCGAGCGGTCCTTGGAGGTATCGTGGGTCAGCACCCGGAGGATTTGGGGCATGAGCCTAGGAAGATAGATCTTGAACTCTGCCCCAAGAGCCACCGCGATGTGCTCCACAAGGAGGATCAGCGTAACCTGGAGGGGGCTGTTGGCTTGCCAGAACTCCCGGATCAGGGCGAAGACGTCGTCGAGGTAGTTCCTGATGTGCTGCTTGACGATCGCTATCAGGACGGCCAGCTGCTGGAAGAGGTACTCCCTGACCTTGACGTCGGCCGTGCGGAAGACGTTCAGGAAGCTCGGCATCACCTGGGAGATGTAGGGTACGCACTTGATGCCAAGGCTCTTGAAGATGAAGGTCACCGCCTGGACGACCATCGTGTGGTGTTGGGCCAGAGTAGGGTCCCGGATGATTCTCATGAGGGTGGCCACCGCGACCGCGGGGTAGTATTCCTCCAGGGTGGCCGAGGACATGTTGACGAGCATCTCGCTAGTGGTCAGATCCTGGGGAACCGCGGAGGAGGCCTCGGACTCGCTCCTAGGATCCGCCACAGAAGTCAAGGTGTCGAGTTGAGAGTCGATCTGCCCCAAGTTCATCTTGTGCTTGTAGGGATCCAGGGCTCCCAGGAGGCCCAGCACCCGGATGGTCTCCCTACGGACCAGGGGCTGCTGCTCGGTCTTGAGGAAGTTGATCAGCACGTCCAGAAGAGACGGATACTTGGTGTAGGGGCGCACCACGTGCCCGGTCGACCCTACCAGCTGGCCCAGGACCCAGAGGGCGACGCCCCTCTTCTCCGGGGAGCTCGCGTCCACGAGCATTTCCAAGAGGATCGACAGGAGCTCCGGCATCCACTGGTGCATCTCCGAGCCGTTCACCTCGGCCAGGTCCCCGATCGCCCGCAGGATCGCTAGAATGACCCCCGGGTTGGGCTCGGGCTCCTTCAGTTTCGGCACCAGCACCTTCAAGATCGGTTCCATGTAGGGTCTGATCAGTCTTGGGGCACTCACCACCAGGTGGTCCAGCATCCTGGCCGCCTGCTCCTTGTTCCGGCCCATACCAGAGTGCTCCAGCTCGGTTAGGAACTGGATCAACGTCTTCCTCAAGGAAGGCATCGCGTACGCAGGGTTCAGTGTGCTCAGCCGACCGACCGTGCGGATGGCGAGCTCCCGAATCTCGAACATCTCGTCGTTCATCGCGACGAACAGCGCCGATAGGCTCTCCGCCTGAGCTAGGTGGATGTCGAAGCTCTCGTCCAGCGAGGCCATTACCCAGAAACGCACGTCAGGGTCCGTGTCGGTTATTCCCACCACTAGTAACTTCCCCACCACTGTCGACACTGTATTCGTCACTGTGGGCCCAGGTTGGTTCAGGGCCAACCGCAGTAATCTAGAGCAAGTCCTGACAGCCTCGAGTCTCACTTCGGCCTCCTCGGAGGTTAGGAAATGATCTGCACATCTTCTCACAAATTGCAGCAAGGGGTTCCCGTCGAAGTTGAAGGTGCCCAGGGTCCTCAAGGCCAGCACCGTAGAAGGTACATCCACTTCGGTGGGCTGGGAAATTATCTGGCCCGTGGCTGCTGTCGATGCACTCCATGGAGCTCCAGGATGGCGCAGAGGTTTATTCATGAGCACGTGGGAGAGCATGCGTAGCAGGCCCTGAGAGATATCGGGCTTCAATGAGGGTACGTCATGGGCTAGCTCTCGGAGGCAGGTTGTCAACACTGCACTGAGACCCGTGGCCAGCATCGACTCCAGCAGGTCTCTCACATCCGAAGCCACAGTTCTCTTAACTGCATGACCTAGAAGAGTTATACAGATGAAGACCGCAGGCTCTGGAGGAGAACCTCGCTTTTTTGATGGAGTTTCCTTGGAAGGTAACGAGCCCTTTATCACTTCCATGATTTTCGGCAAGTAGGGCTTTATTGCATCCTCCACTGCTACGGCTATTAGGCCCACTGTGGTGAACGCTGCGTGTCTGTCTTTCTCGCGACCTCGTAGGGTCATCAAGAGATAGGCCAAGGATTCCCTTAGATGATCTTTGTTGAACTTCTCTCTGTTAAAGGCCGCGAGTCGAGGCAGCAGAGTCATTAAGGCATGGTGGATGTGGGGGTTGCGGGACATCCTCTGATTCATGACGTCGTTATAGATGTCATCGAGTCGTTCTTGCAACAAACAGCGACAGGCAGCGGATTCGTGTGTAGGATGCATGCTGTGACGCTGACCCGAACAGTTCTGGGAAGAGCCAGATCTCCTCGAGAATGCTATGGCCTTAAGACGAGGCATCGGAGAGAGCACGTCATTTTCGTTCTGTTTGGTGTTGCAGTTTAATCGCTCCATAAGGGACTCGTAGTTTCTCTCCCACTGGATGTTGCTGCAGCGCAGCAACTCATTCAGCACTAACAGCGAGCCGTGTATTCTATCATCCTTGTTGTATCCTTTTTCCCTACTCGTACTCTCTTCGAAACCAGCCACCAGTTCGTCGTAGCACTGCTTATACCATTGAGACTTGTGCATTTGCTTTGCGGTCTCCCTCTGTGCTGTGACTACCAACGCAGCCCTCAAAGCTTCAACTGCCCCTTCGCGAATGATTGGTTTAGGATCACGTACTGCATTGAATATGAGATCAAAGAATGGTGTGACCTGCTGAAAGAAATACGTTGGCATGGACACTGCCAGCTCCCTCAGAACCAAAACCGCCGCATGCCTCTTTCCCTCGTGCCTGTCGCCACCGAGCCATTCAAACGCTCGCTTTACCTCAAACTCTACATATTCCGCGGTAAACGTCCCGGAAACTAAAGCCAGCTTGCCAACAGTCTTTGCAGCCAGTTCCATTACTCCCACGTCGTTCGATGGCAGCAGATTACGGAGGTAATTGGCAAATCTTATGGTTCTAGTGTTGACATTCCCCACATCGGCTTCAATAAGGCACACGATTGCCAGTATACCACCCTTCTTCTCATTTACATCTGATGCGGATACCATCTCCACTATGTGATGGTTAAACTCGTCCATGAATGCCGTCACCTCCTCTGGCGACGCCTCCCTCAGCTCTGTCTTCACATATAAGGCCAGATCTCGGGATGCCTTAGTGCGCACTTCTTCGTGCCGCGACTTCAGCCGTTGAACAAACTGCTGCACCAGTGTGTTCGTCATCGTGATCTGTTTGGTTGCTAAACAAGTATAAAGCCGGACGCGGTAATGATTATTTCTTTCAACTGTCTGGATGCGTTACAGGATATGCCAAGTATCGAACAAATGAGTCTTTACCACTATATAGTAATCTTACAGGTAATTTCTTCCCCCTCAAAGTAACTGTAGTTTAGGACCCGAATTTGAGGTTAGGTTCACCAGTCCTACGATGTATCCCAGAGAAATGGACTTTCCGGGTTCTTCAGATTAGGAAAAGGGTCTTACCAGACGCCGAATTATGATCGATCGACGACATACGTTTGTCTTCGATCGATCTAACCGGGAATTAGACATCAGATATATCGATCACTTCTTATACGACTCTTCATACCCGCACCACCCGTACGGTGTACGATGCGCATACACCGACGCCAACTGACGCGCATGTAGCTAAACGCGCTCATATATTGTATACGCCGCATTTTCTGATCTTCGTCAATGAAACGCATAACATCTGTGCCGCACTTTTTACAGAGTCACCAAAAAATAACAAAACTCCGATGCTCGTTAAAAAATCGATAAATAACCTCGCGAAACTACATTATTTAATGTGAGAATGAGTCAATTTAACGAGGTTAGGTTTAACTCTGTGTTGGTGAAAAATATTGGAGAAATTTGTTTACGTGTTTCGATTGGCTAATGGAAATTTATGCATTCCTTTGGATTCAACCGGTTCAGTAGTGATACGTGGCTCTAACGGAAACGGCGTCGTGATAGGAGATTTCCGTTGGAGCCGATTAATAAGAGTTGAAGTCAATGTCTAATAAAAATCGGTGCTTGGATTGTGTAATTACGATTGCATTGAATTGTTTACAGTTACGACGTTGATTCGAATGTAATTATGTATTGCAAATGATTAGTGGTTTAAAGATTATGGTTCAGAGACGAGTTTTGTGAGTTAGTGGTAGGTTAGGTGGTTTTTCTAGGTTATAGTAAATTGACAATACTGTTAGAGAGCTATGAAGGAAATGCTAGCAAATCAAGGCACTACCAGCTACGATAATCATTTCGCTACTAATAATGGGGACGCGGGTACCAATAGTGTAAGCACGAATGCAAATACCAGACGGTATGCAGTACTCAGCACCGAATGGATTTCGACGATCGGAGAGGAATTGGGAATGCACCCTCTACAAGACTCTCTTTTAAAAAGATTGGCTGAAGATGCCTCGTATCATCTCAGGGAGGTCCTACATGTATGCAATTACTTTCAAATCATATCTCGTTATATTATAAGATGATTCTAATTTTAACATGTATTAATATGCATTCATCGTAGAAATGTGTAATGAGGCTGAGACACAGCAAACGAAAACGTTTGACATCCTCCGACGTCAATTCTGTGATCTCTAGTCTGTGTGACGTAGACCCAGTGATTGGCAATGCGGAAGAAATGCCAGAGTATCACCCTAAGGCCAAAGTCTTCGTCCCTCACGAACGTTTTGTCCAGCTGTACAGAAAAGTACAGGATCCTGTAACCCTCAGTCAAAACAGCGTGCCATTTCTTCAAGGTTGGTGTTTATGTCTGAAAAATATTAAACTCACCTTGTAATTACTATCAGGTTCTTTATATTATAGAAACTGAAGTTACCGATGCAAAACTAGTGGAAGCAAGGCACAGTTACACCAAGCGCGCACTGAAGACACTTTTCAATGGGTCACAAAAGACCTTCCAGGTAATAGACATAGCAAGAGTAAATATTATTTTATTAAAGATTAACCTGACAGAAAGTATTTATTATAGGTTTTATTAAATGATTGTTGCACCAATGCTCATCTGGGCGGTGAAGGTGTTGTTGACAAATTAATTTCCATAGCTCGGTCAATGGTTATATCAAACAATGCACAGTACACACGGGTATTGACTAGGACGTGCCAACTAGTTATCGCTATTGCTAGCAATAGCGAGGCAGTTTATCCATATCACTTAAGTTCGGTAACTAATCCTCCAAATGATTCTCCATATTTTTTTTAATGTGGTTAATATCTATTCTTACCTTGTTTATTATACTTATTTAATTAGGTGGACAAGTTGACGGAACTTTTGCTAGAATTATTATTGGGCCATAGCTTTATAAATCCTAATCTAGAAGCCTTGTTCAAAGAATGCGCTCTAAAGCTGATGCTCCGTTGGCCTTCTGTAGCTGATAGGTAATTTATTAAGAAATATATATATATCCCCTTTCTTGTACCATCGATGCAGTACTTCTATTGTTTCTATTCAGATTTGTTCCAATGCTGGAACATGCTATACTAAGGGAGGAAAAGGAGAACTCGGAAACTCTAAAGAGAAAAATGACAGCAATGGAGTTGCTCGTAGGCGTTCAGCCTCTTATATATTACCAGCAAGACTCCGCTTCCTCTCTTTCTTTACAAAACATTTTACCAGCAGCAGTACCAGGCTCTGTTCTGTGGCATGACTTTGGTGTAGGTACTTTGAAGTGATTTCCCATTAGAATTATAAATCTTGCTTCATCTTATCTTCTAAACTTTCAGTTGTCCACGTGTGCTTTGATAAGGTCAGGAGGCCACGGTTTAGATCTTTCACCCATAGCGGATCATTTCGGTGATTCCCTAATCCCTTACATTTTAATTGACACGGAGAGCACAGCGAATAAGAATAAAGAACCATCAAGTCTTCCCATCATTGTTAGGAGTAAAATAAAATATGCTAACATGAAGACGCCATCGGACAACAGAATCTTCAATGATAGACAAATGGTTTTCCCGGATTCTACTCTTCGAGGACCCAGACGAGAGATCAGGTAACAGGTTTCATCAGTGTCAATGGTTTCGGTTAAACTAGGGAATTGTTTAAAATGTATGTTGTAATATTTCTAGATTTGCCTTTGCTGGTGGAAAGCCTGTTCCACCAAATGAACTGAGAAGAGTCAGCTTGAGGGCTAATTATCAAATTTTAAGAAGCGATGCTAGGGCTACGTTTGCCCTCGTTGCTTGTCGCAGGCTTCTCGTGTTACGAAATAAAAAGAAACGTTTCCCCAGGTCTTACGATCTTCGCGTCCAACTTTAAAGGTTGCAGACTCTTTATTACACGTTAATAAGAATTACTAAGGCTAAAAGATGAATATACTGCAACGTTCCACTTACATCATTGTGGAGGCCATATAAAAAGTGTTCGTCATATAAAGTAAAACAATGAAAAATCCTAACAAAAGAAAAAGAAGAAAATAAATAATTATAGTACTTGGATTCCCTGTTAAGTGTCAGCGGTTTTACTGAGCCTAACCTCAAATTGTGTTATAACGTATATCGATGTCAAAGACAATCTTGCAGACCTCGGGGCAGTTCTGACCATGGTATTCTGTGAGAGTTTGGAAAACAAGTGAACCTCGTGTGAAATCTAACCGGTACCTGAACAGAGAGTGAAAAAGAATTAATGGTAAGCATTGTTAGAGTATTTTCAAAAATGTTGAAAACCCTGATGTTTGTGGTCAAAGAGTAATTCAGCCACTTGAAAGCATTAAAGACTAAATAATAAATTCTTCCATAGTTCATCCTCTGATTACCTGGCACAGTCGTCTGCGACTAAGAATGCCTGCTTTGTAAAATATCATCGAACCCTCCATGCTGACAACATAGGCCCTGCCTTCAAGTCGACCTTTTCCAAGCTTGCAAAGAAACTCCACAGGGTCACTGAAATTGAATTTCCTTTTCTTTTTGCAACATGGAGAATTCTTTTTGTTCTCCACCTGATTCCGATCGAATGTGGGAGAGAATGGGTCTTTGTGGTTATTATGGGTACTTTTGGAAGGTGAATTTCTTATTAAAATTGTAACGACACTGTCTGGAGGTTCCGATTCCGAAGACTCCATGCTAGTGGAGATGCTATCTAACCACTGCTTTATGTATTCCTTTTTCGCCTGTGGAAGTAACTCTATGTAGCATGTCTCGTTAGATTCTCTGGACTTCTCCAGTGAATCTATAATTCTATTCATCTCATTCTTTTCATCTCCAGTGTTCCTAGACGTTATAAGTCGTTCCGTTTGTTCACAATTGCTGACGTAAATAATGGGCAGATTTTGAAATTTAGGATGAGCCTCTATTTCGACGTCCTCGCAAAGGAAAACTTCATCTTCCGTGGTAGCAGAAGAACCTTCACCGCGATTGGAGCCATTGACAGGAGACTCCTCTTTTGTTTCTTTATGAAATATTACATTCCTAAGGCGTCCTAAAAACCAAAAGACTTAATAAGATATTTTCCACAGATAGAGTAAAATGTTTTAACTGTTGAGATATTGTTTTATTTTGCCTAAAACTCACTGCGTCTCCAGAAAAGCTGAATCCTACGAGCACATTGAGATCGGTATTTTCTCCTGAAGCGTTCCATCTCGAAGAAAGATGACTCCGTTAGAAAAATAAATCGATTGCCAAAATAAGCCTTTGACTTCGACCCCTTTGAACTGGTCACCATCTCTATCGTAAACTTGCACCGTACCTTTGGATCATGCTTTTCTGTAATAATATCAACCTCGTTCTTGTAATTCAGGCTATCATAATGAGGTAACCACAAATTTGAAATATCTCACCGGAAGAGAGTAAGGGGTAACGTCTGCAAAACTCTTCGTACGAAAAGTATACTGGGTATTTGCATCTTGCTAGAGGTAATGCATCCAAAACACCAGAATCTGCCAGCCTCTTTATAACTACATCCTTTGCCCAGTGCTCTCCAACGTTACTGAAATATTTATAGATATATTATTGAAACGTTCGACTTTTAATATATATGTGGAGGTATATTTAGGTTAGGTACTCGTACAAGGTTAAGTTTCCCTTGCGACACTCCAACAAGTACATGATTAATTACTAAGTGAATGGAAATACTTAATACATCTGTTGTATTAAACGAGAAAAGATCACCTAATTGTTTTTGAAGGAAAGAAAAGGAGATATCGAAGCTTACAAACAGAAAAAACTTACCATGGTTTTACACAGCGAACATAATGAGAATCACATTTCCTGAGCTCCTTGAGGAGAGTATCTAATCTAGCCCTCAGTTTTGCTAGAGTAGTGCACTTTTTCACTGAAACTCGGCCATTGTCTGTTAACTCGTTCTCCTCAACATTTGCCAAGTCCCGGAATAACTTATTCTTGCACAGAGTGAAAGTTGAAGCTAGGTCAGTTGGGACCTGTCAGGTATTGACGTCGATATTGTTTAACCCTCAGAAAAAATACGATTATTTAGACTCATTTTGGATTGTAGGCATTAAACCAGACCTTATCGATGTTCTTATTTAGCAGATCTTCCAATCGATATTCCACTGGACTGGAATAATGCTTGATGACGAAGAGATCCTTTGTAGTGGACAGAAATCGTTTTGCCTCGTCTCTCCTCCAGAATACTTGCTGTTGCAGGGAATTAATATCTGGCATTACTGGAGACTGACATGCCTGAAATCAAATAAAAACAGCTAGAATTTAAATTACTTAAGTCTTTTCTAAATACTGACAAAAGAATTCCACGCTCACATCGTTTAACGCTGAGAAAAGGATGGTTTCCATGACGAAAAGTCTGTCTTTATAGATGTCTACGTTTATCATGGGAGGCACATCACACAGTCCTTCCTCTCTTAAGTCTCGCCTTCCGGATTCCAGATGTTCCTCCATAAAGTACAGTTGCAGTCTTTCGTTGGCATAATTGACACAGAGCTGTTCAATGCCATTTACCGAGAAGGATTCGAAGCCAAAAATGTCCAGAATTCCTGGAAATTCAGAAACTAAATTTATGGAACAGAGAATGTATCTTCTGTATTATCTTATTTACGATATATTTGAAATTATTTAGCACTATTTTTCAAGCCATTTAACTGAATTATGTTTATCGATTGGCAATTCTGTCAAGAAGACAAGTTGTATACTGACTGTTAATAAGAATTACTGACAACTAAATCTGAAATGCAACCGTGAAGTGTTATAATACCTAACCAATCTCTTTGGTCTCCTTTTGCTGTTAAAACTTGGTTTATTGCATCCACAAGCCAATGGAATAATCTTTCATACAGACATTTGACGATACTAAACACTCTAACTTGACAGGCCTCTACACATGTCAAGTCTCTGCGGTACACAGTGTACCTTCTCCACCAACTTTGAGGACAGATTAAAATGCTGGTGAACAGCTCCGCAACATCATCGATGGACAGAGTAGTGAGGTTAGAGATGCTTTCAAGAGCTCTCCTTGATCCTAATCGGTAATAATCATTAATACTATTATTGACGATAATAACCATCAGTCTGTTACCTTCATCGTCAAAGTTCACCGAGCACTTTCCATCCTTCTCTCTGAAGCTCACATTCCCCATGTGAATTAACGAAGCAAGAACTTTGAAGACATCTTTCCTTCGCTCCTCAGAAAATCCTAGTTCTTCCATAGCTTGAACAGTTTTTTTGAATCCTTCCATGTAACAAGACTTATCGGTGCTTTCTCTGCAGCCTAGGATTCTGTATTCCGTGCTTTTGGTCAATCCAAGAGTTTCTAATTCTGACTCCGACAAACCAGCCAACATCTAGAAGAACCTCATTCATTTTCACATCACCTTAAACACTTTGTTTATAATACTTGAACTATGGGTAATGGTTATCGATATTTTATATCCCACCTGATAAAATATTAGGAAGTTGTCGCAGCCCTTGGTGACTCGACTCCTTTCCAGCAGAAACGAATCTATCTGCACTCCATGGATGACACCTTTTTCGTACAGAAGGCGAATCAACTGGCCATGCCTGGAACTTTGAGTATTCCTTTCAGTGTTCGCAGTGCTAAATGCAGATATTAAGGGACACACCCCACCGATCCTCTTCGTTACATCCACTAGCCTAGATGGAGTACGTGGACCAGCAGCATCCCTGTCAACGGCTGCCAAAAAGTTCAGAGCTTGGCACGCATTGAAGCTCTTTCCGGTGCCACTCTCACCACTAATCACTATCACCTGCGACACTTTCCCCAATCCCAGGAGCAATCTGTGTCGAGCCTTCGCAGTGATTGCAAATATGTGAGGTGCAATCTCACTTCCCGAAGCACATGAAATATTTGCAAAAGCATGGACTCGTCCATCATCGTACAACCCTGCAGTTTCCTTATCCCCAGGGTGTATCGAAAGAAGCAGCGAGCCCACCCAGGTGTATATTTCTCCTCTCTTGTGACGCCCCTCCAGATACGAGACAACTAAAAAAAGGAATTTTTCCCTATAATTTCTCATTTAAAACTGTCAAGGCAAGTATACAAAAGCATAAAGAAAAGCAGATCAAGCTTGTCCAGGTACTCCGAACCACGAATTTAATGCTCCTTTCTTCGTTAATCGAGTCCTTAATAATATTTGTGTTTATTCACAAGGTTTGGAGCCTTGTTACATATCCATTATAATTTCACTTACTTCTCTTTATCCATCTGTGGATTATTTTAAATAAAAAGACCCTCTCCAGGAGGTTACGTACTTGCTTCTTCGTCGTCTGGAAGGGCACCTAGATCATTTACAAGGTCCCAGCCAAAAGGAGACTCAGGATCCTGGAACGTATCCAAATTCTCAGTTTATGAAATACTCAACAAGTTCTCCGATAAATCCTGATAAAACTTACCTTAGCAGTATCTTTCATCATTAAAACTCCCTCCACTCTGTTTTGGCTTACGTGGTCAACATTAGGCAAAGGTTTCCAGGTTATCTCTTAATGTTTACCCGCTCAAGGTGAAGTGAATCTAGATTCTGTAAGTCGCCTGAAATCGACTGATAAGAAAAAAAAGAAAGCTTGGACAATCGAAGCATGGCTTGCAAATGATTCAATGACGTTTGCTTGCTGCCAAAGTTCATAAATACTTTTCAATAAATATTGCTTACGTATTTCGTATGCTCAAATTGAAAGGGTCGTTGTGAATGATGCAATACGAATGATCACAAATAATCTTCATTTATAGAAGTTCGATGGAAGATTATTTGGTCGCAGGGAGGTCGATATAACCTTAAAAACTAGGTCTTGGTTAAGAAACAGGTCCCCTAAGAGGTTAGTGAAAATTAATAGCAGTACCTCTTTATTGCATCGCAGTAAGAAAAAGATTATTAAAAAGCTAATGGAAGATTGCAATGCTCGATCGATACTTAGGAATGATTCATTAGGAAATATGTCCATCGGTTGCGAGCCGAAGGAGGCCAGTGACAGCATCGAAGCTCTTTGAACCTGCGACACTGATACAAAGCAACCGTTAGAGGCTGTGGCTCTCCTGTAAGGAGGTTAGGAAATTCTCGCAGTCGGCGATGGACTTCAGAAGGCGTTCCTTTGTGGCGGAGGTCTGTTTCTGCTTCAGCTTCTTCTTTGCAGATTCTATCGTGGCCCGATAGCCAGGCACGTTGTGAAGTATTTTGACGTGCTTGTCGCCAGCCACCAGAATATATTGTCCAATGGCATTAAAGGCCACGCTGGTTATAGGCCCTGGAAGAAACCAGACCTTGAGGAACCCTATCGGAAGGATTCAAATGCTTCATAGTGAATCGACTTACCAATGAATACATCTTCGATGGTGGTATCCAGCTTTCCACCATCCAGAACGTGAAAGGACAGCGAAGATAGATTTGCTATTGTCAAGATCTCTGCATTAGGTGACATGGAAATGCTGACTGGTTCCTCTCCTTCCCAGTTACTGTTGCCCAAGAGACGAGGGTCCTCTCCTTTCTGATATTCCACTGGAAACGAATTTCCTCAAGATTAATTAGGCTAAAGGTAACTTCAAAATTTATGCAACTATCAATTAAGGTCATACGAAAGAGACATTTGAAGGGTCTATCGTTCATGAAACCTTTCTCCGAACAGGGTGTACCGAATTGTTTAAATATTTTGATTTATTTGATGATTCAATGATAATTTGACTGAATTAAATTTTACTATGTGAATATGGAGGCCCTAAGAAAAGTCTTAACACCCATAAAATTCTATTATTATACAAAAATCCCACAAATGTTTATAAAAAAGATTTAAAACAAATGAAATTTAATGAGTTTCGGAACCTTCCTTTGGGTCTCCATATTTACGAGGTAGAATTTCAAATCATTCGGTACATCCAGTTCGGAGAAAAGATTCATATGCTTCTTTCGCATTACCTTAAGATGCTTAGAGGCAGAGATCGCAAATTTACCCTTCGTATTATAGAAACGATACGTCCTGTCTTTTGAAACGGTGACCATGTGTCCAGAGTCAGCGCTGAAGCCGAAATCGTACACTCCAGAGGAATGGCCAGTAAGTTTGAAGGCGTCCGCAACATTCTTGAACTCTCCGCTTTTGGTGAACTCCACATCCCAGACTTGCACGTCCGGAATGAATCCTGAAGCAAATCAATACAATGACAACACAGTTCCGATTAAATTGCACTCTCGTTAAGGGGATGTGAAAGTGGCATCCGAAGGGTCAATCGTTCATGAAACTTTTCTACGAACTGGGTGTACCGAATCGTTTGAAACTTTACAACGTGAATATGGAGGCTATAAGGAAGGTCCTGACGCCCATGAAATTCCAATTTTTAAAAAATTTGTTTTTAGGCACTATTAACATTTTTATCTAAAAAAATTAAATGTCATGGGTGTCGGGATCTTCCTTATAGCCTCCACATTCACGTTGTAGAGTTTGAAACGATTCGGTATATCCAATTCGAAGGAAAGTTTCATAAATGAGATCTTTTTCATTCCACTTTCCCATCACCTTAAATCTGGATGCACTACCTGAAGCAGCAACGAAGCGACCACAAGGAGAGACTCGAATCCGATAAGTGGACCCAAGGTAAGTGTTCAACGTGGTTAGAGGTTGTCCCTTCAGGTTCCAGATAACAAGGTCGTTCGCAACGCTGCAAGTGGCTATGAAAAGCCCTGTAGACGCGATATCCATTCCCACTACTTCTTCGGTGTGTCGCTGAGACGGAACAAATTTTTTTGGTATCAGGACCTTTCTAAGGGCCTCCACATCCTCGTGGTAAAATGTCAACATATCGGTACACTCAAGTTGAGAAAAATTTCATAAACGAGACTCCTCAGACGCCTCTTTGAAACCATCTTAATCTCGCAAGACCTTTTAGTTAACTCAATATTAATATATGAAGGATTCGCCTACTTTGGGAAACTCAAAGACCTTCGTAGCAGCTCCGATGAACCCATCGAGCTTCTTCGAGACCTTGTAGACTTCCACGCAGTTGGCAACGGCCTTGTGGATGATGAAGGCCTTGTCATCCGGAGACCATCGAACCAGGGTGGCATGATCGTACTCAATGTTAACCCTAACGGGCTTCTTTTCATTCTTTGTGAAGTTCTTCGTATGCCACAGCAGGACAGTCCTATCTGTAAATGACAGAAGCAACGAATTTGTACAATTTGAAAACCACATCAACAATATTAAAAAAAAAAGACCGGGAACATAACTTTATTGCTATGCTGCACATATTTATGTAGAACTACGGTTAGGTGAAATTAAACGTGGTTATGAATGCAATCATTTATCGGGTTACAAATTGTGACCCTGTAGATTTGATGTTCATTCATACACAGTAAACGAGAAGAATGGTGCGAGTACCCTGGTCACATTCGCAGTTGCATATTTTTGTGACATTCACACATTTTCACTTTTTTTAAATGTTTAATTCCCTGATGTGTACTCCATGTTCATATATAAACGACCAAGAAAGACGCAATTCAACGTCAAAACAGAAGACCTTGGTATTATATCATATCAGTTCTACATCGAAGCTAACATAGAGTTTCGACGAGTTGACCCATAAGCGTAATCCCATATAAAGCCCTAACATAGAATGTAAATTTCCTTTATTTAACGCTCCGAGCAACGTGTTACATCTGTACCGCCTTAAACTCTAATCTACACATCGAGAAAATTCATAATCCCAGATTAAACAGGATATAAAGGGAGATTTTGAGGTTAACTCGCACGATCCGACTGCTCGAAACACACAGGGGGGAACCACTCAGGGGGGGGGCACTGTGGAATCCACTTTGATCACTTTAACTCAACACGTCCTGTCACCTGCGCCTCTTGTTAGGTGGCGGCATCAGATCCGAATCGTCCTGGAGAAACCTATCGGTCTCGATGAATCTCAGCAGGCGTTCTATCGTCACAGGGTCCTTGATGCTCTGACACACCGACTCAGCGGTATTCAGAGAATTAGGGAATGACTTGTCGGTCCTCTCTCTCATGAAGACCCACGAGCCGTTCTCAAATTTGCACTCGATGATCTTGTTATTCAGTTCTCGGATCGCCTTGGTGAACTTCATGCAGCCATAGGGCACGTTAAGTCCTTTGACAAAGAGCTGGCCAATCTTTTGTTGCAGAATCCCAGCCCCTGATTCAGTCACAATCTTCAGCTTGAAGTCGACCGAATTAAGAGAGGCCGGCTTCCACTTTAGAACGTCCGGACACTGTCCAGGTGTGTAGGGCTCCTTTGCAGGCTGGAAGATCAAGCCATCGGGCTCATGGCCCAGCTGCTTGACAAACTTCTCCCCGTGCAGGCTCCCTGTCTGCGTCACGTCCCAGAACTGCTTCTGTCTCACCGAAAAAGGTTCGCGTTCCCTGCGCAGCCTACCTTCCTTGAAGGCTCGGTACCGGGCTCCCATAATTTCTCGTTCGATGATGTCATACCTGTTTGGGTGGAATGCCAGCTTACTGACATCCTTCCCATCGTACCATATTACGTCGTACGCCAAATACCTCGGATATTCCTTGCCGTTAACTCGATCGATCACCATTTCCTGGAATGAAATGGGCATTTTCAATGACCGAACAACTATTGGGCACCTTTCGGCAGATCTAATAACTCACCCCGTCGAGCAGCGTGTCTTTTAGACGTCTGTTCAGGTCGGTGCGATGTGGGAAGGTTAGGCCCTGCACCTGGAAGATGCTGTTGTCTCGGTCCAGGAAGTATATATCCCCGTCAGCTTGTATGAGCATCATGTACCTGGACGAACCAGTTATTATTTGTATATTTAACTTAGTGCCATACATTCTACTGGGTGTAACAGAATTTGTTGACACTGTATGATAGTGTGGATAGTTTCTTATGTTATGCTTACAAGTATCGTTATGCGAGGTATGTGCATTTTTTTTACTTTTAGCTTTTAATTATGAGTCAAGAACTAACCTAGTACCATCGGCCTTCCACGACACTCTGTATGGCTTCTCATGCAGCAGCTTGATGTTTACAGTGTCCATTGAAACAGGCTGCAAGCCTGGGAAGCCGGAATGCGGCCAGGAGCACATTTCCTGGACTCGTCGTTGAATTCCACTAATTTTAGCCATCTCCGTTAAAGGAGTAACGCTTGGCACTCCATCCATGAAAATAGGATTCCGAACGTTGTGCTCTCGTTTCCTCCTTTTATTATGGGGCTCGTCGCTCGAGGTATCACCACAAGGCTCACCAAGACCATCGTCGATGTCCTCGATATTAGCGTCGTCATATTCCAAACACCACGCAGGTTTTGGAGGAGGTGGCGGAGCATCGTCAACATCGTCATATCGTCTAAACAGTTCTTGAATATAATCTGCTTTGTAGATGCCTGGTGGCCTGGACGTGGCAAACTCCGCTAAAGCAGCATCTACGCTAGTTCCGTCGGTCTCTACCAAGTAGCTTATAATCAGGAAGCCAGTCCGATTGAAGCCGTGTGTGCAGTGCACGCCAAGTATCTCCAATGGGTTTTGGGAAATAAAATTCTTGCAGACCTGAATGAAGAGCTTTGTCTGCTCTAAATTCGGCGTCTCGCCATGACCTGCACATTGCAGTTTCAGGTACTTGCAGCCATGATCCTCGATCTCCTTTTTATTGTAGAATCTGGAAGTGTTCGTCAAATCTATCCATAGCCCGAGCTTGAGCCGCTGGCTCTTCAGAGACGAGAAGAGCATTTCAACATTGAAGCGGCATTCCTCGGGTACCTGGTTGTCAAACGCCGAGCATAAGGGAGTCTTAAACGCTAAGAATTTGTTCTGGATGAGTCTGATAGCCTTCCTGGGACAGTGTAACCAACGAGGTGGTATCCCGCCTCGGCTTCTGTTCCAGTCTGTCATCTTGAGGAGTGTTACGATCAGTCTCCTACTTTTAACTAATCCATCGGTGAGTCTACAAGAGAGGTTAGGTGGTCGTTAATGGAGCTGCACTCTCTGGAACCGCGATCGACGTGCCCAGGACCAGGGGAAATCAGATAAAACATAGTATCGCCCGTGGCAGGCTTGCTTAGAGTGCAACATAACCTACTTGTCCGATCGCTCAACCAGCTCGGATCGACGTCCGCTCGATGGGGCGCGAGGAAACTCCGGCTCACTCTTCTCGGCGACGTCGTTGTCGCGCGTGTCACGACGCACACGAGTCAGCCGGAAGTCCTCCGCGATTATCGAGCCAAGAATCCGGGGAAGAACGCGAACCTCTGGCGTCGACAACTGTCGACGGCATCCATTGTGCATTCGCGTTTCAGCAGTCAATTTCCTTGTCGCGCGCCACGGACTACGTAATTGCGGGAAGAGAGTCATCGACTGTGACGCACTGAATAACTAGACGGAGCCTTGCCATTGGCTGTCGGGTCTGTCGTCACAAGAGAAAGCGACCTATCATTGGTCAACGACTGGTTCGTCAAGTTGCCAAGTAAAAATCCCTTACAAATTCAGGCTCGCCAAAGCTTCAGTTCAGATCCGCCATATTGGAATTCCATTATAGCCAATGGCAGGTCACCGCATCCCAAGATGGCGTCCACCAATCGATTCGGCCATTATCGATCGTTTGACCAATAAACTCGCGAGTTATCGCGGTCGAACGTCGAATTTCAAACAATTTCCCCGAGTAAACCACTGTGCAGTTAAATAATAGTCTTTTGGACCTACAATTAAATAGAAATAACGTGCTACCTGAAAGAATCGCCTGTAACTACATATTACATAGGGCACGTAAATTATAACACCATTTCCCCATCTTCACTGTGTATGTATTCCACTCCTAATTTCTTAAATTTGCTCAATTTACGTGGAGTGATTTGGAGTGACTACGTCTATTTTCAGTATATCACAAATGATATATTTATCGTTATACTAAAAATGTTGCCATCAAGGTGTGCATAACTATAAGAGAGAGACCGCCGACCGTCAACCATCGACCATGGCGCGTCGAAGGGCAAGGTGAACGACTCGGGCCACAGCGAGAGATCGAAAGACGGAGCACGCCTCGCAAGGTGAAACATATCGACCTTGGAACGACGCACACGCCATTATCGTCCCGAGGTGAAACTAAACTGAGCGAGGTTCGATCTTTTTGCGGTTACGGTCCACTTGCCGCGGACGACCTTTTTTCATCTCCATTTGATCTCATCTGAGGCCACGAGACCGGGGAAATCTACACGGGTCTATAATAAGACCCTTTCCGCTAATTAACAAAGGAAAAAGATCACAATATACTGCACACGCTTCTGTCTACTTTCATTTTTGTCATATCTTTTGCATCCACGGTTGTTACATCATAACAACCACTAATATACGTGGAAAAAGAATGGAAGTCTATTATTAGACTTTTGCAATAGAAATCAATTTATACAGGGAAATAATAAGTCGTATTTGCTTAGTATTTTCTTTTTTGAAACATAAGTTGTGTTAAAAAAACTATATGGGTTTATATTTAATTTTGTTTGCACAGGCAATGAATAGTTATAGAGGCAACGCCTCTTTACCAGTAACCGGTATTTTTTAACTCGTGTTGAAGATGTTCATACGTTGTTCGCAAATAATGACAGAAAAGACTAATACGTAATATTTAATTATTACATTTCTGATGTATTATTTAAAAAAAAATTAATTTAAATATAACTTCCCAAGTCCCATATTTATGTAGTTTCCATCACATGTGAAACTTGCAAAGTAAAATACCTAGTAATTTACTGTAAAAAAAACTACGTAAATTACCTAGGACATTTTACTTACCTAACCCTGCGTAGAACGAGTAAAAAGTAAGACCTTCGTGGGAACACACTTTGTCTCCTTTACGTCCTGGCATAAATCAGAGTTTACATAGAAGTTAGATCTCCTGAAATTTAGAGAGTGGCTCCATTTTTTGAAGCGGACTAGATAACAGCGAAGAAAGGGTTGCTCGAAATAAAGAGTCGGGGAGCGAATTAAGGTCGCGGGGTCGAGGGAGAAAGCGAGAGCAACAATCTGGAACGAGACAAGACGAATCCGGTCTGTCGTGTTGTATCTCGACGACTCGTTCTCCGATATGAGACGCGCGGCGATAAGAGGTTATGTACGCGCTGAGAGACCCGAAATTACGACAATTGTTTGTTTTGGCCTGTGGACACGCCGCGGTATTTTATCGCCGACGAATCTTTTGATCTTTAATCTTTCGTTGCGAATGCAATGCAAAACAGCGGAACCGAGGTCTGTTTTTTATCAACTTCAACGATTTATATCGCGATAAGAGAGAATCTTGGATTGGCGGTTTCAAGATGGCGGCGATGTCAAGTGCAACCGCGAGTCGGTAGATGTCGCCAGTATACGTCTTGGAGAAAGCGTGTCTGCCTTCTTATTTCTGTTAGTTCAATGCTCTTCTTCTATGGGAGCTAATTGCTGCACTAGTTTACTTTCTCACCGACAAATCGAAATGAATCATTTGATCGTATTGATAACAGCAGAAAACAACGGAATTGAGTTTTTCTTTTATTAGTTTCACTTCTTTTGATTGAAATAAAAAAGATGGCGGTGTTGTCAACTGTAACCACGTGACGTTAGATGTCACTAGAGAACGTTTAGGAGAAAGCGAGTTTCCGTTCTTACATATGCTGGTTGAATGCTCCTCTTCAATGAGAAGTAAAATGTATCATTTTACTTTCTTATCGACAAATCAGGACTAATCTTTAAATGTAATGACAACTCAAAACAACAGGCTCAACGTGAATTATTTATCAATTTCTATAAACTTTACTAATAAAAAAAGAAAACAATCTTGAAGATTCGCGGGTCCAAGATGGCGACGGGGTTGAGTCAACTACGTGACGTTAGGTGTCACTAGTAGACATTTTGGAGAAAGCGAGTCGCGTATCTTATTTATGTTGGTTTAATGCTTCTTTACTTCAGAAAATAAAATTTCGCGCTACTTCAAGCGGTTGATGAATCTAATTTTGTCGGACACAGTGCCGCTCGAATTAAGGAGTTCTAATTCTGATTGCTTTTACAGAGATAAAAAGATTTCGAGCACTGACGATAACCGTTACCGAATGGAACTGGGAACACTAAATGTGACGAAGGGATGTCTCGGAGAAAGTGACTCTCCCCTCTTAAATCATTTTTATGCTCTTCTACTTCAAGTAATAAAATGTTGTACCACTTGAACTGCGAGTTTTTTTTTTTAAATTCTATATAGTGGACATTAGATGTTTCCTATTAATTCAAAGGGATCAATGATTCCATTGAACGAATGTTGTGAATTCACGGAACCAAAATGGCGGCGCCTCGTTTGGCAGAATCACGCATAATTTCAAAGGATCTCTATTTCAGGTAATAAAATCGTTTTATTTAAAATACTAAGTACCAAAATTATTTTAATTATGCAGCTCATTTCATCATTCATAGAATGAGTTCATTGCAAATATCGGCCAAATTGTACGAATCGGCGAAATCAAGATGGCGGCGCGTCGTTCAGCAGACTCGTACTCTTCTATTGTAAATAATAAAACGGTGTTATTTATGATAGTAAGTACGAAAACTGTCTTAATTATGCAGCTTATTTCATCATTGATAGAATGAGTCCATTGCCAATATCGGCCAAATTCTACGAATCGGCGTAACCAAGATGGCGGCGCGTCGTTAAACGGAGCCCCGCGACATTAGAGGCGCCGTAGAGGACGAGGGCTCGGAGAAAGTGGCTCTCCCCTCCTCGAGATGTCCGCCTTTCTACCGTAGGAAATAAAATGTCGCCCGAGACGGAAAGAAAGTTGCCCTCGACGACTCGTTCCGCCATTTTCACCCGTGGCTCGAGAGATCGCTCGGATTACGATACACTTTGCCCGATAGTGGATTTCTTCAGGCCCAGGGCCTCTCGACAACGAGGAATCGAACCGAATCGTCGATACCCACTGTCGAATCTCTGGGCGAAAAACTTTCTTCCTGGTCATGGAACGAAAAATAAACCTCAGGTTCGAGAAAACAAAGAAGAAGACTCGGTCACCCATCCAAAGTTTGACCGCGACCGGCGTCCCTTAACTCAAATATTAATTATTTATCATTTTTGCAGGAAATTATTGCAAGAACAATTGTTTGAATCATTCTCACGAATGCTAAATATAATTGGAATAGTTCTTAAAGAAGGAAGATCTTCAAATGTAGAGGATAATAGATTATATACTATTATGGATTATTGAAGACCCCGGAAGGTAATTAGTTTCTTTGATCTTTTTTTTTTCTTCTGTTATAAACTGTTAATGGCGATGAGGCCTTGAGATGGTCTAGGCTCTGAAAAACACTCTCGCTAACGAATTTACGAAAAACTGCGTACTTGATGATTTATAGTTATTTATCAGGATTCTAATGCGATGTTAGGTTCGTTAATCGGGAGATCGTCTTATCGCGATTGATAAATAAAAATAAAATCTGACCCTCGTTAGGTTCGTAATCTGAGGGCCTTGAGGTACGAGCAAGTATGAAAATATCTCGAATCATTCATCGAGAACAAGTCTTAACCTCGAGTCGAATTAACGATTCACCTCCGCGTTTCGGGCCATCTTTTGAAAGGTTCATCGTCCTCTTTTCGAATAATCTCGGAGGCTTGAAGGTTAATCTCGAAATCCATTCACATGTCTACTTTGAATCCCCTCTAAACGCCTTCGGTTAAAATTAAATCCCACTGAATTCCGTACTAAAAAAAAAATACAGCGACGATTCTCTGTAGTTTCTTTATCATTCTTTCACGAGAGAATTAAGAATTCACTTATTTTCATTTCAAGTGTTCAAGTTCAAGTTTCTACTCGAAAGTTTCATCTTCATGTTTCCGAATGATTGTCAAGGCTCGAGGATTTAATTTGCATATGTTTTACATTCAGTTGAAATTTTTAAATTTTATTTTCAAAAATTCCAAGCTCCCTTGTTATTTATAACAAATTTCGTAAAGATCGAAATCCTTTCTTCTAGTATTTCAAAAACTTTCCTCTGGAGTGGAATTAAGGATTCATTGCTCTCGAGATCTTGTTTGAATTCCTTTAAAATTCCATCTCAGAATCGAATGGCCGTCTCTGCATTTTATTTTATCTTAGGTGGGTAACCTCTCGAAAAGTTCATCGTCCTGTTTTAGAATGTCCGAAGGCTAATTTTAAAATTCATCAGTCATTTTACATTCATTCATTCGCATATAATCCTGTGATTGAACTCAATTGAACTTGACCTTTCCTTTTTATCTCAAACTGTTTTCGAGATTCCCTTAAGGTGATATGAAAGGGTCATTCAATATGTACAAAACGTGAAAATATTTATAAAACTTTTCCCTCAAACTAGGTTTTCATTTCAATCATTTCTGAAACTTCAGCACGTGATTACTGAGGCCCTAAGGAAGAACACGATGCTCGTGAAATTTCATTTTTCATAATAGATTTTTTTTTTATTTAGCTTACACTACAACCGAGATCACATTTTTTGTGAAAAATGAAATTTCTCTAGCATCGCGTTCTTCCTCAGGGCCTTCATAATCACGTGCTGAAATTTCAAATTATTCGGTGCACCCTGCTTGGAGAAAAGTTTTATAAATATTTGTATGTTATATATATGATGATGATGATCCGTCATATCACCTTAAAGGATTAAAATTCTGAAAAAAATCCTCAAGATTCCCCGAAAATCGACAGGATGTCCCTGACCCGGTCCTCGGGAATCCTTGAAAATTTCTAACCGGAGCCCTGCGCTTCTCGTAACACGTAACACCTTCACGTAAGACCTCGTAAGACCTGGTAAGACCTCGAGGTACCATGGGGTCTTTTCGGCTTTTCGCTCCTCCTTAAGTCAACTTATCGACCTTACTCCTCGCTTTCGAAATCCCGATTACGTAATTCGTAACAGCTCGTCGCAAAAGGGTTGGCCGCCTCCTTGTTTCGACATCCTGAAGGACTTTTCGGGACTTCCAATCGTACTTAAAAGAAAAAAAAACTTTTTCTAATAAAAATGAAATTTGACGAGCACCACGTTATTCTTTACGGCCTTCATAATCACGCGTCCGAGTTTTAAATCATTGGGTGCATCCAGCTTGGAGAAAATTATTATAAATATTTTCACACTGTGTCATATAGAACGACCCTTTCATACCACCTTAATTTAATTTCATATTTAATTTAATTTAATCGAACGCGCAGAGGGAAGGAATTCGGGATGCATGGAGGGGATGTAATTGAAAAATCGAGTGGATTGTATTACGTAAAAAAATGTATTAACATCGCTTTCCTCCTCCATTTCCGAAAGAGGTTCGAGTCGACCTGCCACGATTTCTCGGGCTGTCCTGGACCTCTCCTCCTCCTCTTATCGTCGCCTCTTAATCCTACTTTCGCCTCGTTTTTTTTTCGCATTTTACAATAAGAAAATAGCCTAGTTTCCAACACGCTATTCGCACGCCCTTAAATCTGCCGGCCGACGCCGACGAAAATTGCCCCCTTCGCCGTTTTTTTTTCTTCTTTTACAAACATAACTTCCTGATTAAATAATGCGAGCATCGATAAACGTCCAACCTTTGTGCGACTTTATTCAGAACTTTAACATTGGCCAAAATGACGAGCACGGACAGACGTTTGTTGGCTCGTTGTGCGCATTTATCCATGACTTTGACATTAACAAAAATTTCCCTTTTCTCCCTCACGATTCCGATGCAAAAAACATTCACAGCGACAGTTCCTCTTTTTATCCGATTTCACTTCCTTAAAAGTCATTGTCAGATTATTAGAATGTAATTCTTTTCTCTCGCTCGGGCGTGTCATCTCTGACATTGTTTAATCTTATCGCGGTAGCGATAATGATTCCCCACGAGACGATGTTTAACAATGATCCGACGTCGTAAAAAAAGTCGCTATTAACCGAGTATATTGCTTTGTTTACCCTTTGATAAATTTTGGAATTTCGACAGCGAGGAATAAACTATGTCACGATCGTATAATAATGCAAAGAATTATCGGACAGAATTATCAGAATTGTCTGATAAACGATGTGAGACATTTCATTCCAATTTTGTACGAAATTATGGAAACTGTGTTCTTTTTTTTTTCCGGCGCGAGAACAAATTGCTTTCGATGATTTTGCTTCTTTTTATAATTATACAATGCATAAAAAAGCAGTGCTTATATCATACTCAATTATTCCAATGAACATATTGCCTTAAGTGCATGTTGTATTATTATGAGAATTCGAATCAATATTATATTACAAACGGCAATGATTTTTTGCAAGACAGTTTTGCAATTATCCGATTTTGTTAAATAAACCGCTATTTGTATCCCATTATTTTATACACTAGTTCGATCATTTATATTGCTTAGTGTTGCGATGATTATGTGCATCCGATTGAATTTCATTTTAATTGCGACAATGATTCTTTGCAAATTGAATCTTCGAATTATTATATGAACTATTGATTTAATTATAACCACGATTTTTATCATTCCTGGCCAATATTTCTTGCAATTGTGAGTATTGCTTCGCATTTACGTCATGATGATTACGAATATTACAATTAATGTAATTTCATTAGCAACGAATTTCAACAAAAAGTATTGTAATTATTTAACCTTGTAAAGAAATCGCTATTAAATAGCCTGATGATTATATTGCTTTATATTCACGTATTGATAATTACTACCAATCGAGTTAATATTATTTTAATCGCCCTGATTTTCCGGAATTTCTTAACCTTGCAAAGAAAAATGGCTGTTTAATAATCTGGTAATTATATTGCTTCGCATTCACGTATTAATAATTACTACCAATCGAGTTAACATTATTTTAACCGCGCTGATTTTTTCGTCAAGCGAATTCTGTAATTCTTTAACCTTGTAAAAAAGATTGCTGTTTAATAATTTCGCGGTTATATTGCTTCGCATTCACGTATTGATAATTACTACCAATCGAGTTAACATTACTCCAATCGCACTGATTTTTTCGCAAAGCGAATTCTGTAATCCTTTAACCTTGTAAAAAAGATTGCTGTTTAATAATCCGGTGGTTATATTGCTTCGCGTTCACGTATCGAGTAGACTTGGTTAATAGTTAAGGCATGTCGAGTTTCTCGCCGGGCACCATACGTGCCCCGAATTAATTAATTAACTTGGACGTTTATTTCAGCCGCTTCCTCGGCGACTAAAATCCGAATCGACATTGCCAGTCGTCGTGCAGAAAGAAAAAAAAAAAAAAGAATTAGCCTCGCAGGTGACGGGCAGAAACTTTCCGCGATTTCGGGAGAATTTCTGCCCCCCTTCTTTATATTCTTTTTCTGAGGTCGTCCAGAACCCTCCATGTCCGGTTTTCTTGAATGAATCAGCCATCGGGTATTAATTCTGCCTCGTACTCTGGCGAATCGCTAAAAAATTCGCATTTATATTCGTTTCGTCATCGCTCCATCATTATGGCGTCAATTTTTTTCTTCTTCTTTGTCATTTTCGTTCCTTATCGCAGGTCAGGGCCCTGAGCTGATTGTTCCTTTGCAAAAGTGCGCGAAAAAAATTATTTACGCAATTATGCTGAATTGCAATAATTAATGAAAATTGCAATGATTTCGTTGCGAATTAATCGATGTTTTATCTACTTTATGTTTTTGCAATATCCTAGGCGAACTTTAAATTCGCAAAAAAGGATGGCAATACTTTGACCCCCCAAGTATTTCTCTTTTGCAATACCCTTTGCGAATTTCGTTGCAAAACCTTTTATGCAACTTCATGGTCATTCCAAATGTTTATTTGGAATTCCTATTTGCAAAATCGTGAATGCATTCCTACTCGAAGCATTAATTTGCGTTTAATATCCATTATTATTTGTTATTCATCGTTCCAATTCGTGTCATTTATTATTGCAATTATTCGTTCAAAATAATTTCCCAAAATGACTTGAAATTGCTAAAGTTGAAATACGGATTGCGTAAAACTTGAATACGTGCAATAGTTACTCTTCGTGCACTTATTACGCAACATTTGCGTTACTTATTACCTTGGCGCTTCTCGAATTCGTAAAAAGAAATTGAATACGCGTATTTATTACCTTCTAATTTCTCGCCCCAGCAATTAATTTCTCATCCCTGACCCGCGACAAGGCGAACCGCATTTGGAGAAAAAAAAAAAAAAAAAAGAAGGAGGATTAAGTATCTCTTTCGCTCCAATTTTCGACATTTCTGCGTCATTCGTCCACGACAGAGCTGCCCTCTTATTCCTTACTCCTTATCTTTAGTCCTTAATTAATCATTACTAGTAAATCCTAACCTAATTTTTCATAACCTAAGAGTGAGATTCGAACGTCGATTCGGAGTCCGCGCGCAATGATGGATCCGTCAAATGTTAAAAATAAGAGGAAGAGAGAAAAAATAATTAAAAAAAGGGGGGGAAGAAAAAGAAGAAAAGAAGAGGATCGATCGTGTCCTTATCTTCCTGCGAGTAATTAATTAATAAATTAATTCATTTTCACGGACTCGTGCTCTCGGATATTCGAATTCACGACGAGCTTGTGGCTCGCACTCGTACCACACTTTCAATGTTAATTTTTTTTTTAACTGTAAAAGTGAGATATGAGCCCGAACCAGTGAATTAAAAATGGCGTCCGCGAGATTTGAAAAACGGCGAGATCGTCGTCTCTTCTTTTTCCCCTCATAAGATGCGCTCGAGAATAAATACGGTTATGGCTTATTTACAAGAGCTGAAAAATGGGCGTTTCGCGTCTACCGACTAATCGGTACGAGAGAAAAAAATATAGAATGGAGTAAAAAATGACGGGATCGACGTGGCGCGGTATCGCGAACATTAACGCGCGCGGCTGTACAGCCCCGCGAGATTTATTGTGCGCTACTGTACAGTCGCACGAGTTTTCCGCACGTTTGTACAGTTTTGCTAGGTTATCATCTCACGAGGTTCACTGTGCGCGAGCTATACAGTCTCATGAGTCTCATCGTACGCGACTGTACAGTTTCGCAGGTACTAACATGCGTAACTGTACCATCTTGCGAGGTTTATTGCGCTAGATTGCATGACTTTGCGAGGTTTCTTACGCACATGGAATTACGCGGTCATCTTTGTACGAAATTGCCGGTGAACAATGTGTCGATACGCGCGACTGTACCATCCCGTGAGCGTTAACGAATGCGACTGTACGAATTCGCTAACATTAACGTAGGCAACTGTACCACTTTGCGTGGCACACGCACGGATTGTACTATTTCACGAGGGTCAACGGGTGTAACTGTACAATTTCGCCAGTCTTAATGCGGGAATAGTACACCGACGGACATAAGTATCTTCTCTCCGCATAATTCGCAGGTAAAACACTCACGTCCATCGGTGTACGATCTCGCGGGTCTCATTGTGCGCGACTGTACCGTGTCGCGGGGTTTATCGCGCACGACTGTACGTTGCGTTGAGCTTCGAAACTTAAAATAAAAAAAAAATCATGCGCGTTGTACACCTCGATATTAAGCGACGCGGGTAAAAAACCGACGCAAATAGCGATACGTACTCACGGCTAATACGTATCGACGATATGTACATTTTGTACAACGGCGAGAGGTGTGGGGCGAGGCGAAGCGAAATGGCGTGTCGGTGACATTTGGTGAAAGAGTTCATGAGAACTCGGTGAAAATCCGTGAAAAATGAGAGACCGGCGATCGCGGACGACCCCGGAAAACCGCTGCGTCAAATAATCCCAACAATGTCGCGACCTTCCTTACCGGTCATCGTATGCATTGAATCTCCAAAAGCCGATCCCTCCACAAAACGAAACTTCATTCCGATTCGTTTTCCAGTCTCCTGGAAGCATTTCTCCCCTCGTCGGTAAAGAAGGAATTGCACATCACCCTCAGTAACGTGACGTCAATAACATAGATCGTAGACGTCGCGGTTTCCAGGGAAGCTCCGCGATCCCCGAATAGCCGAAACAGCGCGTGTACACTCCGAATACGAACTGTATCGTCGATAATCGACCTCAACGGCGATAACCGCTTGATCGATAACAGTTATTAAGGTCGATTACCGCTGATTACAGGGTGTTACATAGAGAGATAGGTAGAGAGAGTTAACGGATATACTCGTATCACAGACATCACTTGGAACTGAACACTAGCGGAGCTGCGGCGTTTCCTCTCCCCCGGAAGCCCGAGGTTGAGGTCGAGGTCGCATCGGGAAAAAAAAAAAGTAAATGTACCTTTCCTTTGCGAGTCCTCGGTTATTTTTTTCTTTTGCGTTTCTTCACCGTCTCCACGGCGTCGACCTCTCCAAGGCTGCCGTGGATCTCGGGTGGAGGTCGGGAACACCGAAGGTTGAAGAGGTCGAGGCCAATATCTTCCATGTCGGCGACCTCGAGTGGCTTTCCGGAGGTGAGGTCGCTGAGGAGACCTCGCGATGAGTTTCCCCGAACTTGAGGTCGAGGTCTCTGTAGGCTGGATCCGGCGATCGGTGGGAAAGGCCTCTTCGGCTTGGTGAGGTCAAGATTGGCCTCGGCACGAAATCCATCGACGGGATCCTTGGAAAGGTTCTTGAGCCTCTGGTAAGGTGAGGTCGAAGTCTCTTCGGTGTATCCGGAAGAGTTCGAGACCTCGTCAAGTTCTAGGGGGAGTTTATTTCAAGATCTTCCTCCCCGTAAAGATCGAGGTTTTCGCAGGACGGAAGACCTATTTGAGATTTCCAATGGAAATCCTGCTTAAGTCAGCCGAACACGAGGTCGAGGTCGAAGACTTCCTGGCTCGGAACGCCCTCCCACGTAACTTTCCTCAGAGATCCTGCTTAGTTCATCCTAAAACGAGGTCGAGGACCACCCTGATCTCAAGGCCGAGGTCGAGGTCCTCCTGGCTAGGAAGACCCGCCCCACGTGGCTTTCCAACGGAGATACCGCTGGACCCAGGTAAACGCGAGGTTGAGGTCGACCCTGAGGTACCCTAGGACAAGGTCGAGATCCTCAAGGGCTCGAAGACGTCCTCGGTGGCGGCCCAGATGAGATCCTCCTTGAGCTTCTTGAGAATGAGGTCGAGGGCAGCGCGGGCATCCTCAACGGAGTCGTGCTCCCGGGTCTGGATCTCCCTGCCGAGGATGTCGCGCGCCAGGATCTTAAGCCTGGACCTGAAGGGGTGTCCCCGGACGTGGGGGAAGGAGATGCAGGTGTCGACGACGTTGCTGTGGAGGATCTTGAGGGCCCTGAGGTCGTTGTCGAGGCCATGGCCGACAAGGAGGGTCTCGGAGCTGATGAAGCTGAGCAGGTCGCTCTGGACTTCCCGGAGAGTCTTGGTGGCGTAGGCGAGGTCTCTTGGCGTGATGCCGCTGAACCTGGTATTATAGTCGATGACCTCGACGTCGGGCTTGACGAACGTGTCGTAGACGACTCGGCCGTCGGCGTCGACCACGGTGACCTTGGCGACCTCGAGGCCGCGCCTCGTGAAGACCATCTCGCAGTCCAGGGCGTAGATCCCATAGTGCCCGTTAACCGGCGGCCTGGTCGCTGGCATCGTGCGGACGAAGTCATGGTAAGGTCCATTAACGCCCTCCTCGACGCCTATCCAGACGTGCATCCTAGCCTGGGTGCACCCGCGGGAGAACTGGTCCCTCGACTGGCAGCACTCCCAGAACCCGGCGGGGTTGAACTTGCCCCAGTGATAGCAGCACTGCTCCTCGCAGAGGTACTCCCCGTCGTACCGCGATACGTAGAACCCCTTGGAGCACCTGGTGCACCGCCTCTCGACGTAGTCCCACTCCGTGCCCGTAGTGGACGTCTCGGAGTACCCGGAAGAGTACCCCGAAGAGAACCCTGAAGACGAGCCCGAGGAAGACCCCGAAGAGGACCCCGAGGATGACCCCGAAGAAGACCCGGAAGACTCGGAAGAGCAAGACGACTCTCCGACATCCGAGCCCTTGTCGCTCTCCGAGGAGCTCTCCTGCTCCAGGTCGAAGTTCTCGCTGCAGTTGCCGCTGTCGCTGCGCGATACCGCTATCACTTGTCCAGGAACGAACTCCTGGGCGTTCGCGTCCAGCAGATGCTTCTCCCTCGGCCGGTGGGACGGGGGGTATCCGTGATATTTGATGAAGACGGCGTCGTAGCCGAGATAGTAGTTGCACTCGACGGGGAATCCCATGTCGGCGAGCTGATCCGAGGTCAGGGTGTACCCACGGAGCAGATGCTCGAGGGCGCCGTCGCCTAGGTGGCCGAGGGCAGCGCGCTCCCTGCTGCACCAGCCCTGGCAGGCGGCCTCCCCACCACTGAGGCCCTGGACCACGTGCGCGTAGGACCCCACGGCCTGCGTCTCAGGCCCCGCCCCCCGCTCGACGCACGGCGGGTTCTGATTGGTCGGGCAGGGGTTCCCCCCCCGCGGGGACCGCTGCTCCCGCTCCTCCACCGCGCTACCCTGCTCCGCCGCGCAGGGGCTCCCCCGCAGTCGGTGGCGGCGCCTCCTGGGGGCGTCATCGTCCTCCTGGCGACGCTGCTGATCCCGCGGGGTCCGCGTCCGGTTCTTCCGCTGCCTCCTGCTCAGGATCGCCCGATCCTCTCCTCTCGGCGACGAGACTCCTGGCGGCCCCTCCTCCTTCTTCTCCGCGTACTCCAGGCTGCTCGCCTCGCCCGGGTCCGGGTATAGGTCCGGATCTTCATCATGGATCGGGACGCCATCTTAAGCGCAGAGAAAGAGAGAGAGAGATTCGTTAGCTTCGTCCATATGATTATGCGTGATTAGGCAGGGCTGCGTGCATATATAGCACACACAGAGATACACATCCGGCGCATGCACCTAACCCTTTACTTCCGATTTAGGTTAACGAGTCCTCGAGATATCCTTTGGTCTCTATTTCGTTATTTGATTCTTGTTTCTTTTGTTTTCTAAAGGAATTTCAAGCCTCGTTCTACGTCGCCACTCTTCCGCCGTGACGATTATTCTTTTTTAACTTGTCATCTATGTTATGTAATTTCCTTGTTGCCTTTGTTATATAAATTGCGAGTCGTACATCTCGACGATGACACACGGGAGTCCTTCGTAATCCGTGCTAAGAAGGCGTCCCTCGCGTAAAGACGCTCGGGCGAACCGAAAGGCACATCATTGAGCACACTGCGTAATTCTTTTTTTATATACATCTACCGTGTTACGTTTTATTAATCGTGACAAGTACGACGAGACGCGTAAAGAAACACGGGCGAGCCAAAGGCGATCATTAAACCCACTTGGCGCTGACATCACTAATGTATTCTTTCGAAATCTCATTTTTTAGCGAACGATGTCTTCCAGGTCGGTGTTACGCTCTCCCTGCGTAAAGAAACTCGGGCGAACCGAAAGGCATCGTTGAGTGCACTTGGCGGCGATGTACGTAATTTCTTTTTTTTATATATATATATATATATTTCTACCGTGTTACGTTTTAATAATCGTAACGAGACTGACGAGACGCGTAAAGAAACTCGGACGAGCCAAAGGCGATCATTAAACGCACTTAGCGTTGACATCTCTAATGTATTCTTACGAAATCTTTCATTTTTTAGCGAACGATGTCTTCCAGGTAAGTGTTGCGCTCTCCCTGCGCAAAAGAAACTCGGGCGAACCGAAAGGCATCGTTGAGTGCACTTGGCGGCGATGTACGTAATTATTTTTTTTTTTTTGGCTATACTTATACCGAGTTACGTTTTTATAATCGGGACGAGATTGACGAGACGCACTGGAACCTCTTCGAGGATTGTCACGAGATTGCTCTTCCTCACGTAAAGACACTCGGAGTCGCGGTCGCACGTACTTGGCGCGGAACTCGGTCGCGCCTCTTCCTCCCTGGGGGTTTTCCCCGAAGATCGCTGGCGCTTCCGCGGAAATGGTCGGGAACCACTTCTCCATTTTTCTTTCTCTCCCTTTTTTCTTTTCTCGCCTGGGCACTTCTTGCTCAAGGCGATCTCGGAAAATGTCCCGGGATCGCGTTCTACGCCATTTTTACGATGAGATAAGGCCTCTCCTTCCCGGGTCGATGGCTCTTTACGGTCCCGTAGCCGTGACTTCGAACGCGGACTCCGTTAGGGAACCTGTTAGGTTAGGTTCCCGTCGTCCCTACCTAACCCTACTCGAGGCCCTGCTTATTTTCTTTTTTTACCTTTTACCTTCTTCGACCTTCTCCCCGCGTCGAACGGTCCCCGGGAATCGTTCACCTCTTCACCGAGAATCCGTAATTTAAGGCGTTACGAAAGGGTCACTCTAGACATCTCAAAACGTCAAAATATTTATACAACTTTTCTCCAGGGTGCCATCGGATGATTTCAAACTTTAACCCGCGATTATGGAGGTCCCTATGAAGGTCTTGAGACTCACGGAATCTCATTTTCCGAAAAGAAATTCTGTATTTATTCACGAGAATCAGTAATTTAAGGCGTTACGAAAGGGTCATATTCTAGACATCTCAAAATGCCAAAATATTTATACAACTTTTCTCCAGGGTGCACCGAACGACTTCAAATGTTAACCCGTAATTACGGAGGGAGTTGTGAAGGTCTTGAAATTCACCGAACTTCATTTTCCGAAATGAAATTCTGTATTTACCCCAGACAAGAATAGAAAAGAAACGATTTTTCTTTAAAAAAAAAAAAAAACGAAATTTCATGACCCTCAAGACCTTCATTAGGATCTTCATAATCACTGGTTAAAGTTTCGAATTATTCGATGCACCCAGTTTGGAGAAAAGTTCTTAATAAATATTTTTACGTTTTGGTATATATAAAATGTTCTTTTTGAATCACATTAAGGTTCACGTCGGCCGTTCAGAATGAAGTACAATCCTTCACGGATAAAGGGCACTCCGAGAGTTTGCGAAAGGAGTTTTATTTATTATTTATTCGTGGATAATGATTTATGCACCCAATGGGTAATCGCAGGAACCGAATGTCCGATGTTAGATTTCATGTTATAAACGTCGTGCCGAGAGTGCATCATTTTTCCTCGTTTTTTATTCGGTTTGTCTCAAGCACTGGGCGGTTTGAAACTCGGAAAAGTCATTAAGGGGACAGAAGGGGAGAGAAAGAGGCCGAAAGGAAGACTGAGAGAAAATGAAGGAAAGAGATAATTGAAAAAAAAAAAGAAGAAGACAAGGTACAAGACAAAATGAAAGATACAATTAACCGATGAAATAACCAATGAAATAATCAGTCGATAAAACCAATAAAAGAGAAACGGAGAGGAAGAGAGAGAAACACGAGAAGAAACAAAGTCAGACAGAGAAAACGGAGCGAGATAGAGGAATATAGAGAAGGAGGGAAAAAGAAATTCGGTTAGAGCTCGTTTCCTCGTCGAGTTGATCGGCCTCCTCTCAGCTGACCGTCCAGCGGCCGTTTAAAAGGAGAAACACGGGGGAAAGAAGAAATAAAGTAGCTTTTGACCGAGAGTGATCGGGCACCGTTATTAGCCCCGTTAAGTCTTCGCCTCCTGGACGGGACGCGTCCACGTGTCCCTCCAAAGTACGCGTGAATTCTTCCCGAGATGAAACAGGCAACGATCTTCAATAATTTCCATTTCTTTCCTATCTTCCTGTTAATTCATTTCTATCCTTTCCCAGTCAGGGTACCTCCACGTGTCGGAGTAAACGTAACCGTTCATCGGCTCGTTATTCAGGAAATTCAGAAATTTCGAGGCTCCCAAAATCTGTACGTACGTACTTTAGATACAGCTACGAGTTTCCTGGTACTATATGTACACTGGGAGACATCAATGCCCTCCCATCCTGCACAGGCGATGCCGTATCTGCAGGGGAGGCATTCATGTCCGCCATTGTACACTGAGAGACATCGATGCCCTCTCATCCTGCACAGGCGATGCCGTATCTGCAGGGGAGGCATTCATGTCCGCCATTGTACAGGGGAGGTGCATACGTCGGCGTTAAAGAAAGAAATCGATCCCAATACAAGGAAGCGAGAAGAGAGAGAGACAAAGAGAGCCGGCGAAAGTATAAGACCAGGAGGAACACGTCGGAAATGCTTGTTTAGGAAACCTCGAAAAGGGAGAAAGAGAGAGAGAGAGAAAGGTAACCCCTCGAAAAATTTCAACCTGGACAACCTGAAACTTTCTCCCCAGGTTTCGTGGAATATCAGCCAAACTTTCGCCGCCTAATATTATGCTGGCCATTTTAAGGTGGTATTAAAGGGTCAATCTATGTACATGAAACGTCAAAAGATTTATTAAACTTTTCCCCAAACTATTTACACCGAGTAATTTGAAACTTCGACACGTGATTACAGAGGCCCTGAGATATAACGCGTTGCTCGAGAAATTCTATTCTCCACAAAAAAAAAAAAAATGTGATCTTGGTTCTAGTCCAGGATAAATAAATAAAAATTTTCTTTGAAAAATGAAATTTCACGAGCATCGCGCGTTCTTCCTTAGCGTCTCCATAATCACGTGTTAAAGTGTTATATGGGAGAAAAGTTTTACAAATATTTTCACGTTCTGATATATATAGAGTGACCCTTTCGCATCATCTTAAGAGACATTAAAGCCTAATTCTTCGAGTTTTGGGTACCTTAAAGCCTAATTGGCCAGTTTGAAGGATCTTACAAAATCATCGATCGATCTTAAGTGCCCTAAATCCTTGTCAGACAGTTTTAACCCTTTCGTCACGTTGGACGAGATATCTGCGAGCCGATACTGGCCTTTTAAATATTTTTAACGAGACACGTGACACAATACTAATAATTTCGAGAGGCTATTCCCAGTAAAACCGATTGCCTTTAATTTCATATGATGAACAACAATTGCGATTCGATAGCGAGCGATGGGCTTAAAATCCTGGCAAGGTTTCTATGACTTCCAACGATTCCCAGTGATAACTGCTCGCGATTTGCAGTTGACATGCACGTGATTTCGATCATTAAAATCCATAATTTCCTGAGTGAATACCCCCCCTCGGGTAATTTAGCACTTTTTACGAGATATCTCCTGACCAAACTTGGCCAATTTAACGTTTTTCTCGAGATATCTCGCGAACAAACATTGGCCAATTTAACGCTCTTGACGACATATCTCGTAACCCGAAACTGGCCTTATCGGATGACACCGAAGATTACTGCATCTTAAAACAAGTTGGCAATATTTACTAACTCTAGACGTTTCTCTTCAATTTTCTTGCACACTTTTAAAAGAGTACAGGAGGATATTGACTCGCGAGGTATCTCGCCGAAGGCGTTAAATGGCCGATTTTGGGTCGTGAGGCATCTCGTCAGAAGCGTTAAACGATCGTTATTAGGCCGCGAGATATCTCGTAAAAAACGTTAAGAAGGTCAGGCATTGGGTCGCGGGATATCTCGTTAAAAGCGTTAAAAAAAATCAGCACTGGTAGCGAGATATATCTCGTTAAAAGCGTTAAAAAGGTCAGCATTAGGTCGCGAGATATCTCCTTCTGGGCGATGAACGGGTTAAGTACCTCAAAACCTTCTTAGACAATTTTAGACACGACAAAACTACCACTGAACCAAGTTTAAAGCACCCTACGATACGATTGGGCACTTTCAACCCTTCGAGCGCTAAGTCCTTTCGACGTATGGGCGAAATTCCTATACCCGGGCGCGCTATAATGAGCCAAATGTTTGACGCATATGCGTCTCCATCCCAAAATTAATTTCTAAAATTTATTCACCATCTTTTTTAATAAAACATGAAACCTCGCTGGTGGCGGTACCTTAGGATTCCCACATTAACGTGGTAAAATTTTAAACAACTTGATATACCCAGGTCGGAGAAAAACTACATAAACGAAACCACTTTGATATCGCCTTAAAGACATGAAAGTGGCATCTGAAAGGTCACTCGTTCATGAAACATTTCGCCGAATTGGGTGGACCGAATCGTTTGAAACCTTACACCATAAACATGGAGGTTATAAGGAAGGTCCCGACACCCGTGAAATTTCATTTTTTATACATAATTCATAAAATGTCCACAAACCATTTTTTTCCAAACATTGAAATTTCATGGTTGCCAGGACCTTCCTTATAGCCTCCTAGTATACATTGTAAAGTTTGAAACGATTAGCAGGATTAAGTTCGGAGAAAAGTTTCGATAACGAGACCAGACGTCACTTTCATAACGCCTTAACCCTTTAAGCGCAATGAACTCATATATGCGTTCCGCAAAATCGTTTACCAAGGGCCATGGACAAATATATTGGTTTTGACCGAACCATTGAAAAATGTGGGCAGCTCACAGCACACGCTTAACGTCGCCGAAAGGGTTAAAGACACCTTTCCTAACATCCCATAGCACTAAGGAACCTCGCCGAGATGTTTCACATATTTCGAGGACTCGATAGCCGCGAAATCTCGAAACCTTCCGAATTAATTCCGAGAACTCGAAACCAGGTTCAGGTCGCGTCCTCCTCTTCGCGACATTTCTCGCGGGCCTCAATTTCGGCACCGTGACGTCAGAGGTCGCCCTCTCTCGCGTCCAAGATGGCGGCGCCGCCCACCGCGCGAGACACAAAAATAAAGCCGGCCGTTCCGCGTTCCCTTTTTTCTCTCTCTCCTCCTTTCCTCCTTTTTCCCTCCTTCGGCAATGTGGGTTAAGGTGAGTCCGAAGACGAGCCGTCTCTCTCTCTCTCACTTTAGCCGGCGATGCGTGCAATGCTCCGTTCGCCGCCCCCGTTCTGCGCGTGCGCGGGCCCGCGCGCTTTCGGCGGGAGTTTCGAAGCGGGTTTAATTTCACATGCAAATGGCGCTAATTGCTCGCCGACGAGTCACGCTCATTCAAGCATACGTGTCGATTAATGACTCCCGTGTTACATCCGTTGTTCAGGAAAGTGACGAGTCTCTCGTGTTTAGGCATCTTGCCTGTTACACATATATCTACGTACATGAATGTATGCTATATATTTAAATAATGAGCTCATTAGATATGCTGTGGTGTGCATACAGGTCATACGTTTCGGGATAGTTGGGGAAATTTCGAGATTTCGAAAAGAACCAATCGGTGAAGGAAAATTTCATCTTCATTCTTCTGGTCACGAAGGTTATCAACAAACTACTGCATTACCTGATAAGTAAGGAATAATTGAACGCATTGACGCCATATTGGATAGGATGACAAGTTTTTGAGGTTTAAGGTGACGTGAAAGGGTCATCCTATCAAAACGTGAAAATATTGATAAAACTTTTCTCCACATGGGGTGCACCGAATAATCTTAAAGGTTAACACGTGATTATGGAGCTCCCGATGAAGGTCTTGAGTCGCGCGAAATTTCATTTTTCGCAAGAAAAAATATTTATCCCGGACAAGAATCGAAGAAAGACATTTCTTTCTTTTTTTCTTCTTTTCCGAGAAATGAAATTCCTTGAGTTTCAAGACCTTCATTAGGACCTCCATAATCGGGCGTTAACGTTTCAGATTGTTCGGTGCAGCCAGTTTGGAGTCGAGTTTCATAAATATTTTCACGTTTCGATAGAATAACCCTTTCATATCACCTTAAAACTCCGAAATTTGTAATTCTATCCAATATGGCGACGCGCTTCCGCGAGTGGCGTCTAGATGGCGCCACGCGGCGACTCTCGAACCCCGCGCGTCACGTGACCGGGCGATTCGAAAATGGCGCGAAGCGGAGTATTGCACGCACGGCCGGCGATAAATGGTTAGAGGAAAACGAGAACATAGAAAAGAGGCATACCTTCGGCGCAGGTGGCGAGGTATTTCCCGTTGCTCGAGAAATCCATGTCGAGGACTGGACCTGTGTGTCCCTTCAGAGTCGATACCATCCACGAGTGGGTGAACTCTTGCTGGACCTCGCGGCGTTTCTTGTTTTTCGCGCGCTTCCCGCTCTGCCCGTGACTCGTTACTGTGGCGCTCGCGTCGACCGGCTGCGCGGGCTTACTCTGCTCATCTGCAAACAATTCAACATTTACGTTTAACAGATGCTTAATAAGATGCTACGAAGCGGGAGAATGAAACGCCAAAATTATGTGAATAATGGAAATGCTTCGTAATTTTTTAATATTAATTCATAATTTATGTATAAATTAACTGCTTATAAGGTTACTTTAAACACGTGTATCTGCTATCATAAATGGCGAATATCGTTCTTAAGTTTATTTATCCTAATGATTTCTTTTAACAGCAGTCGCGTCAACGTATTATTAATTAATATTAAATAGTTTTCCAGTGGATATTTTGAAAATGCACGATAGATTTATCGAGCCGTAAGTAGATTGTTTAAGTTTACGCCTGATGAACAATTTTTATGGCGGATGGTTTGATTGTTTAAGAGTAACGCGGACGCTTCTTATAACCCGTGATTTGAAAATTTATACAGAATTAATGTTCACGGCAAATACCATCATACTCAAAATGTATAACAAATATGTCGAATGGGAAAAATCTTTTAGTTTATATACAATCCAGTCTTTTTATAGCAAATGGCCCGGACGTTTAGAAATAACGAATCTAACAACAAGCACATTGAATAATTTATATACAATCAATAATGCTTTACGGCGGACGCTTCGAAAATATGTAACAGATGTTTTAACCGGTGTCTTTATTTATTTATTTATTTTTTTTTCAAGTTTACGTACAGTGGATGCTTTTTATAGCAGGTGGTTCGAGCGTTTAGGAGTAGCGGATGCTTCTTATAGCGCGGAGTATGAAAATGTATGTACAACAGATGTCTCGTACAGTGAATCTTCCTTCCTTAATTTATGTACAAGGTGCACTTTTTCCAACAGATGGTTCGGCATACAAATAACGAGCTCGAAGGTTTAAAAATATCTTACGAGTGCTTCAAATCCTCCGTTTTTACAATTTACGTACAATTGTTTATTAAGACGTGCATTGCTTATCCCCCTCGCGGGTAAGAACTCAAATTGAAGATTTGAATTTCCCACCTGCTTATATTAAATTTTAAACACACTTATAAGTAATTCGTACAAACTTTGGTGATGGTCGGAATATTTAATTTAAATCGGTGTAATTTTTTGAGAATTTAAAATTTCACCCTTTGAGAGCGCTAGGCCCTTTTGGCGTATGGGCGAATTTCGTCAGCGCGTGCAAGCAACATTGGACCAAACGTCGGACGTACTTATTCGTCTACAGCGCTCAAAGGGTTAATAAAAAAATAACTTGTTTATATAATGAAAGCAGCGAGGAGGAAAACGGAGAGTTTTTTTTTCTTAAATCAACAATGAGTCTTGTCTGAGACACCCTGTAGATCCTTGCGGGGACACTTCCAAACGACCTACTTGGACATCGTTTCGACAAGTCCTCGACCTAATCTCTGATAAACTTAAATCCATCCTCCGTTTCGGTATTTCAGATAGGAGATATCTTCGTTTCCTCCTTCGCGAAAATGCCGATAACTCCTTATCCGATAGATTTATCAAAGGGAATGTAAGTCGAAGCGAGGAGTCGTAACTTCTGAAAAGCGGACCACGCCATGTTAGCTCTGGTCCATGATAAGTAAATAAATTTTTCATGAAAAATGAAATTTCACGAATTTCAGGACGTACTTCGGGGCCTCCATATTCACATGGGAAAATTTGAAACGAATCGGCACACCCAATTCGGAGAATAAAGAGTAAACATCGAAAACGTACACGGACCACGTCATTTTGGTTCTGGTCCATAAGTAAATAAATTTTTCATGAAAAATGAAATTACACGAATTTCAGGACCAATTTCGGGGCCTCCATGTTCACGTGGGAAAATTTGAAACGAACCGGTACATCCAATTCGAAGAATACTTTCCCCAACGATTTGGCTTCTCAGATGTATATACATAGGCTGACTCTTTCATATCCTTTTAAGGACACCCTGTACATCCTTACGAGGATAATTCCTCGTGACCTACTTGAATGCCACTCGACCAAGTCCTTGACCCGCTCCTGCGATAAGGTATAAAGCCGAGCCCTTACCCTGCGTCACCCTCTGCGCGTCGATCCGCACGTACGGTTTAAAGTGCAGGTAAAAATCCCTTTTCGAGGATTTCCCGACCGGGGACGGGAAATTCCCGGTAAAACCCATAAAGCGGGAAATCCGTCCTCACATATACCGGTTGTAAAGAGAGCCAGATAGCGGGTGCCCTGTACATCGGAGGATATTAAATGCCATTCCACCGGCACGATAAACCGCAAAATACCGAGAAATACTAAGTAGGGCTAAATGGGAACACGAGAGGCAATTATTCCCCTGGCGGGTACATTGGCGGACATTAACCCCTTCCCGCACATATTTCGTCACCGGTATTACGTTAAACAGTACCGAAAACGGAGAGTTCTGCTAAGTAACATCCTGATAAGAGAAATAATCTTTTTTTTTCGAGCGCAAAGGGTTAATACCGACCAATGTACACACGAGAGAAGTAACGAAGGAGAGTGCGTAAACACGCACACCAGTGCAAAGGGTTAAGGCGATATGAAAGTGGCGTCAAAGAGGACTAGCTTGTGACACTTTTCTCCGAATTGGGTATACCGAATCGTTTCAAACTTTACGAGGTGAATACGGAGGCTATTAGGAAGGTCCCACCACCCATGAAATTTCATTTCTTACATAGAATTTTTTTTAATCGTCTATAATCAAATTTTAAAACAATGCCATGAGTGTCAGGACTTTCCTTATAGCCTTCATATTCATGTTATAAAGTTTGCCACTTTTATGTCACCTTAAAGCCTTTCTTCCATATATTTTGCGGTATAATTGTTATGTCCTATACTCCAAAATTTGGAATAATATTAATGTGAAATTATTATTTTCCTCGCATGGATATATTAATACCGTCCCGCATATATTTGTCATCGGTGTAATAATAAATGAGATCGGAATAATAATGAGTATCATTAATACCGAAGTGGAATAACTATTTCCCTCGGATGTACATTTATGAACATTAGATGATCCTTCCGTCGTGCAATGAGGATAAAATATACGAAGGAACACGTTAATGTCCGTTGCTGTACGTACGGGTTGAATAATTATTTCACTCATTTCCATATTATTCACGTTTCACACATTTCCGTGGCCTGTGTCTTATAGCATTGTCTCAGACCTTGACCTAATCTTAATCAATTAATTTTCCGGTATGTAAATCCCGTCACGTACATGTTAATTAATCGTACAATTCTCTCGGATAAACAAACGTTTCTCAAATTTCTGCATTTCGACTTTTATAACAGTTTTCAGTTTTTACCCAATTTTAGATAAGTTAACTTTTAATTCGGCAACGTTAGAATTAATTAATTAGTTAATTTTCCAAGTGTCAAAATATGAACCGAGATTTTCCCATAATTTCAATAAATTTTTAGAACCGACCTTGACCTCGACAACCGAACCCTGACCTACTGAACTGAAAATAAATACAAAATATTTATGAAATTATTTAACCTTTTAAGCTCGATTTAAACCTCTAATCAACCCTAAATAATTGTCACTTTTTTATCGCGTCAAGTCAAGGCTTTATCAATTACTCATTTATATTACAGAGTTAAGAGTAAACCGGCAAATTTCTCAACTTAATTCCAAACACATTTTTTTTTTCTCGAACTACTTCAAAATAAATGTTAACCCTTAACCAGCTAACTTCTTCAATTAATAATTTAGTTTTTAGTTAGCAATAATTTAGTTTAGTTGACCGAGTTATGATTAAACAGACATCGTTTCGAGCAATCTAAACTTGTCTTTGGCCTTGAACTAGTTCAAGGCCAAAGTTCTAGTTCTAAACAAATGTCGATCCTCCGCCTGGACAAGTCTTTGTTAATTAATTATTTAATTCACAGAGTGAAAATTAAACCGGCAAAATTCTTCAAAAGTTTCACCGACCTAAACTCGCCCTCCACTTCAAGCCTATTCCGAACAAGTTTCAACCCCTTGGAAATTCACTTTTTCATCAATTAATAATTAAATAATTTAATTAACCACGACAGAAATAATTCAAGAAAATCTTTCGAACTTCCTTCAACTCTTAACATTACTCTCAACCATGACCTAGCCCCAAGTAAAAAATTCAACCCTCGACCGGATCATCGGCTCGTCCCCAAATAATTGAATAATTGAATAATTGAATCAAGTGAAATATAAATCGGCGAAATCTTCGAACACTTTCACCAACCTGAGTCTTGTCCTTGATTTTGGCCAAACTGCGCATCGGTATCGACTTCAACTTCGACTTCAGATTCGATCGCGTCGACTCGCCCTTACTCTACTAGTACTCTCACTTGCAAATATTAAAAGGAAAACGCGTCTAAGACGCGTCCACCTGCTGGATTCGTCCTTGCCCTCGAAAGACTCTGGGAGCAATGTGCCTACCTCCGTCCCGGACCTCACCAAGAAGACCCTTTTCCAAAATTTTCCAAGGGGTGGGGAGTATCGAAATTCCCGGGCCAAACGGTACATTTTTCCCTCGGCCAATCAATTTGCGAATCTACGCCCGGCTAACCTGACTCATCCCTGGTATCCGAAACCCTCGACTCCTCCACCGAGGTCTTAGGAAATTCGCAAGTTCAAGGCCCCTCCTTCAATTTTACGAAAATTTGCAAAATTAATATCATTTATAAATGAAAGATCGACCCACGCTAACGAAATGTTAAACTGGCGTATTCAAAGTTTGCAAAATTGCACGTAGATAACGTTAATGTAAATTTGCAATGTTTCGTATTCGATCGCTTGCTTTTCCATTTTTTCAGGACCGATGTCTCTCTTTCTTAACAAAGTATTTGCAATCATCGACCCCCCGAGGTCTTGGGAAATTCGCAAGTTCAAGGCCTCATCAAACCGGCCCCTCTTTCAATTTTACGAAAATATGCAAAATTAATATCATTTATATATAAAAGATCGACCCACACTAACGAAATGTTAAACTGGCGTATTCAAAGTTTGCAAAATTGCACGTAGATAACGTTAATGTAAATTTGCAATGTTTCGTATTCGATCGCTTGCTTTTCCATTTTTTCAGGACCGATGTCTCTCTTTCTTAACAAAGTATTTGCAATCATCGACCCCCCGAGGTCTTGGGAAATTCGCAAGTTCAAGGCCTCATCAAACCGGCCCCTCTTTCAATTTTACGAAAATATGCAAAATTAATATCATTTATATATAAAAGATCGACCCACACTAACGAAATGTTAAACTGGCGTATTCAAAGTTTGCAAAATTGCACGTAGATAACGTTAATGTAAATTTGCAATGTTTCGTATTAGATCGCTCGCTTTTCCATTTTTCAAGGACCGATGTCTCTCTTTCTTAACAAAGTATTCGCAATCATCGAGCCTTTGTTGCAGGATTGCAAATTGTCGATGAGTTGAGCTTCGGCCGTGAATCACCCTCGTTACTCACGGCCCGAAAATCCGCTCCAAGAGGGCCTCTCGTTTTTTTCCTTTCTTTCCTCCTGTTTTCTCTCCTTCTCCCTTGAGACGTCCATCCATGAATGGTCACGGAGGAAGAGCGTTTTCCAATTTAACCGTAAAAGTGTCTCCGTTTTTCCCCCTTTCTTCTCTTTCATTCTTTTTTCCTCGCCGTCTTCCGGTCGCCAGGAGCACTTTCACCGAGTCGAAAGTTCGTTACGTTTTCTGCCGTTCCGCTGAATATTTAGGTTCAACGGTACGTGGGGTGGGAAAATGTTTCGGATAAAAAATATAGGGAAGATTGGGGGGAATAAGCTTTGTCGGAAGTATTTTCTGCTGTCGCAATTAGTTTCGGACGGAAGCTTGAATTGCAAGGTTGAAGGACGCGTCCAGTCGAAGGCTCGGTAGCGCACTTCGCGACTAAAATCGAATAGTCAAAGTTAACGATTCGAGATATGAAAAAACGTTTCAGATAAGACGTGTTGGCAAAATTACAAGGAACAACTTTTGTTGGAAGTTTTCTCTCCTATTGGGCGTAGGTTTGGGCGAAAACCGGAACTCCGAGTAAGGAGTCGGAAGCTCATAGTGTCCTCCACCTTTGTGATTAATTATTTAAGCCTAACGGTTTGAGATATGACGAAATATTTCAAATAAAATGTATGGAAGAAATCCCAAGCAACAATGTTTATGGGAAATGTTTTTTGATATTTAGTTTCCTTACGGACGAAAATTCGATACAAGAAAAGAATCTGCTGCACCAAATCGGAAAGAACTACCGCTTCACGAACCGCAACAAACTCGATATTCCTGCTTAACCATCACAAATACAAAAACTGCCTGAAACAAAACATGCCGGCGAGACCACAAGAAACAATATTTATTCGAAAGGTTTTTCGATACGAGGCTCCGTTACGGCGGAAAACCACAAGACTGCTTCCTGCCGGTGGTAAAAAATATTTTACCTCATCGATTGGAAATACAAACAAATGCTTTGTACAAAACATGTAGGAGAAACCGCAAAGAACGATACGAAAAAGTGTCGAATAACAGAAGCCTTCAATCGCGCCATTTAAAAAAAAAAAAAACCGGCGCCAAAATGTGATTCGTCCCCCTCTGCCCTTTCAGCGATTTTAGGTTAAGAATGTACTTTCATGCTTATTTGCATACATGCTTATATGTATATGCTTGAATAATAAGAACGCGATCCGACCGAATCGCGGTTACTTTTTTAAGTTAATTGATTTTGGCGAAATGTCGACGTCAAAAATCAAGGCTCTGTTCTTACAGTAATTCTAGGTTAGGAACGCACTAGTACCCATGCGTGTCTGTTACTCGTGAAATAATCGGTCGAGCCGCGTTGTTTTTTTCACGAAGGTCACTTCTGTAGGGTAATCGATTTTGGCGAAATATCTTTCGCCAAAATCTAAGTCTCTGCCCTTCCAGCGACTCTAGATTAGGAAGGGGCGCACGTGCGCGTGTATGCGCGCGCCTCTACATGTGTCCGTGCGTATGCGCATGCGCACGCGCGTCTCCGTTTCGTTTTCGTCGTCCCGTGACCGAGCTTGCATCCGGTTATAAATACGCGGGTTTATAAATAAACCCGCGGCCCCACGAGGGCCGCGGATCCACCGCTCGGCAATCTCGAACATGCAGGCTCCCTCGAGAAACCTCGTCGAGACCTCATCGGAGAGATCAGGACTTCGTCCCCCATCTTCTTCACCTTGCGACAAGATCCAGGGAATCAGGAAAAAGGTCCCCAGCTTGGATAATTTGCCCACGATAACCTTGGACTCTTACTCGATGGCTTTCCTCCCACTCTGGAAGATAAGAAGAAGAATCGAGGAAGAAAAGGCCCTCAACTCGAATATCTCCCCCACGATAACCTCGGATTCCCACTCGACAGTTTTTATATCAGACTGACTAATGCAAAGAATCGAGGAAGGAAAGGTCCCTGACTGGAATATTGTTCCTGAGATAATCCCAAGTTTCCACTCGGAAGCTTCTGGATTAAGCTGGAAGGATTAAAAGAAACGGAATATAGGTAAAATACGGACTGTTAAGTATCCTTGGCATGCGATTCAAATCTCAGGGTCCTTTCCGCTCTCTAAGTTTAAGAAAGAGGCAGGCCGAGAAATGAATGAAAAGAATGTCCTTGAGTAAATGAAATATCCCGCAATAATCTTGTATAAGTTTTTACGCTTAGGAAGGCTTAACGAAGATTCAATGTCTAACTGCGATCTCCTATACGTCCTTTGTAATCGATCGAAGAGCCCCTTACATATTCCTCATCCAGTACCTGCCTCAACCCACGTTGTATTCATGCCCGTTGATAAATTTAACATAATGTAATTCCATTTTCATTAGCTCTTCCCGATGACACCGTAATTCATTAACATTTAAAATTAGCAAACGATGGGTAATGCAGAAGTGCGAATAGCCACCGTCGATCCTAAACGAAGGAAACAATCATTCGCATAGCATTAATTCTTGAGTTAAATCATACAACGGTCTACTCATTGTTCTAGCGCATCTCATCCTCGATCCAAAAAAAGTTCCACGCACTGTTCTCACGTCTGGAGAGCACTAATTCATCGCGCATCCGGGCCGCGATAGCGACGCGACCTTTAAATTATGCCTAACCTAACCTAACTTAACCTAACCTCCGGAGTACACGTAACGCCGGGCGTGAAACACGCCTTCTGGCACAGCCAATAGTCTTGCAAGCTTATAACCCACTCCGCATGCACATATTCAAGCAGCTACATCACATTAAACCCCTCATCCAGGTGACTTATATCTCCCTACTGGCAAATTCACAAATTCCGGGCGTTACTCATCCCAAACTCCGCAGTTTTGCCTACTCGAAAGTAAAGCTCGAATTCAGAAATCAAGAAAGATCCCCAAAAATCTTCGTGTATCCGCCTCTCCACCTATTACAGGTTACGTTCTCCTCGCTATACTCGCTAATAGGAGACATCCAGAATAATCGTTTCGTACCTGAAACAACCTGAGATATATTTTCGAGGACCGATAAGATAACGCAGTTCCTGGACGTTTAAATTTCTCATTTAACATAAGTGAGCGAGGTTATGTATCTCGGCGCGATCGATCGCGCCGTCGTCCCTGTTTCCCCGTCGGGGGTTGGATTTAGGTTAGGTTGTTCTTACTGTTATCCGTTGAGCGCTTTCCTTGCCGGTGGCGCGCGCCGAGGAGACAGGCCAGCCCGAGGACGAGCGCCCCGAGGAAGAGCGAGCCGATCACCGCGGCGAGGTCCATTATTTTTCAGTTGGTCGTCTATCTTCTATCTTCTATCTTCCTCGCGACACCTGACCACCGCACCACCGTACTAACCTCGCGTTTCCGACACGTTCACGCGGAAGCGCGCACGGGATCGAGGCGATTCGGCGGCGGTCTCCCGTTTCTAGGTTAGGTTAGCGTCCGCGTGGCGCGTGGATCCCGGTGCGAGATGCGGCCTCGCTTCGCGTCGACGCGCCGTCGCGCTTTCCTCGCCACGGTCGGGGACGCCGCGAGTCGCGCGCGCCGCCGGCTGCGCGTGGGGGAGGCTGCGCGCGCACCGCGCCAAGATGGCGGCCGTTCAGAATCGGCGTACGCCTCGTGGCTCCCAACTTCCCCTTGTATGTACGCGCACGAGTAGTTTTCACTTTTCGAATGAAGTTTAGTTCTCACTTATGATGTTTTTACGTATTACGTGCATCTTGTAAACACAATTCCCTCTTTAAAAATCATGGATTTCCTGTATATTGGAAATATCCTGTATCATCGTTATAGTCGATTTAAATGTCCTCCTCGAAAATACCGATTTAAACACCCTCGTTTAACATCGAATATCAATATTTAATGATCCTCGGGCGAGCACAAGTTGCACGGTTCTTTTGCAACGGTAGGAATTTATATCGAGTTATTAAAGATATTAAGGAAAACCACCGCTTTGACGCAAGGGCTGAACAGGTCACATGGAAGAACACTTCCGGTACTTCGATCCGCACCCTCGCGGACGACCGCGGAACTTCACTATGTCCAGGTAGGCGACCACCGGTCTAGGTTCGCGCATCCCAATGGCCGCGGCACTCGCATCGGCATGCCGGTCTGCGCGCGCAGCCCACGTGTCTGCGCCGACCGGCCGCGCAGATCGCGAATCGTTTAAACACCGGTCGAGGTCGACGCGCGGCGTTAAAGAATCGTTAAACGTCGTTCGACGATATTAAAGTATACCCTCGATGTAAATATACGGTTGGACTATGGCCGAACATAACCTCACAACCGAAGCTGGACGAAAGGGACGAGCCGGCGCGTGCGAACGTGACTCGCGCGCGTTTGCGCCGTCGGGCATTAGGAAACTGGTATATACGCGAGCAACGGCGCTCCGCCGGTGTCCTCGCCTCCTCTCGCGCGCATAACCTCACTTCTCCCTCCCACGCGGCCGCCAGGTGGGGCTTCTTGCGCGCATGCGCGCGGAGATAGCGGTGACCAAACGCGCGGGGCAGGTATCCTATCTATGGTTTTCGAAATCCCGGACTTAAAGATAAACGATGAAAAGACGCACTTTTTTCAACACTTTGAAAAGTCTAAAAAGGAATTCCAATGGTTCCAGTCGACTTAAATAACACACGTTTTTTTTTTAAGGGTAATGGACCGAACCGTCGGAAACCTTAACACACGACTTGGGAGCAGGCAAGAATTGTCCTAAAACTTTCAAAAGTTGGATTTCCGAAAAAAAGAAAAATGGTTGACAGCCCAGACCAGAACTAAAATGGCGTCGAGTTCTCATATTTTTATCGATATACAAGTATTGAAGGCTCTGATATGAGAAACGAAAGTGTCACGACAATTTAGAACGTTCTGGTAATCGAAAAATCCGCATTTGTGGCGGGACAATGGCAAAATGTGTCTCGCAAATATATCGCATATATTGTGGAACATTCTTGACCGTCCAAGATGTTGATAACACATTTAACAATGTTTTATTTACCCAGTACTCTTTTATTGCGATACGTACTGGGTTATTAATCCTTCTTGACGAATACAAGAATAATTTCTTACATAGGCTCGTTCTTTGCGAAATTTGGGAATTTCATCAGCTGTCACAAACTATATGAGTGGTACACCACGAAGATGGAGACAACTGATACTTGAGACTTGTTGCGAGATCTTCGTTTTCAGTTGCACAATATAATAACAAAGAATTGTCGTTATAAAACCTCTGACTTACGTTTAATTAATTTATTCTATTTTTTCTTAACGCTGTAAATAAATCGAGTATACCGTTTCATGAGTTTATCATAATTCTTTGTTAACGGTATAAATTAATGAGGAATTTGTTACAATTTCTTCTTTTTTCTTTTTTTTTTCAACGGCATGGCGAACGTTTCTCGAACGCCTGGACAGAGTTCATATAAGGCATCTCTTAACACATGAGACACACATTACATGCGCCACAGAGAACATTATTATGACTCGTACGATAACGCGAAGATTCTCTCGAGGAAATCTTGGAACCCGGCGTGCAATTCCGGCGATTACTTGCGTCACCCTTTCCCGACGATTAACGGGCCGATGAGCGAGCGAACTACGCGTCTCTCGAAAAACTCCCGGGAAAGGCATGCGTCATCTGCGCGATCGTCTCTGAATCAGCCGAATCGATTAATCAGAAGACGCCGAACCGGATCTAAAGTCGGTTTTCTTGGAGACAGTGATCGCTTCCCTCCAAAAATAACGCGTGTTTTCCATACTCCGGGAAAACTCCAAGCTCCTCGGCGCATCCAAGATGGCGGCGGTCCGCTGCATCTTTGCCGGATTTATTTGCCGGGAAAAGCGTTCGTTTTATGATTTCTTATATCTGTTCGGCATGAGAATATTATGAAAAAAGATATGAAGTTAGATGTTGAACGTCGCTGCGTTTTGTATCGATGGAAGCCATTAGTTCTTTTCTCTAAGGCCGCATCCAAGATGGCGGCCTTAGGCTGCATCTCGAATATGAATAAACAGCCTAATATTGCATCTACGGCATTAAAAAAAGGAAACATTAGAAAGGGCCGTTTAAAGCAATCTAGCCAATATTGGTAGACACATAGAGGCATCTCGCTTAAAAGAAATCGTTCCTCGCAAGATGGCGGCCTTAGGCTGCATCCTCGGGCGGTAGCGGTCGCCCCGGTAAAACCGCAGCGTGTTTAATTCACAGCCCGTTAGTTGCTCCGTTACTTTTCCCCGTTTAATCCAAGCGTCTCGTCCTCGATTCCACTCTCTCGTCCACGCGCTCGGCCCGAGTAACGGGACCCGACATAAGGGTAAGGGACCGAAAGGTGATTAATCGCCGAAAGGTTATGGGCCGCGGCTGCAGTCGATACCCTTTACGGGAAGTCCCAAGTTTTACGACAAACCGGCCGGTCCAGTTCCGCCGGACCGCCTTAATCCGGGATTAAAGTGCCGTATGAGCGACCTAACCTCGAAATCGGGTTGCCCATTGTTTCACGGCTTGACTTTTGGGCCTTCCATTGAATTGCGAGCCGGTTCCACGGCCCATCATAATCCATTTACCCGAGCGGTTTAATCCGAAAATCCCCTTTCGACCGGTTTTAATTATTATATGCTTCAATAACCCTCCCTAATCCGTCTACGGTGCGTTCACTCTAGGGCGATAGAATTCATAAATATATTTTCGCGTGATTCTAGATCAACCAGTGAGTCAGTTTCCGGTCAGTTTTGAATAACCCTATTCAAAGGCCGGTTTTCATCCATTTATGGCGCATTCATTCTAGGGCGGCAAAACTCATAAATTTATTATCGCGTGATTCTAATCATCTAGTAGGTCAGATTTCGGTCAGTTTTAAATAATCCCGTTAAACCACCCGTCCTAATCCATTTATGGCCCATTCACTTTACGGCGGCGAGAACTCCTAAATGTATTTTCGCGTGATTTTAATCAACTAGAGAGTCCGTTTCCGTCCAGTTTCAAACAACACGATCGAAAGGTCCGCCTTAACCATTTTAAAATATATTCCCCCAAAAGCGACGTTACATGGAAATACCTCTTCCAGCTGTAAAAGACAAACCCTCGTCCCAGTTTCCCTAGAATTTCGAATTTCAAGGTGTCTGGAACCCGAGCGAGCGCATTTCGTGTATTTAGAAAAGTCGAATCCGCGAAGCTAACGAGATGACTCCGCTCGGCGCCATATTCTAAGGGAGTTCCACATTGCGTTTCCTCTTATTCCACAGTTTCCGTTAAGTGGATAATTATTTGCATCCATCTTAGAATCTCGGCCAGCTGCCAAATATCTCTTCAATTGAATTCCAGGTTTAAATAGTTACCTTTAGACTCCTCTGGGCCCATCAAAGATCAAAGCCCGGATTTTCGTTTTCTGGGGAAATAATTTATCGAGCCGGCTCAAAGTCGACCTGGCGAGTCTCAAAGGCGTTTCCTCGAGCACGGACGACGAAGAAAGAGAGGCATATACGTTACATCCGTAGAAAGAGAGAGAGAGAAAGAGAGGTGGGCGCGAAGAAGGTGTGGCTAAAAATATCCTCTCCGTGAGAGTCGGGGAAATGACGAGATAGGTGAAAGCGAAAAGGCTCCGGTCGCTCTATCGGTCAGGAGTGCGCGCGCCGCCTACGGGACTCGCGCTCTACGCGCACACTCGTGCGCAGATGCGCGCGCACACTCTCGCGAGCCAGTGCGCGTCACTTGCTACACGGCAAGCGCGCCGTTTAATCCGCTCCCCTCCATGCTTAGCGGGAAGTTTCGTTTAGTTTTTTCCTTCCCGCCATGATTTTTCTCCTCCGCGAGTAGGAAAACCGGACGGGAATAATTTAAGGTGATATTAAAGGGTCATGCTATATATATCAAAACGTCAAAATATTTATACAACTTTTCTCCAGAGTGCACCGAATCCTTTGAAACTTCAGTACGTGATTATGAAGGCCCTAAGGAGGAACGCGATGTTCGTGAAATTTCATTTTTCAAAGAAAAATGTTGCATGTATCTCAGACTAGAACTAAGGACACATATTTTTTTTTTTTCTTTTGAAAAAATGAAATTTCACGAGCATCGGCGTTTTCCTTAGGGCCTCCATAATCACGTGCTGAAGTTTCAAATGATTCGTTTCATCCAGTTTGGAGAAGAGTTTTATCAATATTTTGACTTTTTCGTATGCATATATGACACTTTCATATCACCTTAAGGTGGACATGCAATACGGCTAATATATTTTGGCTCACTCGGAGGAACTCATAGATATCGAGTTTTAATTCGGAAATTTCGAAATTCCGAAATAAAATTCCTAATATCTTTAATTCTTCAATTTTGCAATTCGAAGATTTAACTGATTTCCTGAATACCGAAAATAAATTCAACAATTGCGTAAAGAACGAACCGGTATTTGATATTATCATTACACCACTTACTTAGACGTAATAAACCAGTGTATAGACTAATCGGCAAGTGACTAAGTAAATGGGAAAAAATATACATATATTAAGACGTGTTATCGCTATCTTTTACTCTCAAGAAGCGCTGTCCCGAAAGATACGAGTGAGGTGTATATAATTCCTGTTAGGTAATCGTTTAAGCCGAAGATGGGTCGAGGGACCATTTGACGGTGAATTTAATCACGACCAATTAATTCTCCTTTCCGACTAGAAATGGGAGGAGGTTATTTCACGCTCGATTTCGTATCTCAATTAATTTCAGGTTAGGTTACCTCGTACCCGGAGGATTTTCCTCGAAATTTGCGCCGCGGCAAGACTTCATAAGCGTCGGAATAAATGGCGGAATTAATATTTGGGCATAAACCAGCCAACTCCTGGCAAGGACGCAACTTCGGACCGCTTTTGCATCACCCTGGCGGGAACAACCGCGCCTTCGGTTTATTCGACTCTTCGCGACATATTCATGGACGTAGGACGTATGCAGACGTATGGACCCCACACACTAACCGGGATATAATGGAAAAAATAAAGGAAAGAGAAGGAAACCGAGAAAAGCCCCTGTGTCCTCCCACGCTCCCACCTGTTGCTTTCAAAGCTTCACATATGGACGTAGGACATATGTATAAATCTTTTATATTGATCAGACTGTGAAGATAGCAGAAATAAAAGAGAATGAAGAGAAACAGCAAGAAGGGAGAAGACAGCTTTCCTGTCCTCCCTCATTCAGACTTGTTGCTTTGAATGTTAAATTGATGGACTATGATGACAGCATGTCTGAAAGGGAGAGAAGCCGAAAAAGAATAGCTCCTCTGTAGTCTCTCAATTGGACATGTTGCTTTTAAAATCATATTTATGGGCGTAGGACATAACGCGTCATTCAGAGCTACGAATTTCTTGATGTATAGATCTTGTACAT